GTGAGATCTGGAACGTGACGGACAAAAGAGAAATACACCCGAATTGGAATATATGCGCGTATATGTTTTATTGGATGAAATCCAACGGAAGTCGCATTCGTATTTTATTAATACACCAATCGACAATGTTCCTGCGTCACCCCCTCGTCTATTCCATAGAGAGCTAATTAAATTTAGTAAACAATACTATCCGCCGGTACAATGTACACGACAAAATGTTATTAGCATACAGTAAACCTGCACTACCGAAACCGTTTAATTATTAGTTATTACTAGTGCGCGATTACACAGTACAACTGTATGTTTGAACGGCCGTGAAATATATTTCCATGGAAATGAATACCCAATTGCAAAATTGACTCATTGGTTTTTTTATATTTTATTTGAAAATAATATCTTATAATAAAGTAATAAAACATGTGAAATTTTCCATTTCCATACATTGTTATTGAAATAACTCTCACTGATCTCTAATAAAAGTAAATGCTTTTTGCAGTATTGACTACGTTGATTCGGGAACACTCAAAACGTGAAACCTTACGATAAACATTTAAATATTTTAATGATCCATGTGACATGGTGCGTTACAGCATACGGCGCATCGGCTTTGTTATTTTTTTTTTTAGTTTTTCCATCTCTATTTTTTTTTATAAATAAAAAGCACTAGTTAATAACTCATGCTGTTGCACGTGTTGCTGCATATCTTTTCGTCGATGAGTAAGTACTCAAATCAAGTAGATAAATTATTTTGGTATTGTAATTAAGAGGAAATCATCGATTATTATCCAACTGGAAGCACAACTGCGATGCCGCCAAAGTAGCCCCAAACATTTAAAAAACTATTCGCGTCGCCGTTATTCGAGTGCGTTATCCGTCCCAAAGTTGAATTCTACATTTTTTTATAGGGCTACTCTAAATATTAAGGCAAAAGCAGAAAAGAAATTATTACAAAAAAAGTTGATGATCAAAAACAAATTAGTTTTAAATTCAATTTTAAACGAATCGTCGCGTCAATTTTCCCAAATAGCTATATTATCGTTGTCACCCTGAGATTATCCGGAGGGGATTCAAGGCCCCCCCCCTGAAGTGTATCTGGATTCAAAACTGATCCGTGCTTACCACAATGAAGGAAAGAAGAAACAAAGCGTTTTTTCTTTTGTGTTATTCGCCTAGAGCATGTGAACACGAATATTTGTGCTGATAACAACCACATGCGCCGCGTGTTAACGTCAACTACGTTCAACGCACTACATAATTGGCCCTCGTCGCGCTCACTATCATAAGTAATATCACCTCTACGCGCTTGTTTCGCAGAATTTTGACATATGCTGCGGCAGTACATATGGCCGACACGTAACTGCCGCGTAGTAAACATACAGTGAAATATTTGTCGGTGTGTTATTTAAAATAGCTGTTTTTTAATTGGTACTCTGTTGACTGGTTTCTTAATCATGAGATTTTGATCGTCGCGATCGTTCTGAATCTCCTACAGATATAGAGTCGCATCTCGTCGATGACTGTCATTTAGTAACATTCGCTCAAGTGTATTCTGAATAATAAAATTTGGCAACTATGCTACTTAATATCTGGTTTACTTTGATTTTGAAATTATTACTTACCAACAGTTGCCGTGAAATAAAACTCCGTCGTTCGTCAATTTCGTTAAATAGGAAACAAGTTTTTTTTTTTTTTTAATAGAACACTAGTTGTTTTACTGAAATTTGAAAATTAACACTTTTATATAATTTCATGAATAACGTTCTGTCTCCCGAGAAGTGGTGTTGACCTTTTTATTTTGCCGAGTCGTTTTTTTAGCTAGATAATTGAACTGTTTATTTTATTACTTTATGGTGGAAGAGAGGGTTCTCAAAATATCGATTTGAACGAATTTGTTTACCTTACTCTTTAACGAGATAATTTTTTATCTAATCAGCACAATAATAATATTTTTGACAGTTGACCAGTTCGTTTTGCATCTTATTCGATCGTATCAAAATTTAAGCTCTTTTGCATGGAAACAGCTTCGCCCCGTCATAGTAATAATAAAATCGATAATTTTCTAAACGGCCACTCTATTATATCATTACGCCACCGGTACAGCTTTCCTTCTTGTCTCGTGACCCTTTTGCCAACTGCACCAGCGGTTCAATTGTGACTTCCCCTGCCCTCGACAAAGTATAAACAATAATGAGTTATCGATCGATGGATATTTTGGGTACACGTTTGGTTTTTGGGGGAGTAGAGATGCGACGGCGGTACAGACAGAGGAGAGAACACGTGTACTCGCAGCAGATCTACGAACCAGCGCATGTTTGGGGTGGCGGATAATCGCAGTTAGTAATATTGGAAAGATCGAATGTGATTTCTTTGCTTCGAGTAGCTCGTCTATGCCATACAGTTTTATTAATTTGACGCCCTTCTACTTCAGTACATCACAGTGTTCGTTCACAATGTTGCGACCATTTGGACGGGGTAGTTAAACTTTGTCAGTTAACGGCGGCAGTGTGGCGTCTGCACGTTTAGTCTGTACTTTTGTCTCCCCCTCGTCGACGCGCCTCACGACTCGACAGATATGTTTTTTCATTCCGAGTATCATGATAATATCCAAACGAAGGTTATTCAATATTTTATTTTTTGTATTCCTACGCTTGTCCGATTTTTACTTTGCAAACAAGTGACTTGATTGGGTAGATTCTTTCCTCGATACTTGGACATTTATTTTTTGTGTATTAAATATTTTCCAAAAATTTGCATTTAAACTCATTCGTAGAATAATGCTGAGCAATAACGAAAGAGTTTTAAATAATTTCTATTTTTAGAGAATACAAGGTAAAAATCAATAACTAGTTTCAAACTATAAGTTTATGACTTTAGTAATTAATACTTAACAAAACTAATTACAATTATTTTAAAGTGTAATAATTACTCTGAAAAACAATAATAAAAAATTAGGTTTGATGATAAAATCGAAAAATTACTTATTTTATCCCGTAAGTGTTATTATTTACCATGATAAATATTTAAAGTTTCATTAACAATAATTAAAATGACCTTATTTTTTTAAATACAACACTATTTGGAACAAAATTATTGGCTCGTAGATGAAAAATTATTTACGGCATTTTAGGCCCAAGTTGTATCAAAATATGAACCAAAATGATCATAGAACTGCCATTACTTCCATTTTGAATATTGAGCGCAATAAAAGTATTGCGCAATTTATCTCTCGTTTTTTCTGATATCTTCTCGTGTTGCCGCCGAATGCTTCAACTCTCTCTCTCTATCATTATTTCTGAACGATACCTTCCCTTCTTACAACTTGCTTACGTTTCCGAGGGGTAAGTTGAGCGTGCGCATATATTGTTGAGAAATACTTCAGAAGACACTCTTAGCAGTTGAAAATTTTAGTCAAACACTTTTATCGTAAATTGTAAAACATTTTTCAGAGAATATTATTTGAACGTAGGCGGTGGTTTGGCTAATGTACTATTAAAAATATTATTGTACTTAATATATATATATAAAATCAGACTCCATAATATTTTCTTCCTTAACTGTCTAAATGGTATTATAACCCAAGATCTTTTTTTAATTGTAGAAGTAAAAAAAAACATAAATATTTAACAATAATCGGTACGTGCACCTAAATAGTAAAACAGCGCCATAGGTACTCATTTTATGTATCTTTTTGTGTTGAATTCTTTCAAAATCAGACGTGTGCATTAAAATATTCAGCTGTTTATTGACTTGCTACAGTTCAGTAGTATCAAATTTTCTCGAATAATCATTTTATCTTTTACGCTGCAATTTGTTACCAGTGCCGAATTAAAGAATGTTAATTTTTTCATTCCCATATATTGAAATACTTAATAATTGTACTATTAAAGATAATTTCTTCGAACTTATCATTTATTATTTTTAACTATGAGTAATAATAACTATAACTAATAAATTAAACTAATTGATAAAATAAAATAAAACGCAGTTAAAATTTTTGCTCTGAATAATATGAAATTATTCAATATATTTCAGCTAAACATTTGTGCCAATAAAAATAAAAGTAATTGTTTGATTTTTTTTTTTAAGATTTCTAGTTTAAAAACTTGTTTGAAATTTTTAAAAATGAAAAAAATTATTTAAAAAAACAGTAAAAATGTTTATCATTTATTGATTTCTCATCTTATCATGAGATCAAATTGTTAGTCGCCACATACTGAAACGAGATATACGCATTGTACATGGTCAAATTGAGATTAGTTAATTTGCATTTTACTGCTGCCGATATTTAGCAGTATAATGTTTGATAATCCTCTTCAAGGGTATACAAGATTTCATTGTTCTTAAAAACTATTTATTTTTTATTTTAAATAGTTTTACTAATGTGTATTCTTATTTAAATTAATATTATTACTAAAAATTCTAATCTAATTAGTCAAGTTCATCATTTTAAGTCATATATGTATAAATAATATATACTGTTTTTTTATAATTGATACTTAGAGTTTTATTTGAGTAACGGTCGAGGACAAGGGTATTATTGTATAGTATACTTAAAAATATAACATAACCTTGATAGTCAATTGACATCTATTTTACTGCCTAAAAGGATTTTTGGTTCTTTATTTCAAATCATTAATTTTTTTAAGATATTTAAAATACTTTAAATTCTGTTAGATCTAGATGTAGTTGTTCATTGTGTTGATTGTTTATGTAAATAATTACGTTATTTTTATACATTATGAAGTTGCATTGCTACCATCCTAACATATGTATAAGAGTTGTTTAGAAATCAATCTATCATTATTAAAATACTATTTATAGCTCGTGTAATATTCTGCTTGTATCGTTTATTTGTATAAACAAAACAAAGTACTGAGTGCGATTGGCTTTCAAAGAAAATTAAGCAACCATACAACAAAGACAGATTTGTTTTTTTTTTATGTTAAATAATTTGATAAATTATTGGTGTATAAAATATTCCTTAACTCAAAAATATATAGATATGTGATAACCGAATTGATGCAGAGCGACTTGCATAAAATCATTGTTTCACCTCAACAACTATCGCCAGACCACATAAAAGTTTTTCTCTATCAAATACTACGAGGTCTCAAATACTTGCATTCAGCACGTATATTACACAGAGACATCAAACCTGGCAATTTACTTGTTAACAGTAATTGCATATTAAAAGTACGAAAATCTGCTCAGTAGTAAACTTAAAAATGATCTTTTATTAGGAATATAAATTATAAAACGATTATTGTAGATATGTGATTTTGGTTTGGCTCGGGTAGAAGAACCAGATGAGACCAAGCATATGACTCAAGAAGTAGTTACTCAGTACTACAGAGCACCAGAAATCCTAATGGGCGCCAAACATTACACGGCTGCAATAGACGTGTGGAGTGTTGGTTGTATATTTGCAGAACTTGTAACTAGAAGAATATTATTTCAGGGCCAAGACACGGTCCAACAAGTTAGTATTTGTTCTTATATTATAAAATATTAGGGCTATGTAATGTAATAATTATTTAACTTAACATTTTATAGCTCGAGTTAATAACAGACTTATTGGGTACACCAACAATGGAAGACATGACCCATGCCTGTCCAGCAGCTCGTTCACATATGCTCATTAGACGCATGAAGAAACCTTCTATGTCACTTTTATACTCACTTTCTTCACTCATGACCCACGAAGCAGTTCATTTAATTTCACAAATGTTGGTTTTCAATCCAGTAAGTTTCATTAACAATTTAATGATATTTATTTTATTTAAAATATATAATACCCAAATGGGCAATGAGTATACATAAATAATAAGTAACAGAAACATGTATAAAACTAGTTTTAAATAAAAATAAAAACATTTAACTAATTAAAAAAAATATATCTAAAGGTATGCATGGTGATTTGTTTATCAAAACCCAACCTCCTCAATTACTTATAAAATAAAAATAATTATAATTTTTTTTTTTTTACTTGCATATTATTCTGGAATTATTAGCTACGTAATAATTTTTTAGTTCATACCTTATGTCTTGTAAGGGTGACATATATTCAAAATATATGTTACCATTTGAAAAAAACCAATGACACCCTTACAAGGCACATTATATAAACTCAAAAAGTATTACATAACAAGAATAATATGTAACTGTATCCAAAAAAATATGTATAAATTATTTCTATTCTGTGAGTAATTGAGTAGGTTATGGCAAAATAATCATTCTGTATAAAAAGGAAAACATACAAAATCAACTTTTAAATTAAATACAAGTATAATTCATTACTGAAAGTATTGTATTTTAATATCATGTAATTCACTAGAGAAAATTAACTATAATTCTGGCAATGGATTGGGGTGTAGATTAAGGGTATTGAATACAATGTAAACAGGGTGGGTAAAGCTATTTATATTGAATTTGAATGCTCATTCGTTGAAATCTAGGTCAATATTTTTAATTTTAATCACTATTATACATTAAAAATTAATGTAGCAGCTTTTCTATTTTATTAATCAAAGTGCTCCTCTAATTATGGGGACCAGAGAAATATGAAATAATTTTTGCTGTTTATACATAATAAATGTTAAATATTTAAAATAGTTGATTGCTGAATAAATTAAATGATTCTTTATTTATAATAATTTCTAAATTTAGGACAAACGTATGTCAGTGATGGATGCATTGGTCCACCCATATATAGATGAAGGCCGACTGAGGTATCATAGTTGCATGTGTAAATGTTGTTTTACAGTACCAATTACTGGTCTAAGACATTTTTGCATGGATTATGAACCAGTTGCTCCACAAACATTTGATGATAAATGGGAGAAAAAATTATCAAATGTACAACAAGTCAAAGGTAAATTTTTAAAATTTTCCATTAGTTCATTATTAATAAAATCGTAATGTATTTTTTTTTACTCTTGCAGAAGAACTTCATAAATTTATCGGTGATCAATTAAGTAGTCATCGTGTGCCGTTATGTATAAATCCTCAATCAGCAGCTTTTAAAAGTTTCTCGAGGTAAGATTGGGAAACAATCAACACTCCTGAGTTTTCATCCACAATTAACTACACCTCAATTAATCGGTACTAATTTGATATAATATCCAAAGAATGTTGAGAAAATATGAACAGAATACATAATATTAGTTTTTAATTTTATCCATAATGAATAAAAACATTCATTCAAGCAGTATGTTTTTTTTCATCCTATGGCTAATTTTTTTCAATATTTTATTTATTTAAACAAATAAACTAATTTAACTAATAATTAACTTTAAAAAATTAACCAAAAGCTTAAAGCTTCTAGAAAAATTAAAGACCCTATAAGTATCTAAAAAACACTTAACTTATTGTGAAAATTTTTAAATGTAAATATCATCTATAATTTAAATACATTTATTATATATAGTAATATATAACTTAAAAAGATTAACAACCAAATTTATTGGCAACATTCTGCTATAAATATTAGAAATCAAACAACTATTCATTAGTCATATTATTAAACTATATTTAATAATGAGATATTTTTGGTTTTAATAATTAGTTAATTGTAAAATGTTTTGATATTATAATTAACAATTAGTTTAATTTTCACTATCTCTTATATTTGTTTTTTTAGATGTTTTTTGTGCTTGTGTATGTTTTATAAATATAAATAGTATTAATCACATATAATACTAACTTATAGAGGGAAGGTGTGGCCGAGTAACCCGTCCCGGAGTATCAATGGTTAAGAAACCTTATTTGGAAGTGTTAAAAAACATAATTATAAAATAAAACTAACCAAAATATTACATATTTTTTCTCTTGCCAAATATTTTACTGTATTGCTATTTCTAATTTGCTAGTTTTTTTATATGCATTATTTATGATTACACTCGTAATGAATTTTGTTCACATTAATTTTACCCGGTTAAATAACATTTTAGTAATTCAATTCTTAATTTACAGTGATGTTTAATCTTAGCAGACTGCCACTTTATTTTCTGAACGTGATAACCGGATCTCAAACTGCACTTTCGAGATCGAGACTGATCAATGACATAATAAAATCAAGGATAGATAACTAAATTAAAAATTGTATATAATCCTATAGTTTCTCTTTCTTTCATTGTATTGTGTGAGCCAAATGTTTATTTTTTCTTTTTGATAGATGTATGTGCCCATACTTTTTATATATCCTTTTATTTTATGTAATTAAAATAAATTCCTATAACAAATCTAATTTTTAATGTTTAATAACTTCAACAAGTTAGTGCTAAATTTCTGTAGACTATTCTCAATTAACTCTATTTTTACAAAATAATACATGTGATTTAATATTTCATTTTTATACCATGCTTGTTTAATAATGATTTTTTTTGGAATATTTTAATTTTTGGGCGTATTAGTAATGTTAATGGTGTTATAATAATAATCATGAAAAGAAAAAATGTGCACGGTAAAATATTTGTAAATAGTATACCAGTACCTAAGTGAGTTTTTTTAATTGTAAATAATTTGTAAAATTTAGAAATTACTTGCACTTAACATTGTCATGTACTTTTTGTAGATTTACATCTACATATATCGTTCAATCAATGTAATGTCATACAATTATTTTTAAGTATATGAATGAGTCGGACTTAAAAATTTCAATTTTTACTGAAATAATTTATTGATATTTAATATGTATATTTCAATTTTGTCATAAAATAATATGTGTGAATTATTTTAATTCTTTTTGTATTTGATACTTTAATATTGTTTGATTTTTTATTTTATTCTAACTTTTTTGTAGTAACTAATTTGTATATGTATTAAATTTATATGATTCTTTTTGCATTTAATTAAACCCTCCTTTTTTATTTGTATAACCAATTGTTAAAAAGCCAAAGTTCACAAGTCCGACTCTTAAAGGCCAACTATTTGTATAATAATAAACTGTAAATAGTACATAATATTTTAAAATAAAAAACAAGAACGAATCTAAATTAGTATTAAGTTATTTGAAAAATAATTCATTGGTGACTGTTTTGAAATGTAATAAACATATTGAATAAAACTTGAACGAAAAATAAAGAATACTCTAATATAGAATCAAAAACTGTTACTATTAAATTCTTTTAACCAAGAGAAAATACTAATTAATAAAATAGATCAATTTAAAATAAAGGTTTATATGAAAGTTGCCCTTTATTTTGTTTAGAGGTATGTCACACGACCTAACATGACGACTTAATGAGTGTTTGCTAAATTTTCCTGTTTGAAACTATTGATTAAGATGTTTTGTAAATGTAATTTATAAAATTTTATATTATTACATCGGCCATGAAACAAAGAGTAATAGTAATTAAAGATGAAATCTCAGTGTTTCAATACTATATTTATTTTTGAAGTTCATTGAAAATAATGTACTTAGGAGGTTAAAGGGTCGTAACAAACTATTCAATCGCTATTTTTGCCCTAATTTTTATCTATATTGATGGTTTTATCTATATTGATGACTATACAATAAATTTAACAGTGACACACCTCGTCACCTTACTGCTTCCCTCATCCATGAGGTTACGTTAGGTCGAAAGCTGGTTTTAAAATTTTGTCGAATCATTGTAAGATAAAGGCCACTACAAATAGTTGACTAATAAGTAGAGACTAAGGAGATGATGACTGAAAATAAAATGTGATACATGTAATTCAAAATATTAAAATAAATATTTTGGAAAAACTTCATTGGTACGTATAATAAAAATTAATGAACAAAATAAATTAATAAAATTATATTTATGGTAACTTTAAAAGAAGTTTTCTCTAGTTACATTTTATCAAATTTTTATATNGAACAAAATAAATTAATAAAATTATATTTATGGTAACTTTAAAAGAAGTTTTCTCTAGTTACATTTTATCAATAAATCGAAGTACATGTTACTAACACATTACTGGGTAAATTTCCAATTAAAAAAAATTTATTGAGTTTTTTCGTTTCAACAAAAAAGTAAAATGTAGGGAAATTTACATCAAATTATGTCAGACAAACATTCACAATATCATAACTATACATTTTTATTAAATATATGTAAAATGTATTGTATAGTTGTAAAAAAATTTTGAAAATAAAAAATAGCTCCACATAAAATTGAAATTGTTTTGATTAAAGTTGTTTTATCATGATAAATAATTAAAATTATTGATTTGTTAATATTTGTTAATTACTACAGGAAATATTAAAAATCATAAGTTATTTTTAATTGATTTGTCCTGGTTAAATTTTGATGAATTCATTAACTTTAATGTTAACTTTTGACTATTTTGAAAATGCTTAAATAGACTTAGATCTGATGTTTGTTTTTCAACAGTTCCTGTATCATTATTTGTAAATTCACTAGATTCGCTTTTATCTCTAAGAAAATCGCTAAATTTTAAATTACTAAGCCTCTTTATTGGCTTTTTGGACTGTTTAAAATAACAGTCAATAGTCTTTTGTGTAAATTTTGTAGTACTCGGTAAAAATATTTTATTTACTAATTTTTCTTTAATATCTTGTTCAAAATTCATTTTCAAGTTGGATTGGATAAATAAATCTGATTTCTTTGGTTTTTCTACAGTATTTTCATTATTTTTTAATTTACTCGGATAAAATGTAGGAAGAGACGAATAAGCACAACATTCAACAGTTTTAAGGTTATCATGTATACGCTGTGACAAAGACTTGGTATTTTCTTTTGGTTTACTGGGATTTTCTTTGTTTAATTGTAAATTTATTTTTCTAATTTCAGACTGAATAGGAATTTTCAACGATGGTATTTCAAACTTCTTAAAATTGTCGCTCCTATGATAATATAACAATCAAATTTTATAAAAATGTAATGATTTTTAAATAAAATTGATTAGCAATATTTTTTTATGGTGTGATTTCGAAAGCAGCAGTTTTTATTTTAGTTAAAATAAATCAACAAAAAGCTAAATACCTTCTTTAAAAAAAGAATTTAAAAGTCATAAATTTGACAGCACTCTCATAGTTGGTAATTGGTGTTATTTTAATATTTTTTTTTATCTTAAATTATAACGTTTGAGTTTATTAGTTACTTAGAGATAAGTATAGGTTTATTCGAAATGTTGTATAATATTATTATTAATAATAACCATGTAAACATCTGATAACCATAGATTCAATTAAATATATTTATACTTACTTTAAATAATTCTTTTTTTGTTCAGATTGATTTTCAATTGTGGTATTTATTTGATCTAATAAAAAGTAATAATTTAAAAGTTATTTAGTCTATGTGCCATAATTAAGTAATATTTGTGAGGAACTATGATATTGTTATTATTAAAATAAGAAAAACAAATGGAAATATTAATGACCGAAAAATTGGCTATAGGTGAGAAAAACCTGAAAAAGTTTATAGTTTGAATTTTTCAAGAGTCAGATTCAACTAATAATGTCGGTGTCGGAGTAAGGTGGCGACTCAAGCAATCGCTTAGGCACCATTAAACCTCTGTCTGCTTCGAATATAACCACCATTTTCTAAGTATTCACTTACCTTAAGCTAGGACACTATACAATATAAATGTTAACTTACTTTTACTCGAATTTAATGAAAAGCTGTCACTATTATCACTGTAGTCATCAATATTCGTAAAAATGTAATCTAAATTGTCCCCTTCAAAGAACCTAAATTAAGGCACACAAAAAATATTAGGCATACTAACTACTTAAATATTTTAAAACAACCCGCTTACTCATTGATTGAATTATGTTCATCAAATACAGCAATGTTATCACTTGAATAATTTTTTTCAACCTGAGCTATAAATAAATGAAAATAAAAGACATTACGATTACTAATAATCAAATCAAGAACTCTCAATATACTTCTATTACTACGTCATCTATATTTTTTAGTAATTAAATAAGACAAGACAACGTGAACTAGAAATATAATTTTAAGTAATGAAAATTCAGAAATTATTATAAAATTATAAAAAATAATGTTTGTAATAAACGAACGAGTACTTTTTGATTAATCATAGATAAAATTAGACCTTTACATTAGATCAAGCCAATCCCTTTTTTTATGTGATATGATGAAACTAGGAAATATTAGTTTCCTAGCTGGGAAGGGATTTCAACGGCAAATTAAGTTAGCACCTATATTCAACATGGCTTATAAATAGAATTATTTACCTTATATTTTTCTAATTCTTTTAGTTTACATAAAATACTTACATTATTTGAAAATTAAAATTATATTAAAAATATTATTAATTTAAAACTAAAAAATATTAAAAATATTTAAATTAAAGAGCCACAAGATTTACTGAAAAATCACGGATACGTATTTTGGGAACAATGTTACCATTATCAACGTTAAACACATACTGTTTTACATGCCTAATTACAGCCCCACAGTGCAGTATAAATTACCTAGGTTTTTATTTTCTGCAGAAAAATCATTATTTTCAACATTTATGTTACCAATTGTTTTATTTTCTATATCAAAGAAAGAACTGTTTTTCTTTTTCATAAAATTGGTCTGTAAGAAAAAATATTCATACCATTTTATTTAATAATTTTCTAGAGTTATAAAAAATATGTAACGACAATTGTTATATTATATTTACTATTTCTATTTGTTGAGAAACATCTAATGAATCATTTTCTCCGCTCATCACAACTTTAGTAAAATCGGAATTGTTTATCAAGGGTAATATGATTTCGATATCGTTTCCCACTAAAAAATTCAATTCATAAAAATGTCATATTAAGAAATAATAACACAACGAATTCAGGTATTAACTATGTGTATGTTATAGCAATATTTGTTATACCCCATTTATCACTAATTAGACACACAGCAATTGAGTAATTATGACCCTTGACATTTGGTTTGTTGAGATTCTCTAGATATACCGAAGTGCGAACGACTTGGCTTTCATCTTTGAAAAAATCTACATTTCTATTAAACATATGCATTATTCAAATACGACTAGTCACCAAATGAAAATAAATAACTTACTGTTTATGAAGAATTTTTAAAAGGCAGTTAATTGAATCGCCTACCAATAAGGCAACTGTATCTCGTGATCTCTTAACTACATTCTCTGGATTCATCAAAGAAATTTCAAAATTTATATTATTCGAATTTTTCTTATACGAAATTAATAGTTTATACATTGGAATTTGTTTTATGAAATTTTTAATACGATTTCCGAATGGTGGCAATCGACCTAAAATCTAGGCATAGTTATTTTTAATTAAATACCTTTATGTTTTTAATAAAAATAGATTCCGTTTACTTATTTAATTCTTACCAGTAATCATTTTGCCTTTTACATTAATGGATTAGTAATAAATTAGTAATACCTAAATACTATTTCAATATTTAAATAAAATTGTCGGTATTTTATTACAATATCTTTAAATTGCTAACGGTAGATAATTATTAAGTAAATACGAAAATGGTAATTCACACTAGGCTAATGATGTGATAGAAGTGTACACATAAAATCCCGTTTACGCGAATTCTTTACCACTTTAAAGACAACTTAATTACTCTTCGTGTTTAAAACATTTATTTAGTTTACAGGTCAAGGACACCAAAAAAGTGATGAATATTATGACAGAATCGTGCTGTCATCTTTCCATGAATAGACACATTTATTTATAAGTATATTTTAGGTGTATACATTTTAAATGCAATATAATGAGATTTATCATCATCATATAAAAACATTATATAATTTCGATATTCAATCACTTAATATCACAAAATCTATACTAGTAACAAAAACAATTAAAAAAGTATTTAACGTATGTTATAACATATATTTATCCGTTGTTTAATATTTTATTAAGCAAAAAGCTTAAATTATATGTTACAAAAAAGTAATAAATAATTTTTTTTTAATAAATTTATAAGTGATATTGGATTATTTAAATTATATGTTATACTTACAATACGCACATTGTAAATGTTGACCAAGTAAAAAGCCCAATTTTTGGGAAGTCAAATTTATTTACAACTTAAAATTATTATTTGAAAGAATTACAGAATTTTGTACTTACTCGCTCTATATCTCTAGGATTTGTGTTTAATATCGCCTGGATTGAAATTATTTCATTTTTAACTAAAAATTCGGACAAAATTGGCCCTATCCCAGTCATTTGTTTGGTTATATGTTTTGAGTTCTCCCAAAGTTTGACATTTACACATTTCAATAAAATACAAGTTGCGCGAGCACCAATAAAATTATTTTTCTTAGGGACTATTTCTTTTAATGCTAAATATTGAATATTTAAATAACTTCTACAGAAAAAAAATAGATAAAGAAAAAAATGATTGTAACTTACCATTAGCCAAACAAATAGATATTTTTTCTATTCTGTTTGCATCTTGCGCCAGTAACTTGTCTGTTATATTTAAAGATCCAAGTGTTGCTTGTAAGAGACTTTAAAATTACATTTAAAATTATTATTTAGTAAACATATAGATTTAAACTACTTTTTATTACCAATTAATTTTATCCTGCCTGGTTTTAATTCCTCCTTCGATGGGAAATCTAATGGTCTTGTCATCTGTTGATTCGCTTTTATTCCAATTGTTAAGTATACGTTTTTCTTTATTTCTTAATTTAATACTTTCGAATTCTTTACAATTAGCTAATATTCTAATCAATTCTCTCAAATCTTCATTTCCCTTTAACTTAAGATTTTAATGATTAAGTATTATATAGTATCCTCCAATGATATTATATATTACTTTAAATTAATTTTATGCTTTTCATATGCCGTATATAAAGAATTCATTTAAGTCATAAAACTTAAAGCACATGAAACGCTTTAATAAAATTATAACGTATCGTTTTATAGATTTAATTAACCAATATAATAAATGTGGTAAGACACACATTTCAAAGGTAATCTAATGCAATTCAACTATAATTATTGTCTTACCGTCATAAAGGTTTTAATTGTTTCAAAACTGATCATATATTTTGCCATTATTTCTCCCTCTGCATTCGGATAGATCATACGTTCTTCAATTACATTGACTAGTCCATTGTAAAATAATTTTTTAATTTCTTCTAGGCATAAATCTACATATACCATTGATATAATCAGAAACTTATTACAACACAAAAATAAAACTTCACTCACTGTGAAGTTGATTTTCAACTTCTTTAGGGTTAAGACTATGTAGCATTGAGTAGTTTTGGGGTGATTTGCATGCACGCACGTACAGAAATGTAGAACGGATCCAATTTTTTACGACGGATACATCGTCGATTGTTCTACATGATATTTCTGTATTTAAATGATCGATGAGATTTTTATGAAGATTGCTTTCTACTAAACAATTACCAGCCAGTAAAATTTCATACTTTTCCTACAAAAAATAACAATTATTGCAATTTTAATTTATTGCTTGAACAATTACATCATCTCTTAATACTTATTTTATAAATTACCATCATATTGTAGATTAATTTACTTAAGACTTTAATGAAGCTATAGAAAAAAAAATTAATTCTATTGTTTTATTCGTATTTGATAATAATAATATAAAATCTATTTTTATATTTTTAAAACTTACTTAGAATTTTAAGACAAACAGTTTTTTCGAAAGGTGTCGAATTTTTAATATTTTTTTTTGTTCATATTTTATAAAACCAAAAAAATAATTTTTTTAATTTTTTCAAATTATTAACGGAATTTATAAAAGGTATACCTTAACAAAATCCTAGGTTTAAAACAATAAATCCAAAATTGATTCTAAATAAATTATGTTGGTTACTTATTGTCTCTCATAAAATAACTTCATCGTTTCAGTTAAAAAAATCTTAGATACAAATTAAGATAATACAAAGCTTGTTGTTAACAGTATAGTACAATAATAAAAAGAAAACATCTTCAAATTTAAAAATTCTTTTCTATTATTGACAGCGCTGTTTTTAAATTTAACGGGTTTTATAAATAAATTCTAAACCAAGTAACTATAGTTTTGAACAATCAAATGTGATGTCTATAACATTTATACGTCAGTTAAGCCATTAGGTATAGTCTTAAAGACTAATTTTATACATATCATCATCAGTCAAACGTTAAGTAAACATAGATGAATGGAATTCATATACTATATATAAAAGCATGCACAAATTTGAAAAGTTACTTTTGACAAACAATTTTCTTTTCTTTTTAATGGCTTAACTTAAGTTTAATGTAATATTGAACACTGTAACTTTGGTTCTTTAATAAATGATACGATGCAAGTTTGTTAGTTCATTGCACGTTTTTAATAGTGTGTACTACAAACTATGTATCTATTATGTGATTTATGTTTTATTTTATTTGTAAGGCCGCGCTCATCTGTAATATTTTCTTACGTAAGAAGTTCTTAGGATCATGTGACGGTTAAAGAGACGTGATTTTTTCCCAATCCCTATCTTTACGCAATTATTTTCAATGATGGCTATTAACTCTGCTTAAAACTGCCGCCAGGCTTCGACAGCACGATGACTTCTTTTAATGTTTTATCCGATAATTATACGATATAGATAAAAAATAATAGAAATCCTTAACCAATGAAATAACAAATAAAATTAAAAAATATCCACATAGATTTGCAATATGTTTATATAAACATATAAATATTTCAACTATAAGAAAAAACAGAAAAATTGGATTGCCTTATAATACCTTTATTCAGTATTTGACATTGTTTAAGTCACTACAAAGCAAACGATTATATAAAATAAGTATAACAATATATTACAGCCTTGTTACACATACCGATATGAGTAATTACGTTTATAATGGTACCATATGATTCATAGACTCAAACTTCACAATAAGACAATCGTTATATTCGACAAATGATACGTGATGTTATAAGAACAGAGAGACCAGTTTTTTGGTTATTATTTTTTAAGTGTATTGTTGACAGAGAGGTGCGCAATATATCAATCTACTTTCACACAAGTCCCAAGAAAGGTTTGCCATTCACAAAGGTCATGTCATAACCTCTGTGGGACGTGTACCCTTGTGTGAATGTAGGCTGATACATTTCCTGTAATCGTATTCGTTACATGTTAGGTAGTAAGATTACTGTAACTAAATCACAAATCGCGGTAAACAATCACAGTATCAACAAATTATACATTATGTCTTGCGTCATTTCAATAAAAGTTTACTATTTAAATCAAAATTATTATGAACACACTGAACGTGGATATGGGATATTTACTTAGGATATCTCAAGGCTAGGATAAGCTTTGGTGTCCTAGATTGGAAAGAATCAATAATTTTAAATTGTTCAAAAAAACTGAATGTTTTACTACAATTCATAACTGATTATGTTACACCCAAAGAAAAACCTCAATCAAAATTGAAAGAGAAATTTTATCAAGGGTTTATGATAATGTTTTATTAATACGAACAAAATAACTATTCTTATAAATAATTATTGTTCAAGACAAGAAAAAAAAATATCATATTGATAAATATATCATTGATTCAATAGTAATGATATATTTATCAAATTGAACAATGAATTTATTATATAGATGGAGGTTTTTTTCTGGGTGTATAATTTCTAAATAATTTACTGATATCCCATATCCACGAACAACACTAAGTTTTCTAGATACTTCCCAGAACCTTCTTGATAACAGTTCTGTGTAAACCCAAATAGTATGTGAAATCATTGGAGTATTTACGAAGGCGTTCGGTTTTCATACTCCCTAAAAAACAAAATTAATTACATGGCGAAGATACAATTTTTTTCGTTTAAAGAGGTTAAAAATTTTTTTTTTTATTAATGTACTCCTCCAGAATGAAAGCCTAATTACGCCATTGTGTAAAATGATTATTTTTGAAGTCGAGACAAAAAAGTAATTTTTAGAAAGCTATACCACGACATTATAAATTTAATAATTGAAGTTTTTGTCAAATTTAATTTAATTTTCTAATATTTGATATCAGTTTAACTTAAAACGCAATTTTTCATTAAAATTAATACTTAATTCTTTTATTTTTCGTATTTTTGATAAAATAAGAATGATTTTTATAAGATTACTGTGGAGTGATAAACATGTAGAAGTAAAATTTTATGTGCAACAACAGGTTATTATTTACTGTTGGATAGATGCAGGATATAATCATGTTATATAATTTTAGATCGTGAATGGATTGAATTAAAACATTTTTAAGAATTTTTTCTTAGAATCATGTCAACAAATGACTCATATAGCCTTAGTTGAAATTCACAATTATTGATGATACACGTGGTTCTTGCGGCCTTTAAATAAAGGCTTTGTTATCTTTTAACGTACCTATAGTATTTATTAAAACATATGTAGCCTACAACGGCTGAGTAAACACGACGCTTGTAATATTCAATAGTTATAAACGAATATACATTGTTTGTTTGGTATATATAATGTAGACAATGGTTCATTTTTTGGATTTTTCATTTTATTAACCGGCACTAGTTACAAAAGAATAGAAAATTATTATCAATGAATCAGCAAACAATCCACCAATATGTATTGAAATATAAATGTACGTGATCTCATCAATTTTTTATTGAAATGAATAGAGTATTTATTGGATAAATTGGGTTTCTAATAATTTTAAGAACTACCAGTTATCATTATATGAAAATAAAGCTATGATATAATGAATATAAATGTTTAAATAATCTTTCATAAGTTGGATACATTGATGTATCCAATAGACACATTTTTTCTTGTAATATTTTATAAAATATAATTTTATAAATATATATATATTTAGTATAATGTAATGTAATGAATGCATAACAAAAGCACTATTTAAAAAAAAAAAGGATTTCCTCTGAAATTAATTTTATGCACTATCAACTACAATGGTATAGTGATCTTTAATGACAGTTAATTTTTAATGATATGACTAAATTATGAAATATCTCAAGTCTAATTAAGTGCGAAATTTAACTTTATATAAAAAATAAATACTCTCATAGCTTATTCTTCCGACTTTCCTATGAATTATATAAAAAGTATTTAAATGTCAACTATATGTTAAGCCCAACGTTAACGTATAGTCATGAATAATAGAAACATCTTCATGTCATTTGTGGAACTATTACGCCTGCAATTTATTTAATATGTAAACTTTATATTATTTACAGGCTCATAATTCAAGTGTATCTAAATATTGTTACGCATCTTTTCAACGATTCATCAAACATGAAATAAATATATTAGTAAATATTTGTGTAATATGTTTATTTTATTAAATATAGCAAGTGTTATTAATAATAAAATAACAATAATAAAAACTCAACCAACAAGTATAATAGTTTTATTAGCAAAAAGGTTATGTTATTGTGACGCTAATATTTCGTTCAATTCATTATAATATTAGTTATTTCAATAGTAAGCTGGATTTATCAGATTATGATAAAACAAAATACATTTTACATTTTTTATGACTTCATAAGTCGAATAAAAATATAGAAATTAAAAACAAATTATAGAAGTCTTCTAAAAAATTAAAATACAAAGAGGAATGCTAAGAAAAAAGAGAAACAATTAAAATGTTTTATAAATTTGGCCTTTAAAAATATAAAGTATTTTCTCAATAAATATATTTCATTATTATATAGTAAATTAATAATATAAATAAGAATGACGGGTGTATAATTATTATTTTTATATTGAGAAGGAGATTTAAAAAATCGTTGACGATTGCGCGTTGAGTTCAAAGGTTAACATTGCGTGTAGATTCAACAAAGCGAAGAAAGCATAACGTAATACTAAACACTAAAAAGTAAGCATTCAATTTTTTTAGTACATGAACAATATTAAAGGAACACTTCAAAGCCCATACACAGATAGACATATGTATTTACCCTTCGATGTATTATATCCACGAAATTCAACCTTCAAATCAATTAGATAAATCACTTTCACAAAAATGAAAATACAATTTTTTCCAAAATAAGAAAAGCGATTTTTATACTTTATGTAAATAAAAATTAATAAGATCAATTTTATGATCGAAATGTATAGAATAGTATTAAAAGAATTAGCAGCATTACTTTTATACAATATACATCATAGTTGTAATTTTAATGTCAAAAACAACGAATATGAAGATTGTAATAATAAAATAAATACTCAATCTTGTAAGTTTTATAATAAAATAAAATTTTTGCTTAATTGTCCGATCAGAGATTTTTCAGATATATTAAACAATTAAAATAATTGTGATTTTATATGTTTAAAATTTGAAAATAATTAAGAGTAAACTTTACATTCTTTACACTACAAAAAAAAAACATTTAAGTGTATATACGAAAGTTTGATTAAACCATAAGATTAAATTAGATTAATACCATCCATTTTTATAAATATAATTTATATACATCATTTTTAAACATTTTTTGTGATATCAATCCATGTTAAAACAATTTGAATTTTATTTTAAATTTTTTAAATTTTAGAAAATTGTTATATTCTAATTTTAGAATAATCAATATTAAAAAAAGTGATAACAATAGTCGCTTAACAAAAAAATGATTTAACTATAAATTATAGTGTAACAATTAAAGCAATATTGGCAACTACTTTCCAATAAAGGCGGAGCAAAATTATGCGACTCCTCAATTAAATGGAATGGTAAAGTAAAGTCACAAAAGGGAGAGGTGTATATTTAAAGGAAACGATAGTCAATCTATGTTATTATTTTATATATAACAAGTTAATAGTAAACACTAGTTCTAAGTGCGAGTTTTTTACGGAATAATTATTATATAAGTTTGTTTAAGTAAAAAAAATTCTTTAATATAAAAATTGTTAAAATATCATTTTATTATAGAATAATCAAAATGTATTTTAAAGGAAGATTAATTGTTTTTATCGTATTTACTGTGATAGTTAGGTGTTATGGAAGGCCACAAGAAGAACCTACTTCAAAATCAGTAGAAAAATTCGAGCCTGTAAGTACTGAATATTTTCAATAAAACTTTATGCCATAATAAAATAGAATAATATTTTTACTAAGAGTGATACGCATGTGAAATAATAGCGTAGTATTTTTTTATTTATAATTTATATTTAACTTTATTTTCAACTTATTCTATTCAAAATACATTTTTAATATAAATTTAATGATTATAATAAAAATATTTCTAACTTAAATGTTATATATTGAATTTGATCGAATTTTAATAAAGTATTAAAAATCGTCTTAAAGGCGAAAATTTCTAAATAATCATTTATCAATTATTAATTTATTTTGTACACAGTGTCTTTAAAAAATTGTTATATTTTTATTATTTAGTCTTGTCAAATTTACATTTAAAGGTAGAACATTTTTTAATATTCGGTTATTATATTAAGTACCTTTTTTAATAAATGTGATTTAGTATGAAAAGGGTTAAAAAGTAATATAATTAACTAGGCGACAAAAAAAAATTCTATGGGTTCCCTGTTCTTTAATTCTTAAACCATTAAATACGAAAAATATAAAAACACTTCTCTTCCTATTTAATAATTAAGCTTTAATAGTTAACAAGTTACTTAATAAGTAGATAATTTAATAACCTATTGTGAAGAATTTTTATTTTAAGAAAACGCTTAAGGAAAATTATCAAGTTAGACAGCCCAATACTTTGTATTTAACGACTTTTTAAAATTTTTTAAATTATTCATGAGGAAGAATCAATAAAATCATTTTTGTATAACAATGGAAGTATTTTTTTTAATAATCAATAATCTTTCGAAAAAAAATGTTTTTATTTCTAAAACGCTTAAAATATGTTTCTATATTGTAAGTATGTATTTCACAAAAAAAACTTAAAATGTCGAGTTACGTGATTTTGTAACAGAGACGACAATATTGTAAAAGTAATAAATATTTAGTTATTCACATGAGTGCAAATTATTAAATAAAAAAAATTTAATAAATTAAATAAATTTACTCAATTAGGGAAAACTTTAGTGATACAAAATATTGAACATAAAATTATATTTGATATGACTAAGAGAAACGTATTCAGAAAGATCAAAAGAACAAACGTCCAATCAGTAAATTTTAAAGGGATTTATCTAAGAAATCATTGATATTTTTTGTTTTTAATACAAAAGTCTTTTAATTAACTAAAATTTAATAAATTATCATTTTTTTGGGTATAGAACAATTTTAAATATATTAACTCGGGGTAGTAAAATCTAAAATATATCTCTGATTACAACAAACATAATTAAAAACAAATTTTTTAATCATTATTTTAGAATAATAATTTCTTATATCAGAAATATTTTACATTATTTTTTAGTATGAATATGAGTATAAAGTAGATGATCAGCCTAGTGGAAATTACTTTGGACAAAATGAATCAGGAAAAGATACAGGTCGAGTAGAAGGTTCCTATTTTGTTTACTTGCCAGATGGTAGACTTATGACTGTATCTTATTACATCGACGGGGAAAGTGGTTTTGTACCAAAAATTACCTTCCAAGACAATGCAAATCCATTTGGCCAAAGTGCACATGCAGACATAAGTAAAGCTCAAACAAGATAGATAATTTATATAATAATAATTATACAAACAAATATATTCGATTTCAAGACAACTTATTATTGTTTTATTCTATTTTAAGAAATTGAAAAAATATAAATTATATGTATGAGCTTATAAGACGATCTTTAAAAAAAACTGCCGAAAAAAATAAACTCGGGTAATTAGTGAAATATACAATGCTATTAAATATATTTTTATTCTATTATTAATTTTTCAAACATACTTAAATCAAATAAAATTGCTATTTTGTACATTGTTATATTGTATATACATTTTACGATTTATAATAAAATATTTATACAGTTTTTTATTATTTTATTCATAAAAATCTTATCCTGTTATAGTACTATAACCCTAAATTTCTTAAAAGTTGTGCTATGTACCAGGGAAAAATATTTGAATTTGGGTCTGGAAAAATTTTTCTGAAAATCAGAACTTAAAATATTCTAATTCTTTGATCAACGTTGTGTAATATAAACAGTTCACATAAAATACTCTCACAAGTTAAAAAAAAAATTAAAGCCTAATAATAAGACGGATCCAAAATCTATTATCCATACCAGATCATTTCCGTTTTTTATAAAAAAAAATAGTTTTGATGTTAAATTTAGAGGACATTTTATGGAATTCTATAATAACTTATTTAATTTATTTCCACATTTTTATCTATAGATATTAAAAATGTTTGACATCGTACCAGTACATTTTTTAACAAGTTCTCCATCAAGCTACAAAGATATTATTTTCTTAACAGTCTACCATGAATGATGTAATTATTTTTTGATAAATATGTCGCCCAGTTAGTAAAGAAATGGTAAAAAATGCAATAAAATAAGCAAAAAATAGATTCACTAGCTGTCATTTACATCGCCTCTCTTAAAAAATGCACTACTCAGGTATGAAGGATGCTAAAAAAAAATTATTTTTTCGTATAAAGCAGCCTTAAGAAGATCCATTATTGTAAAAAAAAAAATTAAATTAGCTTCATTATTTTTGTGAATTGTAATTAAGGAATAATTTTGTAAATATACATTTATATATAAACAATTGAAGTTAAGATGTGGCATAATGGATTATTCAGTCCTCGTTATAGCTCTAATATTCAACTGTGCTGATTGCTGTAGGTTTTTGGACGTGTGACCATATGAGAATTTTAACAGTGACACACACCTTGCCCCCGTATTGCTTCCCTCAACCATAATAAGGTTGCGTCAAGTCTAATGTCTATCAAATCATTGTAAGGTAAAGTCGAACCTAAATACTTAAAATCGAGACTAAGAAGATAATGATTATTTATACATAAATAATCTAATAATGATTAAAAATAATATATATATATATATATATATATCCAATTATCTATTATAAAATAATTTTGTTAGTTAAATACTATGTAAATATAAACAAAATATTTTGTTTAAATAACAAAATCCAAAACAATAATTTCAAAATAACTCATTATTCGAAGTCAAAATCAAAAAAATCGAGTATCTATAGCATTAAAAATCGAACACAGTGGGGACATGGCATAGTTGGGTCAAGTATAATGATATCTGACAGTGATAAAATCACTATTATAAAAAACGCTTCGATGCAAATCTGTAGATAGTGTTTAATTTAAAAAAAATGGTGGATTAGTCCAAAAGCTAAATGATCTCCTGTTTACTTTTAATATCCTGATTACAAGTTACTAAACAAACTAAAGTCTCAATTTTTTCTTTTTCATATTAAAGTATATTAAATAAACTATAATTTAATATATATATATATATACATACAAGTGTCAGTATTTCCGGAACACTTTCAAAAGTCAAAGTTTAAAATATTAATGAATTATTCCAAAAGCTACATGATTCCCTATTTATTCCTTATTTATATAAATACTTCATGTATCTATATAAAAAAAAATGTATTGATTCGGTCATTTAAGATCACGATTTGTGATCTTTTGACGTATCGTTGAAAGAAATCGGTTCGACAAGAGCTGAAAAAGTGGTAACAGACACAAAAAAAAATATATTATAGAAAAATACCTTTCAATAACTTCGCACCGAAGCTAAAATTTTATGTAATTTTTTTTTTTATCACATTATTAAGGTAAATATAAGGGGTTTCATTTTATCTCTGAAGGGATGAAAAAAGTATCAAACTGCATATCTTTGTACAGTTTTTTGAATTAAATAATATTTTTCTTTATAAAAATTGAAAATTTTCAATAGTTCTGAGAGAATGAGTGTCATATTCTTAATGAATCATTCTGTATGCATATACAGATTCTATTCATTTTAAAAATCCTAGGCTTATTAAACACGACTCCCTAATTGAGAATTAAAATTTTTTCTTAAAACTTAATTAGAAAAGTATATATAATAGAACCTTGGTTGAATTCCTGGTCATAATTATAGCAGTTGCAGTTTCATCGTACTGAGGCCTACCAGCTCTTCCAATCATTTGCAATATTTGGCTTTGTGGATATTCTTTATATTCATTAAAATCATAATGTTCAGTAGATTTAATAATTACTAAATGTGCTGGGAAATTCACTCCCATAGCTGTAAAAATACATATAGCATTTATGCAATTTAGTTTAGGTTTAATATTTTTTTTTGCTTAATATATCTATAGATTTAAATAGTTAAATCTATTTACATTTAATAACTCATTTTTACTAATCGTCTAATAAATCAATCCTGACTAGATTAGTCGATAAATCTTGAGAAAATATGATCTCATCTGAATTAATTTAAAGACTGGTAAAACCAACATTTATTGATCTATTAAATAAAATAAAATATAACATTTAAAACTAAACTCAGTGCCGTATTTTTTAATTCAGATGTTCATATGTGTCCAGAGACTGTGATTATTTAAAAAAGTAATGAAAAAAAAAATCACATTTTATTTAATATTTCTTAAATGAATTGTCCTTTCTCATATAATTATTTGTATGAGAAAGAACAATTTTTAAAAAAGTGATGCCATAGTTATTGAGGCTGATAAAAATAAATTACCTTTTTTGGAGATAACAAAATTTAGTTTTCAATTTTGATATATTATTAAAAATCTACAAAACATTATTAACTGAATTCATTTTTCCTGCACTATGTATATATTTTAAGGTCTAAGTGGGAAATTTGGCATGTTATACAATGCCCTTCTAAAATAAGAAAACTGTAAAATTTTTTATTTTTCCCATATAGACCAGTCATTGCGCTACAATGTCCTGATAATATGTACATTAATAAATGGAGTGCGTAATATGGAGTTAAAAATATATCTCAAATAATTATTCATACTATAGCAAAAGAACGGACATAGGCCTACCATTTAACCTGTATACGCTACTGATATCAGTTCATTTTTACCAGGATCAGATTACAACGACATTGAAGAATTACACATTTCTATAACAACTGCTTAAATTGTTTGTACTCTCAGTACATCAATTAACATAGTATGTAATAAACTTATACTTGTAACTATTAATTTTTAATTGATAAAACTGCTTATTATTTTTACCTAATGTGCTTGTAGTAACTAAGACTGGTAGATGACCACTTCTAAAAAGTTGCTCCACACAACCTCTATCTTTCGTTACCATGCCTGCATGATGAAAACCAACACCGAATCTTATAACATCTAAACAATTAACAAACAAGGAAGTCTTTAGATATTAAAAAACATATTTTCTATTAATTAAAGAATTTTTTTGCTTATATATTTTGAGCATATTATTCTAAATATAATTGAATTGACTTTTTAAAAGAAAGAATATTTTAATAGTAGATATTATTTTAACTTTTAATGACAAGTATTTAACTACCTCTCAGTTTATCATCGCGTAAATTTTTGGTACATAAATCAATAATATTCCTCGTTTCCTCACATAAAGGAATATTTAAATTTCTCGATAGAATTTCACTTGTTGTCTGCACACTCATTCTTGTTGAACAAAAAATCTAGCAGTACAATTTTTTTAAAGTTACTTCATATTATTAACATTAATTTATATTATTTATTAAATACGGGTCTAGCCCATTTCAAAAGAAAAATATACATATGAAAATTTATAACTTGTAACTACTAAATTAACTTTACGAATATAATAATGATAAAAATATAACATTTGAATAAGAACAAGAGTAAGATGACAAAACAGACATAATATTTTAACACGTTACTGAAATGTGACTTTTAATAAAAAGGGAGGGTTAGTATTGCTTCTTGCATGAGGCGAATTAGATATGAGTTTAACTGATAATTTGTGATTAAATTAAAATTACAAAAAGTAATATGCAAACGAGTACGATCAGAAGCATTAAAATTAACTAACGACATTAAATTAAAAAGTCAACTGTATTATATAGGAGATTAAGGAAAAATGAAATATTTAGATTACCTATGTGATTGAAGAGTGTAAAAAGGTCTTGAGCTTTAAGAACAGGATGACACTTATATAGGAACATGTAATAAGTAGTTTAAAATTATCAAATACAAAAAATTTGCGTTGAGCACGCTTAATCATAGCACATTTAATACACAACTGTATTCTAAAATGGGACTTACAAGACCATGTTATAAAGCTTTAGGGGAAAAAAAATTGAAGAGGCGCGGAACATAAAATTAAGAAGTTTTAGTGTTCTTTAGTATTTTTTTAGCAATTTAAAAAGGAAATATTAAGTTTTAAAAAAATTCAGCTTGATTTTTTTCTTTTTACCTCATAATAGCATTTAAAAGTATTTTTACATAGCTGAAAAAAATAAACAACATTGAACAAGCATATAGAACAAAATTTTATTATAATTTCAACCTCAACTTTAAAAAAAATGTTTTAATTTTTATTACAAAACACATCTATTTGTTCATTTTCAAAAATTTTAAATTATCTTACTAAAGTAGGGCGATTGTTCGAATACTTCTTAATTAATGGCTCAATTTTATACGAAAGATGCAAATCAAAACCAAAGCCATTTGTACTGCTACAATATCCTTTAACAATTTTTTTAAGTTTTACAGGTCTTTCATCTTCATTCGCTCTAAAAGTCATCACATTAATGAAACGTTATTGATTAATAATTAATTAAAGCTAAAAGTAATTATTATCTTTTTCAAAATATTAAATTAACAAATAATAAACGTTACTATATCATCTAACTAAATGAAAAAATTTTAATAATTATTATAAAATGAAAATTAAGTAATGAACAACACCTGAAACAGTAAGCGGGTTTTTTTGAATCTACACTCAACCAATTTGCAATATCTTCTACGTTTGATAATGTAGCTGACACAGCAATAAAACGAAGTGATTTTGTTGTCTGAAATTTTGAGATACTTTTTTTATAAAATAGGGGGTTTATTAATTATTAATCTTTTCAAAATTAAAATTTTATATTAAAGTAAATTTCAATTATAAGAATAAACTACTTAGGATAATACTTTTAACGCTACCTTCTCTTTTCCTTATAAAATAATAATTATACTAAACAAATTATTTTTGGTATTTATTAGTTTTTTATATTTATTGATTTATTAGTTATAATTTTTTTAATTCTCCCTTTATACATTATCAGGTTTTCAACTTTATTTTCTTCAATGGCAACATACATTCTTAAAATAAAAAAAGATCTAATCTAGAAAATGATTTATGGATAACAACTTTTGGACCAATACTTCAAAAGTATTTAACATTTTTATACCTAGGTAGTAGGAATGAGGCTTAGAAATGTCTAATGATAAAAATAGCAGCATTGCGCCAGGTCTTTAATTTATACTTTAAAATGGCATCGATAGTTGTTCTATATTTTATATATAATGAAAGTATTGAAACTTATTTATTTTAAAATTAAACAATAACCAAAATATTCATATAAAATAACCTGAATAACCAACTTAGTATTAACCATTAAATTAGTTTGGATTATTTACATTTTGTAATAACTTTAAACGACACACAATTGATTCCAAAGTAGTACCACGAATATACTCATTTAATATATGGACCTAAAGGAAACAATTTTATATTAAGGCTTTTTAAATGATAGACCTCTTTCAAAGATATTTAATGTACAAAATGTTCAATAAAAAAATATTACAACATTTAAACATATTATACTTCATCTATCAAAAAAAGTTTGAACGCATTAAAAAGTGTCGAATTATAAATAAAATTTGAACGCCTCATTAATAAATCCAATTTTTCTGGAGTAGTAATTATAATTTGATATTGAGAAATAATAGAACTATCCACAAAAGATTCAGTGTCGCCAGTTATTTCAATACTCGTTAAACCGTGTTTCGAAAATTTGTTATGCCAATCTTGATAACGCTCAGAGCATATAGCTTTGATTGGAGCAACTGAAACAATAAAATTAAATATAGAAATATTTCATACTATAAAACATATAGACTAGAAGAGAACTCTCAAAACTCTAAGAATGACTTTAAAAAAAAATTTTATTTTATCGAATCATAAAATCGTTTTAATAACAAAAGAATGACATTGCTTGACTAAATTAAAAAATAAAATTTATCAATTATAATATAATTCATTTGCAAACAAGTGATAGCTTTTACAATATTTTAAGTAGGTGAGTAAGTGCTGTTTTTATGTCAAATCAATTTAATGAATAGTATTACACCTTTAGAATGACTTTTTTGTATGACGCTATTCAACCACCATACTCCGTCAAAAAAATAACGTAACGAAATATATCTAAAATTTAACTATCCACAATACATTAATATACAAAACTGAACATAAACGAGTTAATAACTTAAATATAATTTTTACACCTTACGCTTATGATATTTTTGCGAACCTACTTTACATTAAGTTAATTTAGGTCAATAAATTGATCGTATTCTTTTAACTTAACTTTTAATTTAATTAATTTAAAAAAAGGATTAACTTTTTCAATTAACTTATATATAAAATTTCACAAGTAAATACCATAAATAATTTTTATTCTTCTAATTTCATCGTTAGTTTTATTACAAGATTCAAGTAGTCGTACTATGGCTATTTCAAATATAACTGTTTTTCCACATCCAGTAGGTGCACAAACAACGACAGAATTGTCTTCAAAATAAAAAAATTATAAAATATAACATATAATTAATATACAATGTGACTGACTAACAGTTAAACAAGTTTGATAGTTAACTTAACTATGACTCGCGTATATTTATAAAAATATAAAATATTTTTTATTTTCGAAAATAAATAGCATCTTGCGTTCTGTAATTTTCAATAAAAGTAATTGTTCCTCTCCACCTTCTTTTCCCATTAAGATTTTATTAATTTTATTTTCAAATGATAAAATATATCCTTATCCGATTTACAAATTATTAAATGGTGTATTTAAGAAAATAAATTGTTGTAACAAGTTTTAAACCAGCATTTGGAAGTTATTAACACTACAATGACTAGAGGTGAAATGTGAGTCTATTTATTTTTATTTCTACGTATTTATGAACCACAAAACTTCTGCCATCATAGTACAAAATTATAAATAATTTTTGAAATTATAAAANGTGAAATGTGAGTCTATTTATTTTTATTTCTACGTATTTATGAACCACAAAACTTCTGCCATCATAGTACAAAATTATAAATAATTTTTGAAATTATAAAACATAGGATACTATTAACTTCTAAAAAAAAAATTATTTATATTGTGTTATATTTATAACGTAATGAGTAAGTCACAGTTAAATCACTATGTACTAATATCTGATGATATTGAAACTAAAGAATAATTTTTTTTCTGAGATGGGATAAAATGTATAATTACTAAAATTGCATTTCTTATGATATAATAAAAAAATAAAATAATAAATTTCTGAAAAAAGACTTTCTAATTTAACCGTTTGCATTACAAGATGACTTGTAAAGAAATAAATTTATTTAGAAATAAATGTTAATTATTACTATAAAAAGAAATGTTACTAACTAATATATGTTTTACTAAATCTCGAATTTAATCAGTCTATTATTGAGAAATATTATTTTAAACTTTTAGAAAAGTTAATATCTTCATTTACGTACGTAGGGGAGTATTAGGAGGGTAAATTTTTTTATAATATACATTTTATTTAATAACTTACCTGTGTATAATAAAGTTTCGATGCTAGTTGTTTGAATTCTATTAAAATGGGTATAATTTGAAAATAAGTCTCTGTAATTTTGAGCTATAAGTTTTACATATTATTAAAACTAATATATACATCAAATAAAAATTACTTTAAAAGTATTATTACAATGCCACAATCAAAGTATAACGGATAAAGTTGATTATATTAAATCTAAATAGATAAAAGTGTCGATTTTAACAAAAGAGCAACATTTGAATAATTTTGTGAAAATAAGATGGCAACGGTTTTCTAAAAATCAGTTGCATCAACCTTATCGTTAATATGGACATAATTATGAAATATTGTCGTTCAAAAATATGATGGAAATGATATCTTGTATATGTTATAACTTCAAAACTAATCAAAAGATAACGTCGAAGTGAATGGATATCAACCTCTATCCGACAAATGTTTATAATTTCCTCTAACAAATATAGAAATAATAATAACTTTTTTGCCTTATTTTTCGGTTTCCATGACTATTTTTCAATGGTTTTCTCATGATTGAATCTACTCAATGATTTCTACTATCTATTAATAGTAATTCTGTGATTCTTAATTATTAATTTTTGTATAACTCAGATAAAATTTAACACAATCTTTTACAATGATGACAATACAATATAACAATATCATAAACTAAGACATGAAGAAAGGGTTGTTATGATGAATGTAAAAATGAATTAAGATATTAATTTTATCACAAACGCATACAAAAATAATATATTTATTTGTTATAACTAGATTTTTGTATAGTAAAATTAATTGTAAAAGTTAGCATAAAATATAAACTCCTACAAAACCAATAATTACAAATATGTTAAATTTGTTGTTGAAGATATCAGCGTTGAATAATACTTTAACCGGTCCAATTATATTGTCAAAGCAATTGATAAAATTATGAGTAAAAATAAGAAATTATGACTTACTAAAAAGTCTTTTCAAAATTTAAAACTATTAGTAACTATTTTTATGATTTCACTTACATATATTGTAAATACAAAATTAAAGAATTTTTTTTGTAAAAACGTGAGAATAACATACGATACAAGTAAGACAATAATATCGGCGTAAATTAGATTTTGTATACAGTAAGAAAGTAGATTCCACAGAAAAAAAATTGGTTATTAGTATTATACTCACGTAAATTAGTAACTGCAAACAATTTATTAGCAATTGTTGTTGAACATAACGGTGTTTGTAAAACATTATTTTTCTTGTTGCTCATTTTTGTATTATAGTGTATATGTATAAAAATAACCAAAATTAAAGAATTTCCAAAATTAAAATTAATAGTTTAGCTGCAACCATAATTGCTATAGGTTATTAGTGTATGACCATGGTCATGTAATAGAATTGGTCACATTGGTATACTAAGAATAGCTAACGCCGGAAATTGTCCAAATGCAAAACATTTTATCAATCGAGAGTGTAGATTTTTAATTAAAAACTGACATAAACACTAATTTAAATCCAAAAACAACTAACATTTTTAGGATGATTCCACCTTTATAAAACTTATTAAGATAATAAATCACTCATGTTCTCTATAGCACTCTTTAAAAAATTATTATTTTGATAAAATTCTTGCAATTTTTTAAGTTCTCATTAGGTAGGTATAGGATCATCCATACGATACAATTAATAAAGTACTTGGAAAACAAATTTTTTTCCGCTTAAAATTAAAATAGAGTTGATATAAAGAATAGATCCTTAAATAGTTGGATACAGATTCTATTAATTTATTTTAATATTTTGTAGGACATATGTCAGGTTTATTTAACTAGACAAATGATGGTAGATTTCTTATTGTACGTTACCTACCAACCTACCTACCTATAACATTCAATAATACAATTATCATCCCCCTACTACAATATTTTTAGTCGTTGTAAACTGATGTAAAAATCAATATAATAGTTTCTCGTAATAGTACTCTTTCGATAGTTCCGTAATGTACATAAAAACATGGAATTAAAAAGTTTCGAAAAATCCACTCATTTAAATAAAAATGATTTACCTCCTATAATTAATAGGGTGGATAATCCAATAAGAAATAAAATTATTAAGGTAGCAATATTAAACCATAAATTGATATTCATTTTAATGAACTTGAAACAATTTCATTTAGGATCATAAAGAGTTATTTAAATCATTTGATGTATTTGATAAAATTGATCCATTAGTACTTGCTTCTCAATATGAAAAAGAAATAACTAGAATGAAAAATAATCACTGTCAGATGTTGGAAGACCTTTACAAAGAAATACATTATCTAAGGACAAAAAATCGTGGTAATTATATGTCCACATATGTATTAATATATGTATTAACATATGTATTAACTATTGATTAATGAAATCATTCCTCATTTCAGATCTTTTAGATGAGTTAATTCTAATGAATGGAGGCAATTATTGTAGCATACATCTAGAAAGTTTAAGACAAACTATTTTGAAATCTAGTACTAATAATAATCAAAAACACTTATGTGATATATTAGATTGTGCTAAATTAAAATTAAACTACAAAAAAAATATGAACCAGAATACTGAAAGTAACAAGTAAATAAATAAATAATTTAATTTTTTATGGAAAATTATGATATAATTTATAAATTATGTCATAAAAAGAAATGGTATATCTCTATTTTACAGAATGTTTATCAAATGTTAAATCATAAAGATTTGATACTTATTCTATCAACTGTTACATTACAAAAGATAATCAATTGTAAATTATAATTTTAAAATGTATGTCTTCAAATGTCTTAAGACATTTATAAATAAATTAATTTAGATAACATAGACAGATTTAAAATAAAACTTTTACAGAGGCCTTACGATCAATAAATAAAAGCTAGTAATACCATAGAGATATTTAAATTATTAAGTAGGAATTTATTATATATATATATTAAAGTTTTTATTAATATAACTAGTTTGACTAATAATAATTGTACTCCATTCCCTCTATTCCGCTTTAAGTATTCAAAATTAACAATCAAACATTTAAATAACTGTATTTTATTAAAAAAATATTTTTTTAGATACGTTTAAAAATATCTCAAGTTTTTTTTTTTAGAAAAAAATGGAGTTAAATATTATTATGTTCATTGGTGTAGCTTGAAAAATTTATTTTTGGGGGCTATATTCCTATATACTATTTCATAATTTTGGAAATAGACCTTATAGGAAACTTCTCTTCCACATTTTTTTATGAGTCTCTTCTATTTCTAAAAAATTCAAAACATTTGTGAAATCTACAAATCTTTTAATGGGAGCTGAAGCTCCATACAAGCTATGCTAATGGAAAAATTCACATTTATTGAATGATGCCCAATATATAGTGTGTATATAAAATACACACAAAGGTGTATCAAATACTATTTTGCACTCTATGAAATAGTACTCACGAGAAGTTTAAAAATAGGTCTTTTTTTAATTTTTGTTGCTAATTAAAAATTATAGGTTTTGAGGATTTTTTCATTATTATTTCATAAAATCTAAAAATTTACAATACTACAAAATTTCTTGCAAAATTTTCATATGAAATGGGGGTCACTTGACATTTTACAAAAATTACTATATTATTTTTTTGGTTATATCAAGCTAAAAATCTTTTAGTGTCATAAATAAATTTGTATGTATATTTCCTTGGAACTTTCATAGAATAAATCATTTAATTACATTAATTTAACATAAATACATTAATTTTTAATGATTTTTTCTTAAAAATTAGGTATATTTAATAACAAATCAATTCATTTTTTTGTGCTATTTAATGATAATATTTTTCAATAACGAGCAGCCTCTCTTTGTAAAAATTAATGATACTAATCGGTATAATTAATATTTACATATTTTAGAACTGAAGTAAAATAAATAAGAAAACTACAAATTTTGGTTTTGGAAAAAAACTTCTTACAATCTATTTTTAAGACCAGGAGAATTTTCAATGAGTACTGTTTCATTTAGTACAATATACTTTACTGATATACTCTGTATAATCATTATAATTTCAATTTTTTTTTTTTTTTATTAAATTAGATTCCAAAAACTGCCAGATTTATTAGCTATTAAAAATAAATTAATTCATACTAATATTGAAAAAAATTTAGTCTGAAGATTGACAATACAACAAATGAAAAATGTCAAATAAAAAAAAAAGGAAATTAAAAATTTACTATTAATTCCAGTATGGAATCGAAAACACCAATTTCGTTAAAAATATTAAATGTATCTTATTATTATCCAATAGATATGTATTCAATAACATTATAACATACTGTTTTTTTTCTAGACATACTGGTCCAAATAAATAAGTTATAATAATGTATAATTTTTGTTTTTTATTACTTTAAATTTTAAAATAAACAAATATAAATCATGTAAAAGTATTTAGTATTAAAAAATTTAATATATAAAAGACCCTCACCAGGTTTTGTACACTTTTTGTTTTTTAATAATTTGTACAACTTTGAACTTTCAACAAACTGTTGAAAGCATATTTTAATTATAAATATGCTTTATTAATATACACTAGCATGAGCTAAACCAAATTACATTACATAACTGTTCTACGTATTAGAGTACTTATAATTCAATAAGTGCATATCCCAAAATCGGTATCGACCTATAAACATTTTTTTACAAAATGAGCTAAAAAAATGTTATTTTAAAATTTCAAAAATATGAAATAATTTTCTTTTTTTTTTAAGAAAAATATGGTTTTAACATAGTTCACAACTGTAAAAACTGTTTTTCAAAAATATTCCTAGATTAAAGGTTATTAAAGATTTCAAAAACCTAGTAGGACATGATTCTTTAATGATAACTCATACCCTGAAACTTTTTCCTGTAAAATGAGACTACACAAAATTTTTTTTTGGTATCTAAAAATTGTATGACAATAAAATTAACAGCATAATTAATTATTGTTTTCTTAGCATCTTAATCATAGGCATAGGTCAATTAATTAATCATAGGTCAAATGTTTTGGGGGCTAAATTTAATTATCCCCTCTAAAATATAATTTTGCTAAATTTCTGGGGTAAGGCTGTGCCTCCAAATCATACGTCTATGGTCTTATTAACCTTTAAACATAAATATTTAAAAAGTATGTATTCTACTTCTTAAATTTGTAAAGTAAAATTTAAAAAACTCTTATACTGTAAATTGCACTTGATAAAAAATCTTTAGTATATTAAATTATACAAATCTATTTTAAAAGGCAAACATTAATTTAAATGTTGTTAAATAAAATTAAAATTACACCAATAAAAAATAAAAACAAATTATGTATGCAATTAAGAGTTTTTAGAGATTTTCAAACTAAACCAATTTATTGGAAAAAAAATATCACAATAGTATAGTATAACATTTATACATTATAGTATTTATATTAAATTTCAACTATAGTTTAACAAAAAAATTAATTATACAAATATTATGTAACAAATAATTTGTATTATTTGATATGAAAATATATAATAATTAAAATAAAAATAAGAAATAAAGAATAAAATATTATAAACTATTATAACAAAGAATTATTCTAATTATAAGTAAAGACTTTGCTTTACTGTAAAGTATTATTATTAATCATTTATGTCATATGTAAATATATATATATATGTACATATAAAATATATATTTTTAGCTATCATTATATAAATAAAATATATTGTTTAGCATAAATCACAGTTATTAATACTAAATGCAACAACATAAAATGATTAAGTGAATGTATTGTTGTATATAAATAAATATTCTGGAAAAACAAAAATTGAACAAGTGTCATAATCCAGTGTATTGAGGCTGAGAACTACTATTTAATTCTATCACAGAATTTTGAGGCACAAGACATCCTAAGTTCAACCATGATCTTTTACCATTATGACTTTGATTATATTGTTCACTAAATTAAAATTTATTATTATAAAGGATTTTTTACCAAACAAAATATATATTTACCTAAAAAAGGGTATTAAGTTTACTAATTTATATTTATTAGGAGAATTCGCTAATAATTGATTAATAGAGATTAAAAAGTTTATTATTTGTCTTAGGTAAACTTGAAGTTTTTTTCTCCGCTCTTCAACAAAATTTACACCCTAAAAAATAATTATTTATTAATTGTTCAAACATCTGATTTTAATAATTAATGGATAATTATTATATGATTATAAATTTCAAATAATATTTTAAAAATAATTTCATTACTTTCTTACTAAAAATTTTATTTTATTACCTTGTTACCAATGGTTTTTTTTGGTGGCAGCGCAATTGTTGAAACCACACTATACTGTTTCTTTAGTTGCTTATGAAACTCTGTAAACTGTGAATATCTTCGATAAACATTCCATTCTTCATTAAGAATACGTACATGAATCTTTAATTTTAAAAAATTCATTAGTAAATTTAAATTTAATTTATTAATATTTTTGAGTATCAATAAAATAAATAACAACAGACAGTATCTACCAAAAGAACTAATAAGAATAAGTTTAAAATAATTTAAAGATTTATAAGACATATAGGAAAAAAATTGTGATTAATTATTTTGATATATTAATATTATAAAAGACTTTAATTTAGTAATACTGGTGGTCAACAATAGAATAAATACTAATATCATACTTTAAATTTTGTTTTTCCTCTTATAATATATGTTTAAGATACTACCTCTATATCTTTATTTATTAAACTAGGAATGTATGTAAATACACACTATAGAAAAATGAAATTGAAAATTTCAAACCTCCCGTGAATGTTCAACACTTATATCCATAATAACAGGTTAACTTAATATATTTCAATTTTAAAGTAAAAGAAATAAAAAATTTCAAACTCTAACAAAAACTTAATTTTGCCAAAATTCTTTGAACGCATATGAAGTGACCAATAACATAGACCACTTACATAAACTAAATACAATGTTGAGAAAATAATTTTTAATTTCTTTTAGTCAAATAAAATTCTAGATTTATCAGCTAAAAATATCTACAGAATCATTCCATATAATTTAAAGGGATGTCAACTTATTTTTTTGAAATGGCAAACATATTTTGCTTGTATATTTAATATAAAAAATAAAAATAATTATTACTTTTACATTCTTTTATTTCCCAAACTTAACTTTCTACAGCGTGTGATGGACCTCTCTCATATATTAGAGAGTCAATGATGATTCTTGACCAGGCCAATGATAAACGGCATGGGTATTATGGACGACTTACACAAGTGACCACCAATGAGAAAATCACAAGAAAAATCTCATTGGCACCTTGGGAATCAAACCAAGAACCCTGTACTGTGCTGAAACATAAATTTCAACCCACTACCATATTTAATAGATAATTATGTAATTAAGAAAATTACTGATTTCATGAAAATGATAAAAACTTCCTGGCCATACTCTTTATCTCGCTATGCATAAAAATGAGAATAACATCTGAAGTACTGGTCAAAAAGTAGTTATCCATCAGTTATTTTCTTAACTAGATGATTTTCTATTTTATAAGGAAATTAAATATGCGTATTACCATTTAAAAAAATAAAGTTGACACCTCAATATGTTATAAGAGATGATCCTAAAAAATATTTATTAGTAGATAAATCAAAAATTATTTTTCCAATATTGTATTTATTTTGCGAGTAAAACAGTCACTCTGTATATGTTTAAAGAATTCTGGGGGTAGCCTAAAAGGGCTTTATATACATATATAAACCATTATTTTAACACAAATGATGGCAACAATACTTAGGTGAAGAAACCGAATTAATATATTTCAGTAGGAGGTGACCGCAATGAATGTATAGGTTTATCTAAGTGGACGAACAATTCTTTCTCACCTCTCTAAAAATTAAAAAACTAACTTTTAAGTAATATATCAAGTTATACTGACCAAAAATTCTCTATTTTATAATTAGAAAAAAATGTACATACTTGGTACACATGATGAGGATCATTTATTCGACCAACCAAAAATGCTGATGGAACCCATAAATGAATATTGGTATGTGGAATTTCATCTGATGGCAATGGACCTCTTAAAGCTACTAATTCTGTTCTTAATTTTGTAATGAAATGATCTTTTACCATCATTTGATCATTTAATCGGGAATTAAGTTCTATCAGTTCACTATGCATTTCTGCCACCTATAAAAAAATATAACATAAAATTAAACTTATATTGTTAAGAATTTTAAATAGTTAAAATTTTAAAAAATGTATGATAATATAAATTTAAAATTTTGAAAAATAACGTAAATGCCTCATTACTATTCTTTATTTTTATTTACCTGGATTAATTTTTGTTGGTATAATTTGACTTCTTCACTTTCATTTTCATCTTGTTTCATTAGCTGCACAGCACTAACATATTTTCTCAGTTGGTGTTTTAACAAGTCATTTTCCCTGAAAGTTCATTTCAATATTAATTTGTGCGGGCTTACTAATTAAAAATATTTTTTATTAACTAATTTAGAGGCTTGGTTTTTAAAAAGCTAATCTACACTTATCAAAATTCAACAATTATAAATTTGAAATAGTCATAAATACTTTTAGCTTCGTTGCGAAGCTGAGAATATATAAATTTTTCTATGGTGTTTTTTTGTGTCAGTTACCACTTATTCTCAGCTCTCACTGGACCGATTTTGATGAAAAATATGTCACAAGATCACAAATTATATCTAGTCGAAGACATGACCCTCAAAAATTTTAAAAATTTCTTTTGTTCCAGTTAATGGGGGAATGTGTTAACAACATTTACACATTTAAACTTGCAAGTATGAAATTGATATTAAACATATAATTTTATGAAAATTTAATAAGTTAAATACCTAAGTTATTAAAAAAATTGGTTTGATTCATCCATTTAAAAAATTATGACAGTTTTATGTAAAAAATATCAAAATTTATCAATTTTAAAAATACTAATTTTTTGGGGCATTTCTTCCATTTAGAATAATGAGGGAAATTTTTTCAATTTTTAAGGGTAATCTTCAACAAGATAAGATTCTTGATCTTTTGACATATTGTTGAATAAAGTCGGTTTATTGAGACTTGAAAAAAATGGTGATAGAAACAAAAAAATAATCACACAAAAAAAACACATCATGTTAAAATTTATACCTTCTCAATTTCGTATATTTTTTTTTTTCTTTGTCTTTATCCCAACTACTTGGCATCAGCAACTCTTATCTTAAACTTACACTTGACACAATCACTCACATCAGCCGTCCTCATGTCACATTTAATTACATTCCTCCATCTCTTTTTTGGTCTTCCTCTAAATCTTCTTCCTTCAACATTCATTTCCATAATTGTTCTCATAGCTTACGATTCCTCTTTTCTCATATCATGACTAAACCATTTAAGTCAATTTTCTCTCAACTATCAACAATTGATACTACTTCTATAATCCCTCTTATATGTTCATTCCTTACCTTATCTTCTCTAGTAACTTTACTCATCCATCTAGGCATTCTCATCTTTTCTTTATTCTCTTGTCAATCGTCTAACACTCTGAACCATACATCATAGCTTACCTCACTACAATCTTATAGAACTTATCTTTCAGCCGCATTGAAATTCTTTTATCACATAACACATCAGATGCTTTTCTCCAGTTTACTCACCCACACTTAATCATGTGTCTTACATCCTCATCAATACCACCGTTCTTTTGTATAACTGATCCTAAATACTTAAAACTCTCTACCACTCGTATCACGTCCTCACTTATTGTCACTGATCTTATTTCATCTACCTCATGTTCTTCATTGTCAAATGTGTACTATTATATACTCTGTCTTACACCTACAAATTCTTAAACCCTTTTCTTCAATAGCTGATCACCACATTTCGATTAATTTTCTCCCTATTATCTCCTATTAACACTCCATTGTTAGTGAATAATGTACACCATGGTACCTCTCCTTATATTTCTTTAATAATTTCATCCATTACTATAGAAAATAAGTAAGGGTTTAAACAGAACCTTGTTGCACTCTTACTCTTACCCTAAAATCTTTCGCCCACACTTTTTACCCTGGTACAAGTGCCATCATACATATCCCTTATTATATTAATGTACCTTTTTTTCATTAACGCCCACTTTAAAACCTTTTCAAAGCTGTATTTTAATAATATTTTGGAAAATTTTAATTTGTGTAATTTTGTGATATTATTTTATACTGATATAAGAATAAATTTAAGAAATTAATACATTACTTTTTGAGTTTCTATTAGTACTTTAAGTAATAATTTTATTTCTATTCATTTATGTTATTAAAAAAAAAAAAAGACTAAAAATGATAAAACTTTAATAAACAATATGCAATTATTAATATTTAAAAAAAAACATAAATATTTATTTTCTTAGAAAATAATTTTATTTATAACTCAAGCATAAGTAAATAATATACAATTTAACATTAAGCTACATTGTACTGACTCAAGGTATAACACATTCAGAGTTAAATTTAAGATTAGTAGGGTAGTAATACACTTAAGATCCTATGCAAAAAAAAGATTTTAGTAAGTTATATTTGAACTCCAAAAGTATAATTTTTCCAGTGCCTAATAAGTTATAGACTCAGAACTGAGTGTATTAAATTTAATACTTGGGTTATTCTAACCTATTCTAGAAATATTAATTGACCTTTATAGAACCAAGTCCCTAAATTTTTAACAAATTAAAACATTGTTTACCTTACAAGTTCTGTGATTTTGGCTTCTAACTCAGAAGTTTTTTCTTGAAAATGTTTTTCCATTAACAAAAGTTGATCATTAGAATTATCATACTTGTTTAGGCTATTATTTTCATCATTAGATCCCAACGATTTAGACTCATCATCTAAAAATTAAAGTACATTGTTGTGAATAAACAATAATTTATTAAATAATTTATAAATTTTCGATTTTGAATAGAAACACATTAATATTTTCTTCTTTTTTTTTATGTACAAATTGTAAATAGTTATTTTATAGAGATTGTATAAACATGGAACACAGATATAAATATACTGGGTGCCATAAGAGAATCAATAGTCACACCAAATTTTTTTTTATAAAAAGGTCCTTTATTTAATAAAATGGCATTCAATTCAACTAAAATGGTGAAATAATCCTTCCAAAAAAATTTCATCCTAGATCGTTCCTTTTATATAAAGCGGCCCCTACATGATCAATAATACTGAATCAATTAAATTGTGTCAATATTTTGTCCAATATTTATTTGCCCTAAACCTCTCAATATTATTGTCCAATATTCAGTTGAAAAATATAAATATTTTTAATATAAAAATATCATCATAGGCGTATATTTAATGCATGTTTACAAAGGCGTAGTGGCATTTACCATCAATTTATGTGATATTATAAATTACCACTGTTTTAAAAATGTATCTAACTGATAACCCATAACCACTATTGCGTAATTTTGTACAATAACGTACAATAATATTGTGTATTGTGCAATAAATTTCCAACCCTGTTTGATTTCTTCAATGTATTGTACAATCCTTCAATATCTATACTAAACTTTCAATAATATTGCGCAATATCAATTATTGTTCAATATTATTGATCGTGTAGGGGCCGCTTAAGGTTATTAATATATTTGTACAATAAATGTTATTTAAAACAAAAATAAAACTGCTATCAAGTTTTTAAACAAAAACAACAAAATATTTTTTAAAAAAATGTTGTTTATAACCATGGATTTTTTTCTATTTTAATTGTTATTATTAAAACATGAACATTTATGAGTAAATTTAATATCTATTCAAATATTAAGACAAAAAGTTATATATATATATATAGGATGTTCAGTAAATAGGTATATATTGTCACAAACAATGAGAACAATAGAAACCCTTTTCCTTACTTACTGAACACTCTATATAAAGTATAGTCAAAGTATTCAATAACATACATTTGATATAAAAAAAATCTAATGTAAGTTTTAATATAATAAAAATTTAATTATATTTTATTAGAAAGCGCTAACTCTCTAATTTTATTTAATAAATATTCTGAATTCTAATCTGATAAAAATTATCTCTATAATAATTTTTTTGTTAACTAAACTAAATTTAACTTATTTTTAAAAATATGTATCATAAATATATCTAACCTGTATCACAGTGAGGACTTAATGAAGTTACAGGAACAAAAAATTCATACACTTCATTTGATTCATTAATAGGACTTAATTTACGAAATCTGAAAAATTAAAAAAATTGAAATTATTAATTAAATTTAATAAAAATTATAAGTATATAAAAAAAATAATTGTATTTTAAAATATAAAATATAAATTCTAAAAATAGAAATACTACCTTCTTTCTAATTCTTTTTCAGTTGATGGCAAATCCTTGAACTCTCCAATAAAATATCCAGTCTAAAAAGAAACATACACATTAAAATTTTTATGATAATAATATATCAATAATAGTAATTGTCAAATAAATTATAATCAAAATTTTATTTTGATACACATACATATTGATATTTACAAATATGCTCAAAATATAAATGAATGGTATGGAGAATAAACAATATAAGTTTTTTTTTTCTAAATTCAGATATTAGTAACAAAAAATTCTTATTGTAGTAATTTTTTAAGTCATCAAACTAAACATAACTATGGTTAGTAGGAAGATAAAACCATCAAAAATTTTGGCATACTGGATAATAACTAGATCACTAGTCAAGTCAACTGAAAATTGGATTAAATAAAAATAAATATTATTAGTTAAAATAGTTTAAATAATAATTGTAGTTATTATGATTGAGTGTTAACCAACTATTGATAAAAATTTCAAAAATGTCTATATTTAAGAACTTTACATGCCTGGTACTTTTCCTATTTAGATGACTTGCCTGTTTTTTTACTCTGCTTTTAGGTAGCCTACCTAGTTTTTTCCTAAAAATGTAATAATAAAATCAAAAAACAAGGATGGCTTTTCTATTATGTCTTAGGGTAATTGTTATCAAAGGTAGCAAACATATTTTAATTTATTTTACTATAAATCTAATCTCTACATTTAATTTTGTTTAAAATTTTTAATTTGTTAAATAAATGTTTTTGGTGTTAGAAGTTTAAAACATTAATTTCTCAATTAAAAAAAATTGACTTTCAATGATTTTTCTATGTAACCTTTAGATACTTTATCCAAATATCACAATTAACAAATATGATAATTGAGGACTAAAGAATTTAGTGTATCAACCAATTTCTTACTTTTTAGGAGCAAAATTAAATTTAAATTTTCCATTTTAGGTAATGAAAAAGTTTGATTTCTTCTACAAAAAATATACCTTCCAACAAAATTAATAATACACCATTTTCACAATAAAAAACTATTTTATTTTTATTTAAAAAATTTAAAATCCTAATTTTGGTAGAAATGTTACTTTAGTTTTAAAATCTTAAATGGTAAATAGTACCACTAATATCCCCTACTATATACAACAGTTTATAACTAAACTGTCATTGTGATTAAATACTACACGTATCAATATAAAATGATTGTTAAAGTAATAAAATGTAACTACAAATTTGCATATTTTTCAGGAAAGATAAAAACTAATCATAATCACATACGATAATGAATTAAGTATCATCATAAAACTGAAATTTTAGAAGGAAATAATTTTTAACTTAAAAAAATACACATTGAAGAAATTATGAAAAACATAATATTATACTTAACAGCTACCATCTAATTAAAAAAATATATACAATAATTTACATACTGTTTTGTCAAATGAAGAACCTGAAGGTATATCATCTCCAACCGCTAATAAAACATCATCATCAGATTTTACTTCTTCAGCTGGTTGAATGTCATTATTTTTGTCAAAATAAATAAAATTTGCCTTAATTTTTTTACCTTTTTCACTGTTATCTTTCTTTAAAACAAAATCACCTTCTAGATTATTAACATTAGTTATAAAAAAAAAAATTAATTAATTATTAATAATAGACTTAAAAAATCTACTACAATGATATTTTGGTAAAACATTACTGAATTAATTGAGGGTATAAGTATAATTTTCGTACTTTATTTTTAGTAGCTATAAATTCATCTATTTTATAGTATTGATCACTTTTCAAAAACTATTTGAAAATATATACAAGTTAATTTTGATCGAGCTACCCACTCAATTTCTCTTAAAATAATAAGTTATTTGAAAATAATTTTTTTGGATTATGTTAGTTACATATGTAAATGGTAACCATTAATCTGTTAAAAAATCATTTTTAGGTGTATCACTTACAACTTATAGAGGTGTCAAATTCATTTTTTTAAATGGTAACATACATATTTAACTAGCTTATTAATAGAAAATAACTAGTCAATAACAACTCATGGACTAGTAAATCAGAAGTTATTTTCATTTTTATATCTAGACAGGAGAAAGAATTTATTGAAGAAATGTCTAATGATAAAAATAGCAGCGACCACACATTATCCCCAGTCTATATTTTAGAATACTAATAACTTCCACATGATGTCCATAAGTTGTTATCATCAAGTCATTTTTTTAATTAAACATTTTTTTTTCTATAAGGTAGTTTATTACAAATGTTATCATTAAAAAGAAAGAAGTTGAAAACTTTGTAAGATAAAAAGGATGAAACTAAAAATTATTTTATAACAGATACTGATGAAGATATATAATATGTACCATTATACTAATAGTTAATTAAACTGTAAAGTTCTTAAAAACTAAATTTATAGTATAACCTTTATATTATATAAATTTAAAATAATTACCTCCATCAATAATTGGTTCATTTAACACGGGTTCTGTCATATCTTTATTATACTCTATCTTATCTATATTTAATGCAAATACAATTGATGATAATCCTAAAAAACATGTTTAAGTGATTGAAAACTAAATTAATAGATTTGTATTTCTAATATAACACATACCTGCAGCTATATTTGGTAATATAGCATTCTTTTCATAATTACTCATAAAAGCCCATTCTTCATAAAATTTACTTATAAGTTCATTACTACTTATACATAAGTGCATATATTTTTCAAGACATCTCTCATTAATTGAAGCTCTTAACCAAGCCTTACCACGGCCATATTCATTTTTTATACTTGTTAATAAGTGAAAACGCTCAATTTCAGATTCTTTAAGAATTTCTTTTATAAAACACCAAAAAGAAACTACTGTTTGATTTTGACATTTATCTGAATCTGACAACCCATTTACAATCTTGGAAACTTTTCTTTTTATCAAAGAATTCCTATAAAATTTTATATTTTCTATAATTATGTTTTTATTAAATTTAATTTATTAAATTGAACCTTACTTTTCTTCTGTTTTGTTGATTTTCAATCCATGTGATAAAACAGCTTCAAAACATTGACATAAATAAGCTACTTCCTGATCAGATTCTGTTGCTATTTCAGAACAATTTCCAAAACGTTTTTGACATTGTTTCACAGAATCTAAAAGATTTCTTTGTAACCTTTCACACCTCCCAGATTGACTAATGCTAACATGTGCCATGAAGCATTACTGAAAATAATAAAATATTTCATAGTTAAAATGTATACACCATAGATAATTTATATCATACTTTATATAAAAACATGACAACTATATTCTCTTGAAAAATGTAATTAAATTAACACTTTTAACATCAAACAACATTAAAAATTCATAGTTATAAACTATCAAAATGAAAAATGTTTTGAATAAATTGAAATTTTATCACATTTTTATACAATTAAAAATTGTTTGTTTTAAGGAAGTAATACATAAAACTAACACAGATATTGAATAAGAGACTTATTAAGAGTTAACTTGAAACTAAATGTGAAAATCGTTGTTATCATGATATTTTAAGGAAGTACCATGTACAATGATAACATAGTGTTGTATATAATTATATCAGCTGCCTGCATTACTTTGTAAAACGGCCTTACAAAATATGCACAGGCCGCACGCTGCAATGTAATAGTTAAACAACATATGTAAATTGTTATGTCGATTACTTCGCTTAATACATAAAAATATATATATTTTTCTTATTTTTCGATTTTTTATACATTTTATGTTACTTATAGTCTTGTCTGTGATAATGAAGCAATGGAAATGAAGAATATTAGTAAAATCATTCCTTATACAGCCTTATAAATCTTAGTAAAGTAAAAAATCAATTTATTGGGCGACTACAAATAAAAAAACTTGTCTGTCGTTTTAAAGAATTAACCATATAATGCTAATTCATTGTGAGATAACTATTATATTTAACTCAATTATGAGTTTATTTATTTTAAAAATAATTACGATGTTTTAATATTAGCAATTGATGAGATCAATTTTACTAATTATATCAATAAATTATACTTCTGAGATGCTAACAATTGATATTTTTTTAAGTTATGATTATGAAATAAAGTGAATAATAAATTAATTCCATTATTTTTCATTAGTGTTCAAATAGGATCTAGTATGAATATTTTTGAGTAAGATTATGAAATTTACTTTAAAATAATTAATTTAAATAAATGAAATTTTTTTTAATGTACTTTACTGGCAGTGTTAAAATAGGGTAATCCCTATTTTGGCATCATATGCACAATACGCATGACCACATGATGCAACCATCTTATACATGGATCCCAGTGTACCGAAGTTTAAACATTTTAATGAAAGTTCTGCTACAGTATGCTACAAGCTCTGTATCGTATCGTCGTGAGTTGATTTTACTTAAAAATGTTCATTGTTTTACAGTAGCTCATTGCCGAAGATCAATTGAAGAATGAAAATCATAATTAATTAGTGAGTATTATCAAAAATAATGTAAATGAAATACATAAAATTTCAAGAGTAAATCTTATCTTAAATAATTATATATTATAAATTTTTCAAACAATATATCTTAAGTTGAGGATTATATAACTTGCATCATACAGGTTATGGATAGTTTTCTTGATCATTAATTTTGGTTGTAACATAATACAAGGCGATCAATAACAGTCGGTTGTTATCTGTGTGTGCAACCATCAAGATTTGATAGCATTTTCCCAAACTTTATTTGTTTTTCCTTTATTTTTTAATACAAAAGTTTCAATATTTTTTCTTTTAGATATAGTTTTCCCTTTTGTTAAGTTTCATAAAAATTATGTCTTCTGCGACAAATTCCGTTTCAAACTAGTGTAAATTAAATTATTTATTCCTTATTGTAAATAAGTGTAATTTTATTTCTTATAACTGCACGCATACTAATACTCTGTTTAATTATAATATAGGAGGTATCCGCTCGACAATTAAATGAAGCAAAATATTTAGGTTATATTTAGTAATCATATAAAATTTATCAAAAATACATCAAAAAATAAATTAATGAAACTTTTAGATGTTAATAAGAATTATTGTAAACATTTTAAAAATGTTTATGCTTTACGTCAAATACGCTGTGCTTATTATGTCAAATTTAGAATATTACTCACTGATATAGTCACCTTATTTAGTCGGACAGAAAAAAGTTTTAGAAAGTGTTTAACAAGCAATTTTACATTTTGTGTGTTATAATTTTACCATTCGTAGAGTGTCTCATTCATCTTACAACCCTATCCGTACTTCATTAAATCTTGATTCACTTAGTCAGAGAAATATTAAATTAAGTCTTTACTTTTTGTAAAAATATTTATTTTAAATGCATATTTTTAAGTAATGTTAAATTAATATTTAATATCGACTGTTATAGTCATGTAGATTTCATCAGAATAGTTTTTTACAATCTAAATCTAAAATTGATGTTTTACAATTATAATATTCTCGTAATTTAATTAAATATTATAACAAGCACTGTGCCGTATGAATTTATATTAGTATCCGATATTCGACATCTTTAGCATATCTACATATCGATATCATTAGTAGAAAATACGTTCGATATAAGTACAATATGAGACATTGATAACTCGCCATATGATAAGTGAAATAATAATTATGTTATCCCTTTATTAGGCGCGTCTCCTTTTGGACTCAAAGTAGTCGCGATCTCGTAGATCAATACTATATACTTACTACTTTGGACACGGCGATCTTACGGATCAAAAAATTCACTACGGGCCCCTGAGGCAGATGGCCGATGACTAAAGCGCATTAAATTCCTCCTCCTGGTGATTGAAGAAGGTAACGTGGAGAAGAGACTCGTGAATTTAGCCGTTTCCATGTGTGAAGGCAAACTAACCTTTCGCGATTTCTCAGATTGGCCGCGACTAATGAAGGGTTAAGGAAATTATTTTTGGTATTTTTAAATTTTATATATTTTTTGATTTATGAACTATCAAATTTTTGTTTTAATTCATCATCCCTTATATATTACAAGGGTATCAACTTTATTAATTTTATGAAAAATTATCTAACTTTGAAAATGACTGGTCTATAACAACTTTTTAACTATTAACTTCATAACTTATGAAGTACAAATTCATATAAATCATGAGTTATTATCATTTAAAAATATATAGTAGAGAAAGAGCGCGACTTAGTAATTCGTAATGATAAAATTTAAATAAACTACACTTTATCTCCTCCAATCTATTAAAATTGTTATAACTTCCAAAATAATAGGCCAAATGTTGTTATCAACCTGTCATTTTCTTAATCAGATCATTTTTATTTTATAAACCAGTTAAATATGTATGTCACCAATAAAAAAATACAGAACAGTGTGGTCGCAGTATAATTGGCACTAGTTATATGACATATAACAGTGATTTACATCACTATCATAATAAAGCTTCGATGTGAATCTGTTAAATTTTACAATATTTTATTAATGTATAATTTTACAATTTCTTAGTAAAAAAAATGAACACATCATGGTAAAATTAATATCTGAGAATATCAACGTAACTAAAATAAATTTGACACTCTTATTAGGTATTATAAGAATGAATTACAAAAAATATTTAATAATACAAAAATCAAGAAATACATGAAATGAAATGAATTTTCTGAACATAATTATTATTTTAAGAGAAATCGAGTGGTTAATTAAAAAATTATTTTCCTCCCCAGTAAAAAATTTTGGAGGATTTTTATACGTACAATAAATAAAAGCTAACTCGTGGAATACGAATAGATGGATAAGTTGATATTTGTATCTTAAGTTACGTGTAAACAATGATCTCAGATTAAAAAATAATCGTTAATAAAATATATTTAGTATTGGTCATAGTATAGGTTCAACCCTAATTTTAAAGTTCAGGAAAGTATTTAGTTTTGTTTTTATTTATGTTGTACAAAAAAAATTCTGCTTGTGTATATCAAAATACCTAAATTTGCACTATTGATTATTAAAGAATTTGTTTGTGAAATCCTTATTTTATTGAGTAATATTAATTATTAAATTTTAATGTAAATATATTAGTTTATTTTATGTATTTTTAAATACTAATAAGATAAATATTTTTGTTTATGATTTTGGACGATCGATAGATAAATTTTATAAATATATATAAATTTTAACACCCGCTTACATTTTTCGTAACTGTTAATGATGTGAAAACGGAACACTTTTCAAGGATAAATAATGAACTCGACATCGAAGAGTTCATACGCATTATATTATAACGGTAAAAGCAACCTCCGCTGGTCTGCGCGCCACTTTGACCTAATAATACAACACATCACTCATGTTATTAACAGATTATGGTATGTAATGTAAAGTCACCCGCATTGTTTATGAGAATTGAATTGTTTTATTTTTACAGTATATTTTAATTTAGTAGGCACTTGAGTTTTGAGTGAAAACATTTATTATTTTATGCAAAATCAATTAAAAAAATTGTTAAAAATTAGGCTAATTTCAAATAAACTATCAATTATATTTCCAAAATTTAAAAGAATAATCATGAATTTTAATTATTTTAAAGGAATTTTTTATGATTTAACTTATAATACTGTACATTTAATGCTGGGACATTGACGTAATTAGGGAATTTTTTATAAATTAAAGTCTGTAATATTTAGAGACTTAAATATATTATAAATGTATAATATAGCCAAATCAGAAAAAATATAATAGGCCTTTAGTCAGGAAAGACTTTAGTATTTTACCACCCTTGACAAAATCATATATTTTATAGATGTGTTTTTTAATTTTTTTGCTTATTATCTTATATTTTGAATAAACATATCTAAATATTAATGAATTGCTACCCCGGGAAGTCGTATTAAGCCAGAATAAAACATATAAAATGCATGAGTAAAGTTAGACAATCTATTTAATTTTACAATATTAGACAATTAAACAATATTAGTCAAAACTTGAGTTCTAACTCCCAAAATTCAAACAGCAGCTAATATTTTGTCCATTTCGATTCATTTTAATTAAAGATAAAAATGGTGATAATTGACAGAGAAATTCGATTCCACAATGAACTTCCTCATATCTGGGGAATAATAAATAATATGAAATTTCTTAAAACCGCTTTAAATATGTTCAAAATAATAGAGCATCAATGAAAATTTATAAAATATTTAAAAACTTCAGGAGAGTAAAATGTAAAATAAAGAGGGATGAATTTCAAACAATTTTTAGGCGTATGCAAAAAATGTGTAAACGTTAAAATCAATTTTTGTTAATTTTATCATTCAAAATACTTTTTTATCTAGGCGAATATAGTTCAAGGAGGAGACAAGCGATCCGGCGCCCTTCCTCTAAATTAAAAGCTTTTACTAAAAAAGTGTTAAAATATCTTAAATATATATGTAGAGTATAATTCCTAAACATCCATTATTTTTATTAAGAATGTTAACTCTTATCTTTGCGAATAAGTTATTTAAAGAAAAATAACTTTTTCATTTTGTTAAAAAATAATAATAATTTCAACGTTTCTAAAATTAAAGATCTGATATAACCACACATGGTTAGTATGCCACACGTGTGGTTAAACAAATTCAATATAAATAATATTGATTTAAATTTAATTTTGTTTGTATACTTAATTAATGATTAAATAATATGTACAACATTTATTAAAGTAACATAGTAGTTTTTTTGATCGGTTGAATAAATAGGTATAATTTGTATTAAATAAGTATTCTCTAAGAAAGTAAAAATATATAAAATTTAATATGACTGATGAACACAATAGTTCCTGGCCTATAGGTAATTAACGGGAGTCAAATGGTTATTTATTGAGAATGGTTGCACTGCTGCTTGTAAAATGATAACAGTATGGTGGGAAACCGGTTCGGTTCGGTTCAGATTTAACTTAATTTAATATTTTTGTAACCGATTACCTACTGCCAGTCTCGATTTCAGACTCGACTGAGTCGCCGCTTGCAGTGCACTTCTTTTAATTTTTAAAGCTTTACGATTTTAGTAATTAGATTAATTGTAGTTCAAACTAAAAGTGACACATATAAACTAAAGGTAATCGTATACATTTATTTCTAATGAACAAATAACCTTTTACCGATTTGATATTTATACATTCCTAAAAATTCGTAGCTTAAGTTTGAAAGTGCTTATATCAAAGTTAAAATTATTTAATTTAATTTAGTTTTCATTTTTGTAAAAAAAGATAGAAGTTTTTAAATTATAAACTTAGATTATTAATTTTTCTTTAATAAAACTTAGCTTTATAATTCGAAAATTAAAATAAATGTGTGGCCTGAAATCTATATAAAATTTAAGATATAATGAATAGTTCAAAATTAAAAATTTATAAATACTTATAAGAATTTTGATGTTTTATTCTAAAACTTATAATATCTTTTAGAAAATAATATGAATAGGACCAATTTTAGTTTAGTCGCAGTTAAATTATTTGATTAAAAATAATTTCTTATGATTTTTTTCAATAAAATATTAATTTTTAAATATATCAGTATATATATATAAATTTACATAACGTTCATATTATGATATAAATGTAACGATGTTACTCTTTTGCTGATTGAACTTATTAACTCATTAAAGGTTTTAAAAAGCGAATTAATTTAATCAACACTTAAGGGTGATTTGTACCCCAAATATTTTAAGATTGTTGTATAAGTGTCAAACTTCTTCCAAATTTAAGTATAAATCCAACCTGTTCTACAATAGTTGTGCGTTTTGAGTGAATAATATAAGGTTGAAAAAATGATTGGTTGTCTCTTACATTTTTTAAGGTTTATTTTAAAAGTTTGTTCATTTTAATATCAAATATGGTACTAACATTCAAAGTGTAAACTTTAGAGGACGCTTACAAACCTTTCAATGTTAGTATAAGCAATAATTGATACCAGATTAAATAAAATCCTTGCTAATCATTTTTTTGTCTTAAGAAAATATTTTCTACTTTAATTTGAATTAGTTATTACTGTTATACATATAAGATAAGATATTCAATAAAATTGTTGTACAAATTATTTAACCTTGTAGTATTTTTTATATGTATATCGCAGGGGCATATTTAGAACTCATTTAAATGTTTCTTACTTAGGTAAGCATGCTAGAAATTCGTTTACTAAACAGAAATGACAAAAAAAATATATTTTTAGGGCCAAATTTTGTAAATATCGTCTTTTAATAATTTTGATAACTCAAGTCCAGGGTGCCACTAACACTCCTCGGTACATCAAATAAAAATTCTAAATCGTTTAAGATTATTCATACAATTTTTAATGATTTATTGATAGTACTCAAAATGTTGTTGATATTTTACAATTATTATTATTTTATTTTAAATCTCAATTTGTTTTGAACCTTTACTACTCCGTTTTAACTGCAAGAAGTTAATATATATATATATATATATATATATATATATATATATATTCTTTGCTTACATTATTATTAATTAATCTATAACCTGTTCAATATAGATAAAATAAATAAATTTTTTATCGTATTTATTTATTATATTAAAATTTACTTTACTACATTATATTTAAATAGTTGTTATTTAAAGTTGGTAATTATTTAATTTAAAACTATGATTATTTCATTAATAAAAATTTATTATTGGACTTAACTATCATGTTTTGTTTTTATGTTATTAAAATTTTATGTTGAAATTTCCTTATACGTGATTTTGAAATTATAGCTCTTGGGAAACTCTAAATTATCTAGAAATAAGATAAATTTATTTTTCTTTGATTTATCTAATTTATTAGTGACGAAAATGCTCTTTAATCATTATCCAATATTACGTATAAAGTGTTTTGTTTTTGTTCATTGCTTCATTATATTACCGGTTATTAAAATTACTACATTTGTTGGTCAATCCGTTAATTTGTATTTTTAATTGTTATAAATAGGTTACGCAGTATTAACACTATGTTGTTATGAGAACCATAAATACATATGATTTTTTTTTATTTTTAACAAAGTTTCTTGACAAATGGTTTCTTTTATTATATCATTGTATCATTTATATTTATTGTATCATTATTTTTAATCATCTAGTCCAAGAACTTTATTCAATTCCTATCAATTATTTTCGTTTGATTTTGTTCACTGAAGTCATACCCGTTAGAATTTCGTGTCACTGTGGGATATCTGAACTAATAATATAATGTGTCTTGTACATTGATACAAGTTATTATTGTTATTATAATATTTATAAATATCTAAACATCGTCAACGACGTTTGAAAAGCGACCGCGCCTGCAAAAGTACACGTTCAAACAATACCAAAAACCAGGTTAAACATGAGAAGAGACTACCGGTTTCATTAGGTTATCATTGAGTTTCCGACAATTTGTACAGTCCACGGCATAAACTTAGTGCACACGTTTGACCCACATGTCGTTGTCGCCAGCATGGCGTCACAAACTCTTCGTTATGTTTACAGGCGTATTAGCTAAACGGCATTGTGAACACTGGGAGTCTCATCGTTGGACTACTTAAGAATTTTTCTAATATTCATATACATTCGACAAGTGTGTATTATGATGACCGTAGAGATAAAGATAATTATGGGTAGGTAATAATAATGAAAATGCTACGTACATGATTCTTGTGGACGGGAACGCCTTTCTTATGCGATTAAAAGGGACAACAATACTTGTTACTACGTACCTCTTATGCCTACGTGAATTTCAGAACAAGTGAAAATATTTTTACTAGTCCAGTAGGCCAAATGAGAAAAATGGAGATCTCTTTATGATCTTCACGTAGATTGCACGCATAGCCGTCTTAATTTCACTCTTATTCAAGTCAACTGAAAGTAACGTAAAAAATCTATTATTCGCATAACCTGACGCATACATTTTGTTCATCCGAAAATCAATCATTATTATTTTGTAATTTATTTATTAATTCAGATTGTCCGTGTTCATATGAAATAAATGTAAAATATACTTGTGTAACAAAAAACGATTATTTTTCAAAACAAGTTTTTGTCCTTATTTCCATTGAATTATTTGTAATTAAGCCATTAATTATTAAAGATTTTAACATATCAGTGACTTTACTGGTTATTGATAATTACATTCAAATATTAGATAATTTGTATTCTTTACCGATAATCTTTGGATTGTAAACGTAAAACCTGATGATTTTTCGAATTATTTATATTAAATCAATTTTTTTATTTTTAACTATCTCTTTCAATTTTTAAGACCTCATTATACATTGCAAATTTATGGGTTTTAAACCTTAAATAAGTTTTTTATTAATTATTCATGATTTCAATACTATGTGCTACAATTATATAATAATTTCATACTTGTGCAAATACTTTCTTGACTATCCTGGGAATACTTTTTTAAAACCTTATCTAACTTAAAAAAAATATTAATGCCTCCAACTAATGCAATTTATAGTCATTAATACTCGATGTTATTAGGGGAAGTACATTTATATTAAAAACAAACATTTTAGTGTAAAAATTATTTGTTTAAGTATAAGTATTTGGTGTTTTAAATAGGAATACTTTGCAAAAAAAAGAAATGTACAGTACAAAATATGAGTGTTCAAAAATGTTGATCATCAACTTTAATTCTCCTGATCTGAATGACATATTTATTAAATAAATAAATTTTTGATGTATTGATTAAAAAAAATATTCCTACAGACATTGAAAAATTTATCTATCCGAGTATGAATAATATTTTAGCTTTTTATATTCAATTAAGATATGAATTAGATAATTAATTTCTCATAGATATTTTTTAATGAAAATGTTTACACATTTTTTGAGCAAAACTTAAAAAAATTAAATTTTAATTAATAACTTTTATTGTTACTAAAAACACATATTTGGTAATTTCACTTAATAATTTAAAATTTGTTAATTACTGTGGTTACTTGACAATTTTATCTACTTGTTTGTCACAGTCCTTGATTATGTTTATGGAAATCAATGACTGGTCCACCGATTAACTCATTGAATTATTTATAATTTAAATAGTAATAAAAATAATATTAAATTAGTGAAAAACTAAAATTAAAAAAATAATAATAACCTGTGTTTCTTAAACAAATTTAATTATTAAAAAATATTTACAAAATATATACATAATTTTATAAACACTTAATTAAAAGAAATTTGAACTTTCTCAAAAATCTTATTTATCTAGTGTGTCAATTTCATTCAATTTTACATGTTAGACAAGCTTTTTAAAATATAATTTTTTATTGTATTCATGCAAAAACAAACATTATTTTCTTCATATGAATTATAATATGATTTTACTTGGTTAGTTATGTTCATCTTTGTATAATAATGAGAAATTATCTTTTAAAAGTAAATCCAAAAAAAAAAATTACTTGTTGTTGTCAAACAATCATAATTCCACTAATAATAATAAAAAAAAATAAAGAGAAAATTGATTGAAAATTTTAATATGGGGAAAGTCCGATTTAATCTGTTGTTTTAGGTTTGGAAAACGTGTAGAAAAACATACAAAGTTATTATAAGTGTAAATAAGTATATTTTAATGATTAAAAAAATCAACGTCAAAATCATAATATTACATTTTGCGGTTATCCTAATAGTTTTCTAATATGCTTATTTTAATGCATTGTTACTGTTTTACACATGTTATACTGATTTGGATTATTTAGAAAAAAACTATGAAATAAGCGTTAAGTTTGCATGTGGTGTTATATGTACGCGTTTTTAAAGATTAAATTGCTTATTTTATTTTAAAGAATATCAAAAAAATGTTAGTATCGACTTCCCCGTGTACCAGGCGAAAGTAAAACCGCTAATAATGCGTAGTCATAAAATATAAATACATTGTGTTGACGGTGTTCATTGTTTTTCGCCTTCAATTTAGCGTATGAATACAATAACGACGATCACATCTTGTTATACGATACTCTGATGGAAATAGACCGCGAATAATTATTAGATCCGGGAAGTGACATCTAACGACAATGAGTTATTTAATAAAAATTATGAACAATCAATTCTGTTTTGTAACAATTGTTTTTTTTTTTTAAATTTAATCACACAAAAAATATCTTGACTAGAAAGTAAACCCTAAATTGGAACAGTTTTAATTTCAATTTCAGTTGATTTTCATACTATAATTATACCATAATTTTATATGTCAAAATATGGTATAAAATATTCCAAATTTTTAGGTGATGTATTAAGAAATTTACCATAGAATTTGATTTCATTAATAAGAAAGATGCCTATTCACTAATGATTTATATTTAAGTATTAATTTATAAATTCACATTGTACGCCCATTTGATATTCTTTAAGATTTTAATCTTGAGAGAACTTGATGCATAATTGTTTGTTAATGTAACATTTGACACTTTTCAATGTGACTGGGTAGAAATGTAACTTTAAATTGCCATTTCTGAAAGTTTTTAAGTTGTTGGGGTAATGCCCTTAAAAGTTTATTTATGATATCTTAAAATTATTAAATTTTTTCCTATTGAATTGTTAAAAATTTTACTCAATTGTTTAAGTTGAACTATGACAACATATTTCCTTCAAGGTAATTATTATGTGCATTATTCAATGGCAGAAGGATTATACAGATTTCATTTTTAATATTGTGAACAGGGTTGTTACGTTTTAAACACAAATATTTTCAACATTTACATAGGTATTATGAAACATTTTAAACAAACTTTTTTTAACATGTTTTGACAATCCCGGTTGTGAGCAAAGTTGGGCATTACTAAAATCAGTTTTTAAATAAAAGTTATTGGTGCAATAATGAATAATTATGCCATTATTGATTGATTTAACTATTATCAAAAAATAATTACAATCAAAATTAAACTAACTTTTTTTTTATAATAATATTCGATTTATAAAAATACAAAGCGGTTGTAGAAGGGATGGATTAATTACATTTATTATACATGTTAAAATTCAATAATCACGTCTTAAAAACTTAATTTATCTGCATAATCAATATACAGATAAATTAAGTTTTTAATATTGCACAGCTTGACAAAATTTNAATTATGCCATTATTGATTGATTTAACTATTATCAAAAAATAATTACAATCAAAATTAAACTAACTTTTTTTTTATAATAATACTCGATTTATAAAAATACAAAGCGGTCGTAGAAGGGGTGGATTAATTACATTTATTATACATTTTAAAATTCAATAATCACGTCTTAAAAACTTAATTTATCTGTACATTGATTACACAGCTTGACAAAATTTGAGTCGTGGAATGTTTATTAAATTTTTTTTTTTTAGTTTCTGATGGGTTTTTTGGCGCTGATTCCAAATATGCCCTTAGTTTTTCTATATCGTCAATATTCTAGTCTCAATTTGAGTATTTGTACAATTACATTTTTAAATGCTAATTAAAAAATATTTCATAAACATTTTACATAAAGCTACTATTTATTACAACTCTGCAAATTCCACATACATGTATGTGACACTTGAAAAAGTTTAATTATAAATAATCAATGATCAATTGATTACCGTTCATGTTAATTAAANTTACATAAAGCAACTATTTATTACAACTCTGCAAATTCCACATACATGTATGTGACACTTGAAAAAGTTTAATTATATGTAATCAATGATCAATTGATTACCGTTCATGTTAATTAAATTTACTCAAAAAATATGAATCCTAAGTCAATCAGTATTTTCTTGTAGGATTCCTTTTAATGTTAAAAAAATATTAATATTTAATATTTGATTTGAGAATAAATTTAAATACGAAAAGTTAGATATTTTTTTTTTTAACTGATTTAATGAGTTCTAATAAGTAGATATTTAATAATACCTTAAGTGAATGTTTATCTATTCTTAAAAGGAAGCAATTTACTGTGTTACGTTTTTGTAAATTAGTTTTTAATTATTTACTGTTGAAATCATTGATTACTGAATGTAGAATATTAAATACAATTTAACTTTTTTTTAGATTAATTGCATAATGGCGCCTTCCACAACATGGCGGGCCATTAAAATTTTCATACTTCTTGCTGGTTTTCTTTACATANTACGTTTTTGTAAATTAGTTTTTAATTATTTACTGTTGAAATCATTGATTACTGAATGTAGAATATTAAATACAATTTAACTTTTTTTTTAGATTAATTGCATAATGGCGCCTTCCACAACATGGCGGGCCATTAAAATTTTCACGCTTCTTGCTGGTTTTCTTTACATTAGTCAAGTCAACTGTCAAGCTGATAAGAGAGTTTCTGTTCAGCAATATTACGAGTCATCGGATTCAGATGATGTGATAAAAAACAAAATCCGCCCGGATACCTATGCCCAACATCCTTCTGAGGGTCCTCAATACATCGACAAACAGAAATCAATTAATGAAGATAATGTTTCAGCTGTATACAGTGAACAATATGTACCACATAGCCAACCAATTGACGAGGAAGCCCAAGAATCTATCAGTTCTGGTTCTATAAACAATCATAGAATACCCCAGTTCACACGCAATAGTGGTGCACCAGTAGTTACCGACGGATCCGAGGCTAAGAATGTGGGAAACAGAGTAGTTTCTGCGAATTACCACGGCCCTACAGGCTCTGGATACTCCGTCGACAACTCGTACAACCAACAGTTTAGTTCCCAGGATCTAATTCAAGACCAAAACTACCAACTAGAATTCAAATACCACGATTACGACAAAATGACTAAATTCTTGAGAACTACGTCATCTAGATATCCTAATCTTACTGCTTTATACTCTATTGGAAAATCTGTCCAAGGTCAGTAACACTTAAATAAATGTTTCGTTAGCAGTAACAATGAAAATCTGAGAATATTTTAAGTAATAATTTGTAGGTGTATATATAATTTAGATACAAAGAATGGGTTCATTTTTTTTTTAAAAAGTTTTAAAATATCTTTAAAAATATGTAAGACGTTTTTGTTTTTCGTTTGGATTTAAAACCAAATAGATTTTAAAGAGTTGATAATGAAAGTTAAAAAACAAATTAAATCCGTTTTAAAGCCTTTAAATATTTGTTGGACTTTTGAACTCTCCTAAATGAAAACGAAATAAAGAAAGTAATAATTATGTATAATCTATTAAATGTTTTTATTTAATTAATAAAGGCCGTGATTTATGGGTTATGGTTGTATCCTCTAGTCCATACGAACATATGATAGGAAAACCTGATGTCAAATACGTAGCTAATATGCATGGGAATGAGGCTGTTGGAAGAGAACTTATGTTACATCTCATCCAAGTAAGAAAATAAGTTATTGATAACCCTATTGTTTTAGTTGTGCAGATCGTATATTATTATAGTAATATACAAATAAAGTTTTATTTGAATAACTATAATTTATCAACAAATATTAAAATTATAAAATTTGGTGAGATAAAATTTAAATAAAAAGTAAATTGTAATATTTCATAAACCAAGCAATAATGAGAAAATAAAAATCAGCCTATCTTATTATTTTATTTGTATTACATTATTCATTATTTTATAAAATTTATGGAAAGAATTTGTAATTAAATTAAAATTTGTTTGCTAAAATTAAGCGCATACTATCATATTGTTTATTATAGACTTTAATTTAGATGACTGTGAAAGTAATATTTAAAGTAAATAGTAAATGATTAATCTTACAATAATATAATTTAATAAAATAATATTTTTTTATTATTAACTAGATAATATTTTTAAATAATTTAGAATATCAAAAAAAGATTTTATTACATATTTAATCCGTTATAATTTTATATTTATTAAGTTTATCAGAATATTTTATAATAAACAGTTAATTTTCATTTTTATAATTTCGTCGGTATAGTATTATCTTAATATTAAGTAAAATTGCTTTGTATTTTTCTTTATATATTTTACACCATTTTTCCATTATAATAAAATTTAAAAAAATATTCATGAATTTTTTATTACAATTTATTTTTTTATAAAATGCTAATTATAACTAATTAAATGTCAATTTAGTATTTGGTGAACAGTTATTCAGTTGATCCGTATATCAGGTGGCTTTTGGACAATACCCGTATCCATATCTTGCCGTCAATGAACCCTGATGGTTTTGAAGTAGCACGTGAAGGGCAATGCGATGGCGGTCAGGGCCGTTACAATGCTCGTGGTTATGATCTAAACAGAAACTTCCCTGATTATTTCAAACAAAATAATAGAAAAGGGCAACCTGAAACTGACGCTGTTAAAGATTGGACGTCTAAAATACAATTTGTGTTATCCGGAGGAATTCATGGCGGTGCTTTGGTTGCTAGCTATCCATTCGACAATACGCCTAACTCTAGTAAGTTATTACTTACTTTTTTTTTATAATTTAATTATAAATTAAATTATATATTATAATTTAATTATAATTCGTTTTTGATATTCGACAAAACATATTTTTTTTTAATTTTTGAATTGTAAATATTATATTCGGATTAACAAAAATTGAGACACAAATATCGAATCATTCTTTTCCAACAAAAGTACTTGTTGATTTCAGTACAACTATTATTTACTACATTCAAATGAGTTTTTTTAAACATCAATTTGATTGATTGATATCTTTTCCCTTGGGACAATTTTTCAGTTTCAGATTTAACAATAACTCTCTATTGACAACCATAATAAAATCACATGAGAATCCATATCATCTTGTATTTTTGAGCTTGCACTTAATTTTTGTAACGTGAGGCAAATGTAAAATGTGAGCTTAGATAGAATCGTACACACATTTAATTGGAGAAAATCAACACATTCTAAATATTAGTTTTTTAGCTCTATTGTAACTATCCAAATAACTCGTAGTGTTGGACACGTGTCTCAAATATTTAGGAATTAGGGCCGTGTCAATAACTAATAGCGCCCCTGACAAACTAAATTCGCACCCCAAAATTCTAATTTGTTTGTTCTACAACCATAAAAAGTTCTTTCTAAAAAAAACCCCTTTGTAGATTGTAGTACAAGTATTTCTTAATTTTATTTTTAAATATAAAAAATGTTTTATTGCGGTTTATGTTGAAATTGAACCTTTGGTATAATTACGCCCCGTGCAAATGACCTCTTGCTAGCGCCTAGCTACGACCTTGGTGCGAATATGTATATTCATATTAATAAATTTTAATAATTAATATATTTTTATAATTGGTAATTACACATTGATTAAAATATAAATTATGTTATATGTCTTTCATAATAATTACAAAGGGCTTTGCGTAATATCTACACTTTGTTCTAGTACGTATAACTAAAATTTTGATAAAATAGTATTAAACAAAAACTTATCTAATTATTAATTCTATATCATTTCATTTATTTTCGTTATCTAAACAATTTTAATTTATACAATTTTTTTAGTGTTCCAAAGTTATACTTCAACACCTTCATTGACTCCCGATGATGACGTGTTTAAACATCTTGCATTGACGTATTCAAGAAACCACCCCACTATGAATCAAGCCGTCGCGTGTAAACAAAATACTCCATCGTTCAACAGTGGCATCACCAATGGAGCTGCTTGGTATCCACTAACAGGTAAAATTTCGTGTATACTTTATTTATAGACAAAAATCATCATCTATAGACATTAAATATTTTTCGATGTTGCAAAAGAAAATATTTGCTTTTGTTTTATTTTTATTTGAGCATAACATTAAATAACATGTTTCATTGAATATATTAATATTCAAATTTGGTCTGTTCATGACTTATGAGTTTGAAAATAATTCTATTATTAAATCTTTAACTTTTTGAAGAAAATTTTTTGTAAAAAGATCAGTGCTTTGAATTTACACAAATTAAAAGCACCAGAAAAATAATACAATCTGAAAAAAAAATTCCTTGCAATGTAATTTTGGGTTTCAAGTCTAATAACACATTTATTTAACTAACTAAAATATACTGTCTGTTTATGGCTATAAATTTTTTCATGTGTAGGGGGTATGCAAGATTTTAACTATGTGTGGTATGGTTGTATGGAAGTGACATTGGAATTGTCTTGTTGTAAATACCCACCTGCAGCCGAGTTACCTAAATTTTGGGAAGAAAACCGAATGGTATGAAATTATTTATTTATTTTTAATGTTTGAATGTATTATATATTTTTATCAATAATAATTATAATTTTTAGTCGCTAGTTAAATTTTTGGCAGAAGCTCATCGAGGAGTTCATGGTTTTGTAATGGATGAACATGGTAATCCAATTGAAAAAGCATCACTTAAGATTAAGGGACGTGACGTAGGATTTCAAACTACAAAATACGGAGAATTCTGGAGGATATTACTACCTGGTGTTTACAAATTAGAAGTATATCATTAAAATAATCATTTATTATTACTATTGTACTACAATTTACTCCTAATGATTCAGATTTATGGTGATGGCTACATTCCAAAAGAAATGGACTTCATGGTAGTTGAACAACACCCAACACTTTTAAATGTTACATTACATAGTTCAAAGGTAGGTTTAAAAGCAAGTAGGCCACGCTTAAAAATTTGGCAACCGCCATGGATGTATTTACTAGACAATAGAACAATTTATGTCAATTTTGGATTTATCAATTCTACCACTAATTGGAGGGATGGCTTGCTAACTTTTAACTATGCTTCTATGGTGATAGTTAATGTGTATTGTGTATTAATATTACAATTTGTTTTGATCACTTTCAATACCCATCACTAAGAATTCACAAAAAACAAAGACTGATTAATTGTAATGATTTTTTTTTTTAAACGTGGTACAAAGGTTGCATTAAAACATTTATTAAAATGTTTATAAAAATAAAAAAGAATTATTCTAGAAGAACTGTTATTTTATTCAGTAAAGTTATATTATCAAATATGTTTTAAAGATAAAATATGGAATAAATTATTTCAATATCTTGTAAATTTAAATGTATATATTTTCATATTTGTAAAATTTAAATATAATTATATTATTATTGGTGAAAAGGAATTAATCATTTGCTAACATTGAGGCTTAATTTATTAAAAAAATTTAAATAAAACAAATACTAACATCAAGTATGACTACTTATATTTTCCATTTTTTATTAACTACTAGTTTTATTTTATGGTGTTGCTCCTTTCACATAAAAAGAACTATTATAACTCATATCTCACTTTTGGCATGACATTTAATTTTCAACAAGGCTAAAAATTGAAATGATTTCGGTTTTCTTGAAAAATTTTTACAACTAGTAGAGTAATTGATCTATATTGATTTTTTTTTCAGACATTTGTAAAGTTAATCATTTTAGAAACCGAAAGTATTATAAAATCACTTTTAAAATCTTAATCATACTTAAAATTTAAACATATAAAGTTTAAAACCCGAAATATAAATATATATTTTGTTAATTTCGATTTTTTAAATTCAAATTTTAAATTAAATTAAATTTTTATTAGCTGTCTTATAGTATTTTTGATTTCTTTAATAAATATTTTAAAATAAACTAAAACAAATTTAATGTAGGTAAAACAATTTACTAAATATAAGACAATTTGCTAAAAATCAATAGTTTCTAACACTAGATTTTAATTCTGAATTAATTACATGTTCATTTTAACTCTAGAAAAAGTCTAATTATTAGTTTGGAGTTCTGTATGATAAAATGTATTCTGTATTACTGGTTTTTAACTGTTGAAAAAATATTATTCTATAAAACATAATATATATGTAATTTATTTCTTAATTTAAGTATAAAATTGTGTTTAAAATATTTGTTATTTACTAACTATTAACTTCAAGTCGAATATGATACATCATAAATTGCCGAGATACTAGTTTTAATTTATCTAACACAATGGTGAATGTATAAATCTTATTTTCTTATATATTCTATGCTATTATGTATAAATTGCAAGTGGTTACAGGATAATGTATATAAACAACAAGGCATTTCTTCACTTCCCTATCTCAATTCTACCACTACAGACTCAAATATTCATTTTCCTATATCTAGTTAATTTTGAAATTATAAGAAATCTTCATTTATAATTTGTAAGTAGTTATTAACTTGGTTTGATAATATATATATATATATATATATATTAACAAAAAATATTTTGACTTCATTTCTTAGTTATTAAATAAAATTATATCAAATTTTTACTCATATTATTTAAAATATTATTTTAGAGACAGGATAATTCACATTTTAACAGACCTCCAGTTCCTCATTTTTACCACCACCATCATCCACAAGGTATAGCATTGGCACCTAAGCCAGCAATTCAAGATTCTGGTATGTTTTCTAGTATTACATCTGGTTTTAACAACTTAGTAAGCAATATTTTTGGATAAAATTTAATTCAAATTAACTAATTTTCACAAGTATAAATAAATTAAATACAAAACAGCCAATATCTGATCTCCATGCTGGAAAAGATATAGATCTATGAAAATTAAAAAAAATCTACTTAATTTAAGCAATACATAACAACATCATAGTATACACTTCACTACTAGCACCTACTTAAAAATTTATTTATTTATATTATTTAATATAACTAAATTTAAATAATATTACACATTGATTTGTTATATTTAATTATTTTTGTAAGAGCATTTTTATTATAAAATTGTGTACATATATTTAAGTGAATAAAAAATATTTTGTAATATTTAGTTTTTTTTATTTTATCTTCCATAACTCATTGTAACATGAAGTTTAATCTAATTAAAGAGAAATAAGTTGTATCAATAATATATTTGAAATTGACAATAAAACATGTTTAAAAGATATTTTATCTTCCAATTAAAAAAAAATAAAAGTAATTTAAATCAAAAATATATTTCATAGAAAGTTTATCTATTCCCTGCTATTATTCATTTAACATTTTCATGAAAAATAAATTTAACAATTTTCTTTATAATTATACAAAATAATAACCTACTGATATAATATTCATACAAATTGTTAAAGAATAATTATGTATGATAGCACGCATACACATGAATAATTTAAGTTATAAAAAAATCATTGGTCTACTGGAATTAATTTAGACCGAATAGCATGAAAAGCACTTATTAATCCACTTAAATGAATTTTTTCACTAGTTCCACCATTAAGCCTAACTTCAATTTCAGCCATTTCAGTTAGTAATTCAATGAGTGCATCGGGTGGTAAATCCACTAAAACATTAAAAGGAAAAAATAATGTAACTAATATATTAGTATCAACTAATTAAAAAAATATTATTTTATATTAATTATATACAAGGTGTATAATATTGTGACTATTAAATAATAAGATTTTGTCAATAAAACATTTTATTTGATATTTTTTAGTTTTAGCTTTTTTTTAGCTTTTGTTTTTACAGCTTTAAACTGACTCAAAATGTGTGCCTTTTAACCCACTTGTTAGTTTTAGAAATAGCTAAAAGTTTCATGGAGTGAGATCTGGAAAATTTGGGGGATCTTGAAGCACTGCAGTTTGATATTTAGCTAGAAATCGCTTAACAGATAAGACGATATTAGCTGGTACATTTTCTTGATGCAAGAAAAGTTATTTTCCTAAGACCCAAACCGCTTTTTTCTTACACATTTTCCGAGTCTTTTCAAGACTTAAAGGTAATAATGTTGATTAACAGTTTGTCCCTGAGGTACCTATTCTATCAAAATAACTCCTTAATATCGAAAAATACGATCAACATGATCTTCAGTTGAGACAAGCTCATTCGAGATTTTTTCATTTTTGGTGATGTCGAAGTATTTTAATGTCAAGGTCTTATTGGAAAATCTAAGTTTCACCACATGTTATCACCTTTCCCAGCAAATCTTGCTCACTTTCTATCCAACTAAGAATATCTGGGTAAACTTATTACATACCATCTTTCTTTTCCAGAGTGGTTTTAAGGCAACATTTTGGTGCATACTTTTATCATATTCAATTTATTTGTCAAATTTGTTTAACTGTTTTTTTCTTTATATTAACCATCACAGATATCATTCTAATACTCAAGCCAATTTTTTCACATTATTTCATTGATTTTTGAAATGTTTTTAAAGACAATGCACAACCCACACGTTGTTTGTCTTCAACTTCTTTACGACCCCAACAAAATCATTTATGACACTCAAAAACACATGGTTGGGATATGACAGCATCTCTATACAGAGTGACCGAAAGAGAAAAAATATCAAGTTCAAAAATCACTACATCAATATATAGTCAAATCATCATTTTTATTCATCCCTTCAGGAATAAAAACCCTTATTTATAATTTTTTTAAATGGAAACCCTTATTTTTAATTTTATAATATGATAGAAAAAAAAATTACAAGCGACTTTGTTCATAGAATTTTTTTTTTCCGAATAACCGTTCGTCTGTTACAGCTTGTCAAAGTTAAGTGATTTTAGGCAAAGTTTCTATTGTTATTTTACTGTATTAAATACAGAAGTCATTATTTTTATTTGTAAGTCTTACACACCCATAGACTTTGCTATTAATAATACACCAAAAACACGATTTATATCTATTATTGTTATCACTCATTTAGTGCGTCGTAAATTTTTATATCTAATTTACCTGTTATAATTTGATCAATAAAATTTGGTTTAGACAACAGCAAATAAAAATAATGACTTCTGTATTTAATACAGACTTAACTTAACTTTAACAAGCTGTAACGGACGAACGGTTAATTAAAAAAAAAAAAAAATACGAACAAAGTTCTTGTAATTTTTTTTTCTATCATATTATAAAATTAAAAATAAGGGTCTTTATCCCTGCAGGGACGAAAAAAATGATGATTTGACTACATAGTAATGTAAAGATTTTTGAACTTGATATTTTCTCTCTTTAAAAATTTTTAAAATTCTCAATAATATCTGAGAAAATGAATGTCTTACCAGATTTTGATCACCCTGTATACCTTTGTTAATAAACAAAAATTTTCGGTCATAGATTTTACGAGTTTCACTAGAAATTTTTGATTAATTTTTTTTTCAATTTTTTCATTCGGCATAATTTTGAAATTCAGTACATAAGAGATAAATTTAAATGACGCTTACACACAGAAAATATTATCTAGCTATTTATAATATTAATCATATCATACTTTAATGTAAAACAATTTTTTATTTTTAAAGACAAACTTACATCTATACAAAAATGTATGGAGTTCTGTCAAAATATCTTGCAAAGCCAATCCTTTATCAACTTTTAATCCTTGAATTTCTACAATTTTAATTTTAATTTACAATTAAATTAATTAATTATTTTTAGCATTTAAATTTGCTATAATACTAGGCATACTTTGGTAGGTAGATGAAAAATCATCATTCAATAACCATTTTAAAATATCCATTATATCACTTTTCAATGGATGTCCAACACACGTATAGACAGAATCTTCATTGACTTCTGAAAAAGCTGTAGCAGCACTTTGTAGAATATTCAATACTTTTCTCATGTCACCTTGTGCTAAATCTATTAATGCTTTTTTCCCATCTTCTGTAACCTTAACACTAAACTCAAACAAATTATTAGTCAAATTATGAACTTAGATAGTAAAATTATAGAAAGTAAAATAATTTGCCCATACTTCTCTTGTTGTACAACATATTCAAGTCTTGGCATTATTTGTTTCGAATCAAGAGGTCCAAATCGAAAACGTGTGCATCGAGACTGTAATGCAGGAATGATTTTACTTAAATAATTACAAATTAAGCAAAAACGGACATTGTCAGTAAATTTTTCAATAACTGTATAAAAAATGTAAATGATAACTGAATGTAATTTTAATAATAAATATAAAATGTATTACTTCTTCTTAAAGCATTTTGGGCATCATTTGTCATAGCATCAGCTTCATCTAAAATAATCAATTTGAAACCCGATTTAAAAATTGTTCTTGTTGATGCAAAATTCATTATTTGGCCTCTAACAACATTAATACCTCTGTCATCAGAGGCATTAAGTTCAAGTACCTATGAAATAAAATGTTTATAACATATGCAATATAGTTTAGTTTTTTAGTTTTAGTTATTAGTGAGGTGGACATAATGCCCATGCATTCTGATCTGTTGGTTAATTGTGCATACCTCGTACCAAATTGTCTTGATTCATTCTACACACTTTAGTATTATCACTGAAGTGTTCATATCCAATTTAAATATATATTTTGTGTATTTAAATTTTTTATAGCAATAGAAAAGTCAAGGGTCATGTCTACAAATTGACTAATATACTTATTTCTATGTGTCATGCAAAAAATTGGGTGATATTTATTAAAATGGTATTAATTATTTAATAACCTTTAGAATTGGCAATATAGTATTAAATTTTTTATAAAATGAAATAATAAATAATTTTGTGATCATTAGCAACAGATTTTTATTTAATAAATTACAAAAGATAAGTATTAGATAAGAAATTCTCCAATAAATACAACAGGTTATCAAAACTTAGATTAGAGAAAGTAAACAGAAAAATTACTCTACCTAATGTAAGAAGAATAGGTTATCAAGATAAATAGTAATTCAATAAAATACATTAAGAAAAAGCATCCAGTTAATATTTTTTCTCTACATAACAAAAAATAAAAATTAGTCAATATAATTTGTATAATTCCAATATTAAATACATACCATCGAGCGAAATTGGGCAGGTGTGTACAATTGTTTAGCACATGCTAAAATTGTACTAGTTTTTCCAGTTCCCGGAGGACCATAAAATAACAGGTGAGGAAGTTGATCTTCTTTAATATACCTACCAACTAAAGAGTAATCCCATGAATATTTTTAATTAAATTAAATTTTATAAATTAATTGTCAAATCCCTAAATATCATTTTTTCATACTTGTTTTTATTATATCTTCATGTGAAATTAGATCTTCTAATTTACTTGGACGATATTTTTCAACCCTATTACATGATATAAAGTTAATGATAAATATTATAATTAAAAAGCTAAGTACAATAATTACACTATTAACGTATAAGAAATAGTAAAAATGTTTTGCATTATTAAACAATAGTACAAAATGTCTTAATATATATTATTTATTACATTATGATAAGAATTAATAATTAATAAAAGGTTTACTAACCAAGGTAAATTCAATTTTGATTTTGTCATACTTAATGAAAAATATTCAATTTAAGTGTTTAGACAAATATTCACATAGAAATATATATATATTTTAATTAATGGAATATTATACAAATACCATACAAATTAAAAAATAAATAATTCTTTAAAGTATTGAGTAATTATAATTAATTTAATGTACAAAAAAACAATATATCTAATACAAAAATACCATGACTGTATTATGCATTATAATTTAACTGAACATTTATCAGTATTAAATGCTGATATGTATAATTTTCAGGTTACAAAAATAATTTAATAAAAATTTGATTATATTTTGGCGCGAACATTTTCCAGGACTGCCAACAAAACTTTTTGAATCTAATTTATAGATACTTCGGGAAAATTTTCTCCTCTAAGCAAAATTCTAAGAATAGTTTTTTGATTATTATTGAAAATACTAAAGTAAAAACCAGTAGCGTCGATGCCTATAAACATATATTAGGTGAGCATATATTAGAAGACATGCTTTTCTCAATGAATGTCTGTAATTTCGTGAGAGTTACTTAAATAAGTAATGACCAAAGAGTCAATTAAAATTTGGAGATTTCTCAGTGAAATTTTTGAAGTGAAAGCTTCTCTTGGGAGGCTTTGTATTTCATGGGAGTAAACGAGTGAAACAAGTTAACAACACTGAATATTGTAATTCAGTATATCATTATATATATATTTTAATATATTTATATACAAAGTGTTAAGTAAGTAAGGAAACTGGATTCTATTCTGATTGTAACAATTTACCTGTTACTGAACATTTTGTATATAATTATTTATACGTGTGGGCGCGCGTTGTATCATATTTTAGTCATCATAAGCTGATAGTTATAATTACTACAGATGATAATAATGATAAAAATAATTCAACTATAGAGGAAAAGTAACATGTAAAAATGAAAAACTAATAAATAACTGATTTTATAAAAATTAATTATGCTTATTTATCATACACAGATTCAATAAAGTCTGTCATTTTTAAGTTTCATTTAAAACAATAAGCAATGTTTATTAGTAGAATTTTTCACTTCTGTCTACTGTCCTATAACGGTAATTTAGGTTTTTTTTATGATACAATACACATTAAATTTGGGATTAGACGTACAAATTTATCTTTCATTGCTCTTAACATCTTAATTTTAAATGATAAGCGAAAATAAAATTTCAAAATAACAAACTTATGTCACCTCAAAATTAAAACACAATCTCTTCATTGAGTAATCTTCGCACCGTCTTTTTAGTTTCATTTGAATTTTTTCATATTTTACTACATAGTATGCCAAGCTTAATTATGTGTATACAGAAATTTTTTTCTAAATAATATCTTAAATAGTGTATGGTTTTGACTAATTAACTTGGGAAATCTGTGGTTTCATTCTTCTGTGTCATTATTAGTTTTTTCTGCATCTGTTTAAGGTAAAATCATGAAAATTCTATAGATTTGTCGAATAAATGAAACTTTTATTACAGATGTAAGCAGTAGAGAATTTAGCGGGAGACACAGGAGCATGCGCCCCCCATTATAAATTTCTAAATACGTCACTGGATGAAAGCATCTGTAATGACATACAGCATAAGTCTAAATTAATGACTTATCGTTTGGATATGTCTTAAAACTTTGATGACCGATAAAGAATGGAAATATATAAAGATTCCCATTCTTTTTCCTTTTTTTTTTAATCGCCTTATTAGCCCATTAAAGGCCATAGCGGCCTCCCCCAAAGGAGGACGTTTCTTAACCATTTATACTCCGGAGCGGATGGTTAGTTCGTCGCCGAAGAGAGGGATGGCGACTCCAATTACCGAACGAGAGATCTCGTTCAGAAAATGAAGCCGCCCGTGACCGAGTTTCGAACCCGAGACAGTGCGCGTCAAGCACTGCCGCGTTGCCGACCTTGCCACACCGTCCCATTCTCTCTTACACAATCATGTCTCTTCAGTGAGGGAATTGAAAATAATTAGAATAATAATGTAAAATTATTATAATATTATGAATTCCTAACTTTTTTACAGTATTATATTATAAATGAAATTTTATAAGTATCCCACTTGACTCACTACTAAGTAATAATAGTTAAATTAGTGGGTCAGTCTTCAAGCTAAAATTTCTTACTATTTGAAATTATTATTATTTTATTTAAATAAATGTATTTTTATACGATCTTATATTGTATTGTATTCCTTAAATTCTTAATTTATTATTGTCTTTATTTAAGAGTTTCAAAAAAAATATGTATTTTGTCGGAGTTGATGTTGGCACAGGAAGTGTTCGTGCTGCTCTAGTTGATAGAATTGGTCGCATAATACAAAAGTCAACATGCGATATTTTAACGTGGAATCCTGAACCAAACTATTACCAACAATCCTCAGATAACATATGGCAATCTTGTTGTAAAGTCATTAAGGTAATTAAGTTTTAAGACCATTATTTCTAACATAATTTTTATTTTCTGAAAACTAATGAGACTTTTTCATGATATGTTCATCAATTCAAATATCTTATTCCTGGACAGTTACACCATAAAAATTTAAAAAATTTCTCATATTTAAAATTGCATGTTTTATTCAAATATTGAATTCAGACATTTTTTGTGTTTTTAAGGATGTGATTAAAGAAGTTGAACCTTCAACAATAAAAGGAATTGGATTCGATGCCACTTGCTCTTTAGTTGCTATTGATATTGAGAACCATCCTTTGTCAATTAGCAAAAAAGGTTGAAAATTATAATTATAATTAAGCGAGAAAAACATATTGTCAGTATTAAGATGTAGGAAATTTTAACTTGGTTGCATGGACATAATATGATGTAATTTTTTTGGTAGACAGGCAAGCGCATCTTGGACTTTTATTCTGTATTAAACAGTATCCCTACTAGATTCATAATTTAAGGGCACTGGCGAAAATAAGAGGAGTGAGCTGGAAGCTTAGTTCTCAAAAAGTTTATAAAATTACATGGATTATTATACATAACATTTATTATTTAAGAAATCATAATATTAGACCATTTGTATTGGTCTAGTATTAAATAAACTCGTTATAATTATGTTAACTATAGAAATGAAATACTACATTAAATATATTTCTTACTGTACAGGGGAACAAGAACAAAATGTAATTTTATGGATGGACCATAGAGCTAAAAAAGAAGCGGATTTCATAAATCAAACTGGACATAAAGTTTTGCGATATGTCGGGGGAAAAATATCATTAGAAATGGAAACTCCAAAAATTTTATGGTTAAAAAATAATTTTCCAGAGAATACTTTTTGGAATAAAGTTGGTTTCTTTTTTGATTTGCCTGATTTCTTGACATGGAAAGCTACAAATGCTCATTCTAGGTTCGATGAGATTCGAGTAACTTGGTAAATTACAATACTTGTAATGAAATTTTCATATACAGGTCTTTATGTACAGTCGTGTGTAAATGGACATTTTGTCCTAATGTAAAATCAGATGTACTAGGATGTTGGGACCATTCATATTTTAAGAAAATAGGTTTGGAAGATTTACATGAAAATAACTGGCGAAAAATTGGTAACAATGGTCTATTTAATTAAAATTGTTCTCTAAGGGAACAAGTTCATAATTCTATTTCTGTTAGGCAGCAAAATTTTAGAGCCCGGTCAATTCTGTGGATTAGGTTTAACAGACATAGCTGCAAAAGAGATGGGTCTAAATGTAGGCACACCTGTTGCTACATCATTAATTGATGCTCATGCTGGAGGTTTGGGAATGATAGGCGTAGGACTAAATAAATCATTGGATAATAATTTAGAAAATCGTTTAGGTATTATTTGTATTTATTTAATTAATACATAGTCATTTCAGAATAAAAAGGTTCTAACGCAGTTAAAAAAAAAAAAAATTACGTATCATTTACCTTACACTGCATGGAAATTTAATGGTGCATGCTTATTAAAGTCGCTTTAAATTTAAAGCAACTTATATCCATCAAATATTTTATAAAAATAAAAGATTACTATTGGAACAGTTCTAGAATACAATTTTTCATGATTAAACTTTAAATTCATTCAGTGAAAGGTTAAATAAAAATATAATTGTGTTATGTAACAGTATGAAATTTTTTTTTTAAAAATGGTAAACTAAAAAATTATTAATTTCCCGTTAAAACCTTTTCAATTTCAAAAGAGGAAATATTATTTATTAACATTTGTATGTTTAAGTTATAATAAATGGTACATCAGCATGTCATATGTTAGTGAGTGGTGAAGAGATGTTTGTGGAAGGGATTTGGGGTCCATATTATGGAGCTATGGTTCCAAAAATGTGGCTTTTAGAAGGAGGCCAATCAACTACTGGTAAACTTCTCGATCATATCATTTACACACATCCAGCAACAGAAAAACTCAACATTCCTAAAAATACGTAAAATAATAAATCTATGAATTATTTTATAAACAATAACTTAACTAAAAATACATTTTTAAATTAGGCGGATAGAAGATTACTTAAATGAAATAATTGTTAAAATGGCTATTAAAAAAGGTTTAAAATATGTGGATTACTTAACTGAAGATTTTCACATTTATCCAGATTTCCATGGAAATAGATCACCTATTGGAGATTCTAGTCTTAAAGGAATGGTAAATTTTTCCAGAAATACGATTTCATCAATTTACTTCAATTTTTTAATTTTATATGAACTAAAAGGTTCAGGCTCTCTAAAAATTGATATTCATATATTATAAATAATATACTATTTAAAAAAATGGATTAAATTTTTGGGTATTGTATTTTATTAAAAAACAAAGAAGGGAAAGTTTAAAAATGTTCCAATGTAATAGGTTTAAGATTTTTTTTTATTTTCGATAAGCCTAATACTTTGTATTTTTGTTATTAATAAAATATATTATAAATATGTAGTTTTATGACTTTTGTTTAATTACAGATTGTTGGGTTATCATTATCTGTCGATGAAGAAAATTTAGCAGTAATATATTTAGCAACAATACAAGCTATTTGCGTAAGATAAACAATTTATTTTTATATTTCATAAGTAATTTGACATCAAGTTGATAAAATATTTTATAGACATATTAAAATTTATCTGTTAGCTTAAATGTATCCACAAACAATATAGAGAAATATTTCAAACTTAATTTTTATATATATATAAAAAAATTTATGTGAATAAGTAATTTTATACAATAGTAGTTTACATAGACAATGTACTCATTTTCGTTAAAAAAACGACTTTTATTTGGGTTATTTAAAATTGTGTTGTCTTTGAGAATAATTCAATTTCTGTGATGAATTATATTATAATACATACTTTTAAGTGTAAACAAAAAAAATTCAGTTCAAAATTTAATATTAAGTGAAAAATAAAAAGACAAAGCATATATTTTTTTACAACAAATACATATTAATACTATATACATATATAAATAAACAACTTGTACTTTAATTCAATTATTTTATTAGTATGGAACAAAACACATAATTGATTCATTAGAGAAAACAAATTCCAAATTAAAAGTGAATGAAGTACTTTTGTGTGGAGGAGTAAGTAAAAACAAAATATATTTACAAACTCAAGCAAACATAGTCACATTACCAGTATGGACGTCAATAGAAAATGATCCAGTTTTAATTGGATCAGCTATGCTTGCTGCAACAGCTTCTAAAGAATATAAATCTCTACAAGAAACAATTACTAGAATGGCTAGTGATGGTCAAATAACACAACCTTTAAAAAATACACACGAGTAATTAAATGATAACAAATATTTATAAACTGATAAAAATGGCACACATAATTTTACTAATTAAAAAAATGAATAAACTTAAATTACAGGTATCATAATAGGAAATACATGGTTTATCTAGAAATGTTGAAGAACCAACAAAACTACAGGGATATTATGTCAAATTAAACATTAAAATTTATTACTTAAAATAGAATACTTAATGTCGACAAAGTAAAACAGTAAAATTAAAAAAAAAATTTCATAATTATAATCTTATAAAAAAATGTTAAACTTTGTAATTTTTTAATGGTTTTGAGGCTAATCTAGAAGATCGTCTTAAAGAAGCTGCACTGCTATTTTTTTTGTTTGGTATGTTATTTGTTTTCTGTATATTGTGAGGTGTAGCAACTCTAGATTGAACATGTTTTAAAATATCTTCATTATCATCACCTACAAAAACGCAAAAAAAAAAAAAAATTAGTTACATGAAATTATTTTATTTTTTGTACTTACAATTAAATGAATTTTGAGGGGTTACAAAATCATCATTAATTTTTTTTGGAGATTCAAAGTGTATATTTCTACGTTTGACTCCTTTTTCTTGATCAGATTTTTTTAGAGCCGGTTTTAATGGCGAAATATGTGGTTTAGCTAGAACTATTGGAGTCATTCCAGATCTACGAGCAACATATGATAGTTCTAAGGTTTTTAATAACACTGGAGTAAAACTAATATTTTTTTGATTAGAAGATGTCGGTGTACTGGAAATCACTGAATATATATATATTTATTAAATGATATGTATAAATATAGTTTAATAATATTACATAAATTTTTTTTTAATTTCTATGAAAAATATATTGATTTGAAACAAAAAAACAATTTTTTTTTTCTGAAATTCAAATTTTCATTACAGTATAAAAATTAACATTAACTTTGTAATACAAATTAAATGTGCAATTTAATTTAATTAACAAACCAGAATTAAGTATTTTTTTCAAACAAAAATTGTTCCAACTTACAACAAGTATTGTTAGAGGACTTCATTTCATGAAAATGAGATTGACTTTCTGTCATTTCCTTTTTTGGTATGGTTTTTGATTTTATTCTTTGATCTAAAGAAAATTTTATTACAACAAATTATAATTTGTTTTAATTAATTATTAAAAATTCCAAGAAAGACTAAGTTAATCTAATTGAATAATTTTTATTTATTACAACTAAATGAAGATTACTTTTTATGCAAAATATGTTATTTTTAATTTTAATAGTAAAATAGTATCAAATTAAGAAGTGGTATTAGAAATGATGTATTTGCATTATTGTTACAAAAACTCACCAAGAAAATACTTTTTTATAATGTAAAAATTTAATGTTTAATGTTATTCTTTTTCTAGATTAACTTTTTTGTAAAAATGTACATAACACATTATACACATAAACCTTTCTAAAAGTGAATATAATTGTCATTTTAATTTAAAAGACAACTGAGTAGACTATAAGTATTTTGAATCACAATGTTTGAGTTGTTAAATAAACAATTCTAAAATGGGTGTTACTGTATTCAGTGAATATCATGTCCTCCAAACTAATATTAGCTATGTCCAATTTTTTCAATTTTGTGTTATTGATAAAAATAGGTTGGTGATAATATATTATATAATTTTATGTCAATATCTAAAAATTGGAAAAAAATGTACTTATCATACTGTAAGGTATCAATTTGATATGAACAAAAATTGTAATAGGTGCAAGCTAAAACGATTTATCTCACAAAACAAACATTTTCAAAAATCCTTTACAATTTTATAGCAGATAAATAGTTATTTCATAGCATGCAGATTTTAAAATAAAATATCTCTGCCAGTAATAATAGTTTTCAAAGTATGCTTTTATCAAATCTTATTAAAAAAAAAAAAAAAACCAGTGCGTGTTATGAGTATGCACGAATGAAGAGAAAATTCTTTTGTTATGAAGATATTGCATCTATTGTAGTTCTTTAAATTTTTTTTATGCACAATCAAAATTATTTGAAATTAAATTATTTAATACATTTTAAATAAAATTACTTTAATTTTCGAAAATACAGTAATATATTATAATATAAAATAAATTTTACAGCCGACCGTTACGCTTGATAATCTGTTTTTTTCAGACCCTCTATAAAGAAATTTCACTTCAATAAGAAGTCAGATGTATGGTTTTTAGATATGCTGATTTAATTAAATTATTCGCCAAGACACCATTCTATTCTCACCCTATTCATTTTTCAATATCATCATTTAGCTTATTATATGTAATTACTTTTATTTTTTTTTTAGTTAAAAATGTCATAAATAGTGGAATATTTTTAAAGAATTTAAAATTCATTAAAATGGGACCAACAGTTACTGACATCTTCATTAACTTTTAATCCAGTAAATATATATGAGGGTATTAATTAATCATAGATGCATAAAGTTTGAATTAAAAGCTTACTAATTGACAAAAATTTTGAAACGTTTTTCAAATATTTTTGATATTTAACATTTAAAATTCTACTTCAGTCACATTTCCATTGAGTTTCTATGCTTTTACTCTCCTACTAATGCTCCTAAAAAGTTTTACTATAAAGATGTGATCTTAAAATAGTCCAAAATTGTAAAAATTATTATTATTAAAAAAAAATAATAATGCATAATATTTGTTGGATCAAAAATTATTAAACATGGAAAAACCTAGTATGACATTCTGTATATAATAAAAAAATTAATAAAATAAATTATTTTAATTCAGGATTTATAATAACTCATATTTCTTTACACTATTATATATTTCAATGATTAAAACTTTAAAATATTACTTTTTAAAAACTCTGTAATTTTCGATTTCACTTGTAAAACTCTTTCATTTTTATCATATTTTTTAATAGTTTTTTTTGCAACTGGTTGAAAAGGAATCCAATTATTTTCTTTCATCGTTATCAATTGTTTAAATTGCTTTTCTAACTTTTCAACCTAAAAAATAAGCAATATTCTTACAGAATACTGTTTGTTGAATTAACTTACAATAATAATTGTTCATTAAAACCTGTAGCAGTAACATATCCCAAAACCCATCTAAATCTGCAGTTTTTATGGGCATTGATCCAGATTTATTATCAAATTCTTCAATCAAAGATCGCATTTGCATGAATTTGTCTGTTGTTAGTAATTTTGTTTGACCACAAACAACATCAATCTCATCTTTAAATGACTGTTATTTTATATAAGAATTGAAATAGTAATAAATCATAATATATACATACATTGTTTATGCTGTTAATTATAACTATGATTTACTAAATTACTTTAGGGTATATGGCTATAAAAATAAATCTACTCCCAAATTAAGTATAATATTAAAAAAAAGTTCAATTTTTTTTTAGTTACAAATATTTTTTAGTATATCAGCTATTAATTAATTTTTAGAATCATCTCTCTTAACTTAAAGGGGTGTCAAATTTGTTTTTTTTTAATAGTAAGAGTCATATTTAACTAGCTTATAAATAGAAAATTAACTAATTAAAAAAATGACTGGTCAATAATAATTTTTGGACCAGTCATTTGGAAGTTATTAGCATTTTAAAATATACACTGGAAATAAAGTACAGTTTCTACTATTTTTATCATTAGACATTTCAGCTCCCATCTAGATATAAAAATGAGGAAACTTTTGAAGGACTACTATAAAAGTTGATATGGAATGAATATAAAAAATACTTTATGACTGATAAACTAAGAAATATATGTATCTAAAAAAAACCAAACAAAAAATTCTCAATATTTTATTTTTTGTTTAATCAAGTTATTCATAATATAACAATCATAAAGAATATCTTTAAGAGTATATATTTAAGTGTTACTAATTTTTTTATAAATTAAGCTATAAGGTCATTTGCTAACTCATATTGTTTTTATGAATAATAATTAAAGTAATCTCTAATATTACTTATTTATTATTATTTGAATTTATAATAAATTAATTAGTGCAGTTTTATAATTTCAAATTTTCAAAATTGAAACAGCATATTTTTTATTACTTCAACTTATGTATATGTAAAAATATATTTACGTTTTTATTTCATAAAGTCACTTTTTTATTTTTCCAGATTTTTTAGCATAAATTAAAGATATCAATATCTCAAGAGATTAACTTTAAAATTTAAATTATTTTTTTTTAATTTTAACTTCATTATAATCAAATAAAATAAATAAGACTTATTTTACTTACATCAGGTATGTTGTTATTTTCCGAAGAAAATTCTGTCCAATATTTTACTTTTTGCTGAAGTTCAACTGTTTTGTCATCAAGCTTTTTTCTTAAAAATTAAAAATTTTTAAAACCATAAATGAAATATTAATATATATATATATTTATATATATATACACTATTCATTAAGTAAGGGAACTAGTTTTTAATGTTCTTATTGTTTGTAACAATTAACCTGTTTCCTTACTTACTAAACACTCTATATATGATTTTAATGTAGTCTAAGAATGCATAAATTATATAAAAAAAAGGAAAAAATATTTAGTAAATCCAAATTTATTAAAGATATCAGAACTAGTGGGACAATCTATATATATATATAATTATTAGTATTAACCCTATCAGATCCGAGTGCTATGTAATTGAGATAGAACATACTTGTAACATTAGACTAGAAATGCTTTCAATGACTTAGAAAAAGTAAAAAAAATGTTCATTTTATTTTCATATGTGAATATTTAAAGAGCTTTTAATAAAAGTTCACCAAAAGTTAAAATAAAAATTTTTTTTTTTTTTTACTAGATCTCACTTTTTATGCACATTAATAATACTGCATTATGGATATTTATATCAAGGATAATTTTTAAATCAAATAAAACTGTTAATGAATTACTAAAAAAGATACCTGTATATATCTGCAACATTATTATCTTCATACTTTTCGAATAATTCAGACAGTTTTGGAGGTTTTCTTGGACTTGGTTTCCATTTTTGACCACGAGTAGTACAAACAAATGGGCTGAGTACAACCGGAGCTTCAGAAACAGTGGCTTTCATATTTTCTACTGTATTATTTAAATCATCAATAGGATCACTAATTAACTTAGTCTCTTGCTCAATAATTTTTTCATTTTTTACTGGCATAATTTTATTTGTATTTGAACTTTTTCCAGATCTTTTCTTTATTTTTACTTCATTTTTAGTTGATATTTTTTCTTCAAATTCAGTAATTGTGCTTAATTTTGGTTTTGGTAGTTCTATTTTTTTTGTTAATGATGTATTAATGAGTTCCAAATTGATATCTAATGATTGAAGAGGTTGTTCATTTTGTTTATTATTTTTTTTATAAGTTTTGGTTTGTCTTTTCTTTGATATAATTTGATTATCATAATCACCATCTAATAATACTACAAAATTAAATATATATGAAAAACGTACAAATATAAATTAAACTCTTAATTTTTAACATAGAATAACTCAAAGATACATTTGAAAAGCTGATTAACTAGATATTCAGTATTCCTCAGTAAGAATTGTATACATTTTTTAAAGAACTTGTAAGGAGGAATTTCATTACTTTTAAAATATAATTATAAAATTTAAATTTAAATATGTTCATTATTCAAAGTAATAATAAATATTTTAGTAACTAATGGTCATTGTAGCTGAAATTGGCAATTTAATAAAAATAAAATACATTTATGTATACTTTTAGTAAAACAAATTAAAATTAGTGATTAAAATAATAGCAAAATCAATTAAAAATATCAGTGTAAGGTCAAGGAGCTTAATTATTTAAACTTTTTAATAGAGCTTAAATAAGGATGTTATAATACAAATAAAACTGAATCAAAAATACTAATTAAAAATGTTTTCAATATAAATTATATAATTTATTTAATTTTTAATGTTTATTTCTCAATCTTTTTATTTAAAATAAGTCATATCATTTAAATATGTACTGATAATTACATTCTTCAACAATTATTAAATAAATAAAAAGAGTCATCTCTGTTTGGTGAACCAAATATGCCCTTAAAATAATTTTGAAATATAAGCTTTGATTAAAACGAAAAAGGAATTATTTAATGTTTTATTTTTTGACCAAACTAAATTAATATGATTCAAAATTAAATCATTCTAAAAATGTGACATAAAGGTATGCTTCTCAAGCGTATAGTATGAGTATATAGAAAAAATAACTAAAAAGATATTTTTACTTCAGTTATGGAAAAAAAATCTATTTATCAAGAATTTTAAATTGAATATTAATATAATTTTACTTTTGATTTTATCATTAGTAAGTTTATTCACGCTAGATTTCTTTTTCCCCATTGGAATTCTATTTTCTTTCATTTCGTGGTGTGTTCTGTAAAAACAATTAATTACTTTAACATATGTTTTTTATAAAAATTTAATTTAAACCAGATGTATTCCTGTGAGGAGAGGCACTGGGGATGATTGCACACCTCATACATTGTTTTTAAAAAATTATTATGTACATATAATAAGAAAAACCATATTTTTTTTCTATGCTATAAAAGTGATAATTACTCTCTCAACTTAGAAAAAAAAAGTTTAACATACTATATACATTTTATACATTATATTATCATATATATTTTTCCATATTTGTTCATGATTTTTTTTTTAATAAAAGTGTATTACACTTTGTTGTTTTACTTAGCCATATATTATTTTTGTTACATGTTCATCATTATGTTTTAAGGTTGTAAATAAAAAATCAAAACAAGTTAGAATTGTCTTAATAACAATTATTAAAGTGTTTTTTTATGGAATATTATTAAATTATTAGTCCTATTTTGACTATTAATATAATTTATTTTTAATTTCATATAGGTACATAACATCAATTAATAGATTAAAATAAGGTTGAGCATATTTTTTTGAGTGAAGCAAAACAATTTTTTTTTAATCATTATTATATTTTTAATTTAATGAAATAAAAAGTTCTTACACAATTGTTTACTGCCGCTTATTTATGGTGCAAAACAATTATTTTGTATGAAAAATAAATTAATACTCTATGATATAGTCAACTAAGAATATCTAAAGTACTAGCCATAAAATTAATTTTTAATTTTTCTATATATAAAAATAGTTGTAAAATATACATAAGACATTATATATGATAATATATATATCATTTTATTTCCAAAATAAGGTCTAGTATTCAATTTACTAAGATAAATGAAAAATGAAACAATTTTAGTTATTAAATTATACGTAATTGAAAAATTTTAAAAACAAAATTCAAATTAACAAATAACTACAATTAAGCTAATTATTTCGATTAACTCACTTTCTAGTAGCCATTCTGATGGTTTATTTTCAATTGGAAAAATTAAGTCTAAATTAAATATTTTAAACTTTATTAGTTTAGTAATAATGAATTATTTTCTTTAATTTAATAATAATCATTACTGAAATTTTGTAACTGTTTTTTTAGTAAATATAATATTATATTTACTATAATAATGTGATATATGCTAAGTGTACCAAATTAATAATTAATTTTAAAAATTTTCAATTAATATCAAAGCTTACTGAAAATAAATGTAAATAAAGTTAACAATTTCCAAAAACCAAACATTCGATTAAAAAAATCCAAAACATTCTAAATCAATTGTTTTGTTGAATATTTATCTGAAAACCGTTAAGAATTATTTCAATCAAAATTGAACCAATTAGAAAAAACTTCGAAAGTAAGTGTTACCAGTTTGTAGTATAAAATTTGATTTAATCAAAAATGAATAATGGTTATACTGCCGTTAATTTAAGGTTAAGGTTCATGTTTCTTCCACATCAACTTTGTTATCGCTTTGCAAAGATCCGTGGCTTACAAATATGCCAAGTCTATATTATTAATTAATTTAAAAATCTCCATTTTTGAGGAGTATATATTGAATTGTTTTGAAGTACGTCAATTGTACACGTGTATTTTATAATAAATATTCATTATTCTATTTAATGAGTGTGGAAGATAATATAATCATATAATTTGAATTTGAATTTGGAGATAAAATTTGACCTTTTTCTACCTCTATTCTATCGGTGTTGCATAATTTGTCATTTCTACGTCAGAAGTTAGTTCAGCGTCTACTGTCAAATTAGTATTCAGTTTTACGTGCGACTTAAAGAAAAATTATCTATAATTATTTTTAATGTATAAGATGGCGGTAAGTTTGCCAGAAACTTTAAATATGAATGAATTACCTGTCAAGAAACTCAAACTTAATGTACCATCTCTGAATGAAATAAATGAAGGTATCATGTTTAATAGTCATTAAAAATTAACAATAATTTTAGCACACCTAACTTTAACAAAGTAATAATGGCATTGGACAATTTAATAAATTCAGTGTCATTGTACGTTCCACGTCATATTGTATTTCATGGAGCAATATTACCATTTGTCATTTTATATGCTGCATGGTCATATATTTATATTTTTACATCAGATTTTATTGATCTTTATTTCTTTGGTATTTTAACCATTGCAATTGCTCAAATATTGTGCTCTCTCTGTTGTTATTGGTCTGTATCATTCAGGTGTTTAGTATCTTGTAGATATGTATCTAATCCACATGAAGCTACATTAGTTAAAGTCATTCCAACTCCTAATAATGGATTTACTGAATTAGTGCTTTTAAAATCTTATAAGGATGAGAATAAAGATAAAGTGATATGGTTTAAGTACCAAGAAATTAAATATATATGGTGTGATGATAAAAAATATTTTCGCTCTGTAGAATTTCCTATTTCAAAAACTATATCTGAATATACAAATAGTAAAGGTTATGATTCTGATGAGCAACTTAGTAATGCTATTCAGCTGTATGGGCGCAACCAATTAAATATTCAATTACCTAAGTTCAATGATTTGTTCATTGAAAGAGCAACTGCTCCATTCTTTGTATTCCAAGTGTTTTGTATCACATTATGGTGTTTTGATAAATATTGGTATTATTCATTATTTACTTTAGCAATGTTAGTATTATTTGAGTGTACTTTAGTGAAACAACAACTTCGTAATATGGAAGAAATCCGTAATATGGGAAATAAGCCATTTTCATTAAATGTTTATCGTAATAAAAAATGGCATTCAATTCTCAGTGATGAATTAACTCCAGGTGATTTAGTTTCAGTTACACGTGCTTATAATGACCGCACTGTTCCGTGTGATATGATATTACTAAGAGGTTCATGTATTGTAGATGAAAGTTTACTTACTGGTGAATCAATACCACAGATGAAAGAACCAATTGAAAATATTGCTGACCACAGTAGAAATTTTGATTTTGAATCAGATAAGAAATTACACATTTTATTTAGTGGTACAAAAGTGGTGCAACATACTCCTCCTGCAAAAGCCACATCCAATATTCGTGCCCCTGATAATGGATGTATTGCATATGTTCTTCGAACAGGTTTCAATACATCTCAAGGAAATTTATTACAAACTATATTATTTGGAGTTAAACATGTTACAGCAAACAATATGGAAACATTAGCATTTATTTTATTTTTACTTATTTTTGCAATTGCTGCAGCTTCTTATTTATGGATTAAAGGAACAGAAGACCCAAATCGTAGTCGATATAAATTGTTCCTTGAATGTACACTTATACTTACATCTGTTATACCACCTGAGTTACCTGTAGAATTATCTTTGGCTGTAAATTCTTCAATTTTATCATTATCTAAACTTGGTATCTATTGCACAGAACCTTTCCGTATTCCATTTGCTGGCAAAGTCGAAATATGTTGTTTTGATAAAACTGGCACTTTAACAAAAGATGATTTAATTGTTGAAGGTATTGCTGGTATCGAAAAAGATATGGTTCCAATGAATGAGGCTCCAGAACATACTATTCAAGTTCTTGCGTCCTGTCATTCACTAGCTCAATTAGAGGAAACATTAGTTGGAGATCCTATTGAAAAAGCTGCATTAAATGCAATAAATTGGTCATTGTCAAAAAGTGATTTTATTATACCAAAAAAAGCTAAAATGGCACCTTTAAAAATATTTAATAGATTTTATTTTTCTTCTTCTCTTAAAAGAATGTCTGTCTTGGCTGCTTATAAATGTCTTAAAACTGATAATAAAACAATATATATTGCTAGTGTTAAAGGAGCTCCTGAAGTATTGAAATCAATGTTACAAACAATTCCAGAAAATTATGATAGTACTTATTTAGAATTAGCTGGTCGTGGAGCTAGAGTTCTTGCACTTGCAAGAAAAGAAATGATGGTTGATCCAAATAATTTAAAATCTTTAACACGTGATGAATTAGAATGTGATTTAATTTTTGTTGGTTTTGTTGTTGTTTCATGTCCGTTGAAACGTGATTCTCACAGTGTAATCAAAGAACTTTTGAACTCTTCTCACATGGTAACTATGATTACTGGAGATAATGCATTAACAGCTTGTTATGTAGCAAATGAACTGAACTTTACTAGATCTCCTAGTCATATTATTCTAACGTTAGCTGATACTAATGGTAAATGGAGTTGGGTGAGTGATAGTTATAAGATAGATGTACCATTGAGTGAAAGTTTGAAAGACTTAGTTGAATCTTATGACTTATGTTTAACGGGTGATGGTTTATCATACCTTGATCAGAATCATAATGATCTATTGAAAAAAATATTACCACATGTTTGCGTATTTGCTAGGGTTGCACCTAAAGAGAAAGAATTTATTGTAGTAACATTAAAAGAACTAGGATTTTCTACTTTGATGTGTGGGGATGGAACAAATGATGTTGGTGCATTAAAGCATGCTCATGTTGGTATTGCTCTACTAGCAGGTACTAAAGAAAAACTTAAAGTGAAACGAAATCCACATACTATTAAATCTAGAAAACCAGGAGAACATGTTGCAGACCAAATGAAAAGATTAATGAAAGAAATGGATGAAGAATCAGTTACTGTTGTTAAATCTGGAGATGCTAGTATTGCAGCGCCATTTACTAGTAAATATTCATCTGTAACTAGTGTTTGTCATGTCATAAAGCAAGGTCGCTGTACATTAGTTACAACATTACAAATGTTTAAAATTCTTGCATTGAATGCTTTAATTGCTGCTTATAGTCAATCTGTACTTTATGTTAAAGGTGTAAAATTTAGTGATTCTCAAGCAACATTACAAGGTTTATTATTGGCAGCATCTTTTTTGTTTATTTCAAGATCTAAACCATTAAAGGTTTTATCAAAAAAAAGACCACTTCCTAATATATTTAATGTTTATACTATTTCAACAGTATTATTACAATTTGTTATACATTTTATGAGCTTAGTATTCCTGGTTCAAGAAGCTGGACTACACTCTGAAGAAAATTCCAGAAACCATTCTCAAAATATAGATGATCTAGATTTAGTTAATATTAATCTAACGGATACAAATTCTACAAGTTTTAATATTGAAAGTGAATTTAAACCAAATGTTGTTAATAGTGCAGTTTTTATAATATCTATGGCATTACAAATTTTCACTTTTTCTATTAATTATAGAGGACGTCCTTTCATGGAAAATTTTATTGAAAATAAACCATTATTTTACAGTACTTTAGGCACTATTGCAATAATATTGAGTTTAAGTACTGGTTTTATTGATGGATTAAATGAACAATTTGAAATAGTTCAATTTCCTTACAATTTTCGAGTAATTTTAATTGGTGTTCTTTCATTGGATTTTATTGGTTCTTACATAATAGATCGAATTTGTTTATGGCTTTTTGGAGAAGGGAAATTTAAAAAAGCGACTATATAAAAAAACTTTTAGTTACAATGATATTTTAATATATATAAAATACAAAATATTTTATACTTTTATTACTCAGTTATTTGAGTAATAACTAATAAAATATATTACTATGCTTGTTAATGATTATGTATAAACACCAATGTAAATTGATACATTATTAAATTTTTGGATTTATTAATTTTTTTTTCTTTACCTCAGTGATAATAAAATTATTTAATAACATTTCAATTAATTTAATCTTTACTTTATAATTCTTTGTTGAATTAATTATTTAATACTGTGTAAATTAATTTAAAGTTTGAGTGTAAAAAAGTTATCAGTGTAATATATGTTTCAAATTGTATAACCAATTATTATACTATATAAATATTGTATATCAAAATATTGTGTGTTAATTTGTTTTATTTGTAAAATAAATTATTATTTATGTACATTTCATTTAATATTAAAATTAAATAAGCTAATGGTCCATAAAAACATAATATTATATTATTTAAATAATAACCTTATTATTGTTTGAATGAAGGTTGTTTTTCATGTAAAAAATAAATTATCGTTTAGTAGTTAATTATCACAAGATTTTAGTTTTTTAAGGTTGTTTTTCTCACAAACGAAAACAGATTATTTAGATTATAGAAAAAAAAAAGAATTTAAAAGTAACACAATTGTTTTAAATTATTTTAATTTCTAATGAGACAAAATTAAATATATTTAGATTTATATGTTTAATGTTCTAAATAGTACATTTAAGACTTTTTAAAAACAAGGAAAATGGGCCATTTTTTTTAAATAACATTTTTTATTTTCTAAATACGTTATAATTAATATCAAGAATATTAGCTAATAAACAAATATAAAATTAATAACTAACTGTTACGTCAATAATGTATACCCTTAAAATGGAACATACCTAGCTATGTAGTGTAAATGTTTATCCATAATTTATTGATATACGATCAATAATAGATTTAATCTAATATTGAGAATATATTACAGTGTCAATTTCGACATTTTTAAAATCATCATTTATAAATAAATTAATATTAAAAATATTTTTTTGATAGTCAGCCACTTTATTTAAGTTGGCTAAGCGATTTCCCTAAATTATAGAGAACGTACTCGATTCAGGTCGTACATAATTTGTTTATATTAACTATGTATACCTATTTTAAAAAAGCGATGAGTAAAAAAAAAAACATAATCAGACGTATTTTTCTCCTTATCTCTAAAAATAAAAGGAGCACTTCCTATAATAAGTACTGAAATATCAATAAATATTGCTATCTGTCGTTACTTATAAAAAATGAATATTATTTTTAAGTTAAAAAAATCTTCGTTTTCCCCAAAATCATTGAATATTACAAAACTAAAAGAAAATGAACATTTCAAATTACCTATAAAACTATTTATTTATTGTGAGTAAAAATAGGAATAAATATATTTTTAATTTATTTAATTGATAATAAATATTAATTTACAATTTTATTTTAAAAGATTTATTATTTTTTTTTATAAATTAAAAAATAAAATTTAAGTAAATATTATACATGAATTTAAAAATTATAATTTTGGCGTTCTTTTATAAATTTCATTAATTCAATTGAACTTATGAAAATATTATGAACTCTGAGAGTCAATAAATATTAAAGATATTGGGTTCTTTATTTTCAGTTATTTTGCCGGAGTTATCAAAAAATTTTGAAACTGTGAGCATTGAAATAGTACAATGTCCTGATCTAACACAACCGCCATTCTACTTGGCTGCAGAAGGTAAGAAATCATCAGTGGTGTATTGAAGGGGATAAAGGAAACGATTATCCCTCTACCGTACATCTTAAAAGTTATATTTTAGAGCAAACGACCTTTTTTTGATAAAAAAAAAAAATTGATTGTATCCATAAAATTGTTTAATAAGATGTAAGAAATACTAAAATATTGTTTTTTGGATCACTTTTAATTCACATAATTGTTAAAAAAGACGAAAAAAAATTAAAAATTGCTCACTAGTGTTGTTTTCTGCATTCGTTAACATTTGTGATGTTCAAAAAAAAAAAAAATTATAAACTTTAGCATTAAAATAAAATTAATTTAATAAAATATAAATTAATAAAAAATAATTCATCTTTTATCATCATATTTTTAGAAAAAGATGAAATTTAATTTTTCTACAAATTTTTTTTTTTTACTTCACCTATGAATTTGAGATAATTTAAGTTAATTATATATAGTTTTAAAAAATAAATAAACACTTGATATTCTTCTTCTTCTTTTTCCTCGCCTTAATCCCAACTACTTGGGGTCGGCCACCCTTATCTTAAACTTCTAATTGATATAATCTCCCACATCATTTACGCTCATATTAGCCGTTCTCATATCGAATTCAATTACAATCTTCCTTCTCTTTTTTGGTCTTCCTCTACCTCTTCTTCCTTCAACATTCATTTCTATAACTGTTCTTACAGCTTTCGTTTCCTCTCTCCTCATAACATGACTATACCATTTAAGTCTATTTTCTATCATCTTATCTAAAATTGACGTTACACCTACGTTTCCCTCTTATATGTTCGTTCCTTATCTTATCTTCTCTAGTAACTCCACTCATCCATATAAGCTACACTTATTCTCTGCTCTACTTTCTTTNCGTTACACCTACGTTTCCCTCTTATATGTTCGTTCCTTATCTTATCTTCTCTAGTAACTCCACTCATCCATCTAAGCTACACTTATTCTCTGCTCTACTTTCTTTTCAACCACCCAATACTCTGAACTATATATCATAGCTGGTCTTACTACAGTCATATAGAATTTACCTTTCAGCCTCATTGGAATTCTTTTATCAAACAGACACTTCTCTTCACTTTAACTATCCGCACTTAATCCCGTGTCTTACATCCTCATCAATACCACCGGTCTTTTGCACAACTGAAATAATTAAATAAAATCTAATTAATTTCTTAATAATATACTTATTAGTACTTCAAACAAACATTTTATTAATTTACATAATAATATTGAGTATTTTTAACAGATGATTTACAGAAGCGTATCTATTTAAGTAAATTACAAGCTCAACAAAACTTTGGTCGTCAAATGTTTATGAAATTTTACTTGTTATCAATATATTTTTTGCCCTAATTCTGAATATGTCCTAAATTGCCCTTAATTCATTAAAAACCTTTTTCGGAATAACTGTTTTTTTATTAATAAATTAAATTTATTGTTTTTGGTTGATATTTTTCATAACGGATCGAATAATGAAAATCAAACGCATATTAATTGGTGGTTAGAATTGAGTTATGAAAAAACTCATATCACCAAATATCCTCGCATTTGTTGATTTTAATAAAAAAAATTGAAAAGAACCAATATGAACTCCGTTAAGCTTTTATGCCTATTTCCTCCCCAATTATAGGTCATACATTATATAAAGATATAAATATTATATTATTATTATTATTTATTTACTATTTATTTTAATTTTTTAGGATTAAGCGGAAACGAAAACATAATTGATGTTGGAAGTCCTTCTTATTTGCTTCCATTAGTCAATAGAAATAAAGTTTATAATTTTAAAGATCTTAAACAAGTAACAGGATCTGATCCAATATTTATTATTGGGGCTGGTGCTGGTCCGTGGCCATATAGTGGTGTCAATTGTGAGGTGATTCTAGACTTCTATAATGACATAATATCATAAATGCAATTATAATGAAATTTTTGATGGTGCTAAATTAATTTTTTTCTTACCTAAAAATATTCGTATATAACAGTAAATGTAATTTTCTGAAATTTTGTCTCTTCCTAATTGCACTTATTTATAATAAAAAAAACATGTATGTATATTAATTTAAATATTCAATAGTTGGCCGGAAATGTTTATTCATCTTGTAACAATGTTATAAATGGTACGAGACTTGTTAAAGTAAATCCAAAAAATAAAAGTTATATTCTTGAAAAGTTACCTACCAATGAAACTAGATTTGCGTTGTTAGCTAATTACTACTCTAGCAACGGACTTAAAGGAGATGTTAGTATTATTGATATAATTATAAAATAATTATTATAAAAGAATATTTTATTCTGTTTTAAAATTTTTTTATTAAGGTTTTACGCATAGTATGTGAAAAACGTATAGGTTCATTGGATTTTGTTACTTCGATTAGACAAGCTTTATCAAAGTTTTATGGAAATCAAGCAGTTGGCACGTATACTTAAGTTATATATAAATATTAGGTTCAAGCTATAATTAGATAGTTTTATTAGGTTTAGGAGGAGTTATTTTAATGGAAAATGGTAAAGTAAATGTTCATGTTATGCCTGATTTTTCAAAAACGCCTATCAATTCAGACGATGATCTAAACAAATGGTTAAACTTTTTTGAAATTCCCACGCCATTAGTCGGCTTAGGATATCTTGTGTCACACGATCCAGTAATTCTTTTTATGGTCTTATGAATTATAGATAAATATAACCGATATATTTAATTTTTTTAGGGTTTAGATTTGAGACCACAGCATTTTCATTTGTTCAGTGAACACGGTGCAGGTGGTCATTATCATTACGACACACAACCAGCTACCATTAAGTACACTGCGTATTTGAATTTAGCAAAAAATCTGTACAGAGTTGATCAACCAATTGATGGTGTTTCATTTGGTAAAGATTAAACACTACTAAATAAAAGGATTACACATTCACAAATTATTTTATTTTGTTCAATATTAAATTTTGTATTAATACTAGATTTATTTTTATACCAAGTTAGATACAAGTATACCATTAGTTACTCGACATAAAAATATTTCCATGTGTGATATTATTACTATTTTTGTATTTTAATAATAATGTTTTATTTGATAAATATGAAACATAACAAGATCAATTAATCGTACAGTTTCAAATAATTTTATTAAAATTAAATTATAGTATTTTTCAATAGAATATAATTTTATTACATTATTATAGGGTTAACTTTATATTAGACTCCGCTCCAAATCCTAGGACTTAAATTCCTACTGGGAACATGTCCCAGAAGCATTGAATCCTATTGTCCGATTAATAGTGATTTTGAGTGAAGTATCTGGCTATGCCGGGCACGGTATGACTTTTGGAGGCAAGGTGACTAAGTAAAAATTTTATTATTAAACTAAAAATAGATAATGTACTTTTTATTTTATGTAAAAATAATTCAAGGTTGAAAAAACTCTTAAAATAACTAAATTTTTTCAATTTATGTGTGATTTCTCCTATATGAAATAACTTTTTATTTTCATTTATTTAAGTTTTTCAAATTTTTGGAGCGTTAAAAACAATATACGAATTTAAATTAATGTGATACTTGCCCAACGGCGACGATATAAAGTAAAATGTGACACTCGTATCAATAAAATTCAAATAACCGACATTAATTTGCAATTGATGATTTACATGACGATCATAAAACGCTTCGATATGTTTAGGTATTGATACTAAAACGATTTGTATGAGATGATAAAATTGTTTTTTTTTTTATGTGTTAATTTTCTATAATCATAGCGCGTAGAATTTATGTCTGATTTCAAATTTTTGAATTTCTTCACTTTCTTTATAACCTATATAGTATTTTTTTTATGGCGACTCACAATTACACATAATAAAAATAATTTATTCATTTTTTTTTTTTTTGGTAGTTATAGTTATATAATTTTTTTGCATTATTAGCTATGTAATATTTTTTAAGTATATCCCTTATGCCTTGTAAGGGTGTTTAACTTAATTTTTTTCATATAGGAACGCATATTTTGACTTCAATAATAAGTGTTGAGGTTTTATTTTAATAGTAAATGGTATTTGATTTTTTTTTAACATAACTATGTTCGTTATAAGTATAAAACTTTAAAGTTTCAAATTTTTTAATTAATATACATGTAAAATATACGAGGTATTACAAATACAGGTGGTTAATTAATTACAGGTTTAAACACATTCATAACAAGGTGGTTAATTGTTTTATTTTTATGAAGTCGCTATCATAGATACGGACCGTTTATTATCAATTAAAACTTTATCAATAGAAATGCTTTCTGTATCGCCAGGTGGTGTATTTATAAACTCACAAAAATGTGCCTTACTACCTTAATAATAATAAGTATTTCAAATGGATTAATTCTATTTGTATAAAAAATCAAAAATGATTATTCAACAAATTATAACAGCGTTATTGTAATATACAGTGTTCGCGTATTATAAACTATACTAATGGATTTTATGAGAAGAGGTACAATAAATATAGTTTAAAAAAACTAAAAAACACGCTTTTAAAGCACATTGAACTAAAAAGTTAAAAATAATTTTTAAAATAAGCGTAAAACAATAATGAACGAATAGTACTAGTATTATTGTGATAAAAGCGTCGGGCGCTCAATATACGAAAAATATAGCACAAAGCACCCACGCTTTTATCACAATAATACTAGTACTTTTCGTTCATTATTGTTTTACGCTTATTTTAAAAATTATTTTTAACTTTTTAGTTCGATGTTCTTTAAAAGCGTGTTTTTTAGTTTTTTTAAACTATATTTATGATTTTTTTAACACGCTTATATTAGTTTCACTTGTATGTTTGTTTGTTGTTTGTTGTTTGTTGTTTGTTGTTTGTCGTTTGTAAGTTTGTAACTCCACGCGGCACGTGTTATTATGTCGCGTATCCCGTCGTGTATGACCTTGAGACTATACTGTTGTAACGCATTCGCCCCACCCCGCTCACCTCTCGTAGAGAACAATATTTTCCAACCCGTAGACGCGCGCTTATCATCAATTATATATATATATATATAACAAATTTTTATTGTAATTGACACAGCCCCGCGTCGTTTTACGCCGCGGTGCAAAGTCCAGCAAGTGCCGCACGGCCGACGACGTCCCGCCGCTATACCGTAGTCTTCTTCCCATTGTCAAAATAACATCGTCAACAAACTGATCCGCACTCGCGCACCGTCGTCATCTACGCTGCTAACCTATTGACGCCCGAGGATCACGCCGGACATCGCGTCTTCGACGCCAGCAAAAGTGCCGCGATATTATGCGAAGATTATATATTCCTACCGCCACCGCTAATATATATATATATATATATATATATTAATATTTGTACGTATATACGTATATGTTAATATTCATTTATATATTCCTACAGCCGACGCCTCTGCTGCCGTATATGCCTCGTGTATAATGTTCCCTCCGCCATGCCCGCCCACATAAACACGGCTATACCTCATGCATGATACGTTTACGTACTTAAGTCCCTTTAAATATATATATATTCTAATTACTATTAAAACTTATATATTAATACACTTTATTCTCATTAAGAGATATGTAGTGTATTCATTCCGATTACGGAGGATGATTCTCGTATCGTTATTTTTCGTCACTACCTCCACGTTACGCGCCTGCTGCTTTCCTTGGATGTGGTAGCCGTTTCTTAGACTCCCTCTCCGGAATCGAACCCTTATTTCCCGTTACCCGTTACAACCATGATATTGATATTAACTACTATCATAACATGAAACTAAAAAGTGAAAAATAAATATAGTTTAAAAAAACTAAAAAACACGCTTTTAAAGCACATCGAACTAAAAAGTTAAAAATAATTTTTAAAATTAACTTAAAACAATAATGAACGAAAAATACTAGTATTATTGTGAAAAAAAGCGTGGGTGCTTTATGCCATATTTTTTGTATATTGAGCGCCCGACGCTTTTTTTCACAATAATACTAGTATTTTTCGTTCATTATTGTTTTAAGTTAATTTTAAAAATTATTTTTAACTTTTTAGTTCGATGTGCTTTAAAAGCGTGTTTTTTAGTTTTTTTAAACTATATTTATTTTTCACTTTTTAGTTTCATGTTATGATAGTAGTTAATATCAATATCATGGTTGTAACGGGTAACGGGAAATAAGGGTTCGATTCCGGAGAGGGAGTCTAAGAAACGGCTACCACATCCAAGGAAAGCAGCAGGCGCGTAACGTGGAGGTAGTGACGAAAAATAACGATACGAGAATCATCCTCCGTAATCGGAATGAATACACTACATATCTCTTAATGAGAATAAAGTGTATTAATATATAAGTTTTAATAGTAATTAGAATATATATATATTTAAAGGGACTTAAGTACGTAAACGTATCATGCATGAGGTATAGCCGTGTTTATGTGGGCGGGCATGGCGGAGGGAACATTATACACGAGGCATATACGGCAGCAGAGGCGTCGGCTGTAGGAATATATAAATGAATATTAATATATATATATATATAAATATTAATATTAGCGGTGGCGGTAGGAATATATAATCTTCGCATAATATCGCGGCACTTTTGCTGGCGTCGAAGACGCGATGTCCGGCGTGATCCTCGGGCGTCAATAGGTTAGCAGCGTAGATGACGACGGTGCGCGAGTGCGGATCAGTTTGTTGACGATGTTATTTTGACAATGGGAAGAAGACTACGGTATAGCGGCGGGACGTCGTCGGCCGTGCGGCACTTGCTGGACTTTGCACCGCGGCGTAAAACGACGCGGGGCTGTGTCAATTACAATAAAAATTTGTTATATATATATATATAATTGATGATAAGCGCGCGTCTACGGGTTGGAAAATATTGTTCTCTACGAGTGGTGAGCGGGGTGGGGCGAATGCGTTACAACAGTATAGTCTCAAGGTCATACACGACGGGATACGCGACATAATAACACGTGCCGCGTGGAGTTACAAACTTACAACATACAAACAACAAACAACATACAAGTGAAACTAATATAAGCGTCTTAATAAGCGTGTTAAAAAAGGTTATGTTTTCCATTTTCTATACATTAAAAATTATAGTTTCCCATAATAGCTTGTTTAATAATTACTAAAATAACCTAACATAATTTAGTTTACAATTAATTCTAGCTTCGATGCGAAGCTGAAAAGGTATTGGTTTTACTATGTGTTTTTTTTTTTGTGTCTGTTACCACTATTTTTCAGCTTTCACCTAACGGATTTCTTTCAACGATACGTCAAAAGATCACAAATCGTATATAGTCGAAGACATTACCCTCAAAAATTGAAAAAATTTCGCTCGTTCTACGTAAATGAGGGAAACCTCCAAAAAAATTACAAATTTAAAAATCGCTAATTTTTGAAATTTTTTTTCTTAAAACTGCCGTAACTTTTTCAAAAATGAACAATTTAATATAATTTTTTTTTACAGATGCTTGATGTTTTTACCTATCATTTAGTGTATTTTTTTTATAAATTTAACCCTTTACCTGCCCAAAAGGGGGGTTTAAAATGACAACTTTTTCACAAAAAATTAACTTTTGAAAGTGTTCCGAAAAGTGTGACACTTTTATGTATATCTTAAATTAAAGCTAATGTAATGTACTTTATTATGAAAAAAAAAAATGTCGGACTTTATTTTGTCTTCACGGTGAAATAGGCTACCAAATGCTATTTTTATGTGAAAATTCTCGATTTTATATTTTTACTTTAAAATGCTATAACTTAACTTATTGAAAAGTGTATGGATCAACACAATTTTTTTTATGAGAAATAATATTTTTTAACAATCCATTTTTTATTCGACATACTTTATCTTAATCAGGATATTAATAAGGAAATAGCAGATCATGTAGCTTTTGGAATAATCCACCAATTTTTTAAAATTTAACACTATCTAAAGATTTGCATGGATGCGTTTTTTTTTAGAGTGATTTTAATCACTGTCAGATATCATTATACTTGATCCAACTATGCCACGTTACCACTGTGCCGCGACCCCTCTGTGCTGGGTTTTTTATAGATTATTTTAGTTGATAGTAACTGATTAAAAAAGGCTGCATTTACCACTGCTAGGTATTTTTTATAAAAGTAAATTTAATAAAGATTAAATAATCAGTTTATTATAAATTATATAAAATGTAATATTTACATTAATTTATTTATAATTTATACTTAATTGGAGTATAATACCAAATATAACAGAATTGAGATAATAATAAATTAAAAATAAATGCAAATAATAATAATTAATGAAACAATTATAAATAGTATAATTAAAACAAGTTAACAAGTATTAGTCCTTAAAATTGAACTGAATAACTTGCTCAATAATTTGATTATATTACGAGTGAAATCTTCAGTGTTCAACATGTTTAGGCTGAAAGTATTTTTCAATTTTTTTATTATAAAAATTAACAATGATGTATAAGAAGTTATATCACTTTAAATAAATTTTCAGATCATTCAAAATTATTTAATATAAATATAATTTTTAACATAAATAATACAAGTATACAAACCATAACATTAATATGAGTCTTCAACGATCGTAATGTGATATCATTTAAAATATTTTTTAAGTCGCTTAAATCTGATGTACAACTTATACGCATTTTAGGTAGCGTTGAAACACCAACAACAAGTGGATAAAGGTTATAATGCAATTTAAAAGTACTTTCTGGCAATACTGTGATATTAAGCTAAAATAAATTAAAATTATTTGGAACCATGGTTTATTAAATTTTTAAATTTAATTATATAACCTACATCTTTATTACCAGACATCATAAAAGCTTCATTTGCTTCCATTGATATTTCTAATGTAAGTAAAGTTTCTGAATGGTTGTGTAATAAGTAAACAATATTCATTGGTGTATGTAACCATCCATGAGCAGGTGTTTCCATATCAACCTTAAAAATATATTAATATGAACATAAATTATCGATAGTATTATCAACAATTAAATTAATAAAGCACAAACCAGTAATAGTGATTTTTCCATATTCACTTTAGGTAAATGTAATTTTGAAGTTCCACCTAGACATCCACTTTCTTGGTTTAGTCTGAAACATAAGAATTAATAAGATTTTTGTTAATATAAAAATATTAATATTTGACTATAATAATAACAATTATATGAAGCAATCAAAATTTAACACTATTCAATAATATAATTTCTAGATTTAAATATATAAAAATATAAAGCTATAATTTTAACAGAAAAAACAATAGAAGATATAAATTTTATAATCAATTACCTTCTCCAATGGATTATGAAACTTCCTAAAGAATTTTCGTTGCATTGTTTCACACATAAAGACACAATATCTGAAGCACTTTCATTTGTTTCTAAAATGACTCCATTAACCAAAGGTATATATCCACCAGAAGAAATAGTGACAAAATCAGTCTATAATTTTTTTTAAAAATTGTAATTATAAATTTAATTTTAAATTTTCTTAGATAACAGACATAAAATCTTCCCTAACAAGACTTGCACATAAGTTTTACAATTATTGGGCTATACAAAATTTAATTAATAGAATATCATTAAAACTTAAGGTTTTCAAAATTTAAAATATGTAAATACATCATATTAAAAAAAGTTACAAAGTTAATGCTTTTTGGTTAACTATACATAAATCAGATAATTTTAATCAGAATATTAAAAATTTTCATAATTTTAAGTAATCAAAACTCTATTAAAGAATTTATACCCTATATTATTTAACTTTATCAATAAATTTTATAATTTATAGAACATATTTTAAGATCATCATCATTAACTTCAAATAAATAAAGAGGCATTTTTAAGATTTAGTGTAAATGCATACTGATTCAAAAAATGAATTTTCAATCAATATTGGCCAAGGGGAAACACATTTCATAATTGTTTGAACTATAATTGATTCGCCAACATAAATTTTTGACAATTGTTCAAAATTGGAAGACATATATGTTGCTGTCATATCAAATACATTGACTACATCAATTTTTATTTCAGCTTCTTTTATGCATGAAATTATTGTTCCAGAATCATTGATAGTATAGTTTATCTATATTAAATAAATACATTATATTTTCATTAAATAAATAGTATATTGTGTTAAAAATTTAGCAATTTAATTTAAATAATTACCATTATTTGAAAAAATCTAGTATCTAAACTTGAAGATCGTACATAAAATATTTGTGTACTTTGGTTTTTAATTAATATTGTATCAAGTTTAAAATCAGCTGGTAAGGATAATGAATTCTTACTTAAGTTTTCACAAATTTCAGCTGTAAAATAACAAATATTTACATTTAATTTAAAGAAATATCTCAAAATATTTTATGAAATATTTCATAATTTAGATTTACTTGAATTTTCAACTTTATCAACATTATTTTGATTAAGTGATAAGTTTAAAGATACATTATGGACATCAAAATTTTCTAAATTATGCATAGATACTGATACTTTATACCATTCATATAATAGAGCTGGATTTTCATGCTTGATTTCCATACCAATTCGTGAACGTCTAGGTTTTAAAATGGATGATGAAACTGGTTTTATTTGTTCAAATATATCATTATGAGCCTTAGATAAACTAAAACATATTTTCATTATTTAATTGAATTTTTAAGATGAAATTATATACTATATTCTTAATTATTGATAAATAGTGTTACCTAAAATTATTGATTTCCTTTTCAAAACATTTCAGTTTTCTTGAAGTATTAAATTTTAGTATAATTGGAAGTTCAGATTCATAACCTAGCTGAAGACTAATAAAATTCACCTGGAATGAACACACAAATATTTAAAAAAGTTATATTAATTTTTCTTCAACACAAAATTTAAAGAATAATATTTACAGTTATTTCTTTCCCAACATCATTTGGAGATGGCATAAATTTACAAGTATATTCATAAGTTTTACAAATACCATACACAAGTTTACTACTATCATTACAAACATCTATGTTATAAGTTTTACTATAGGAAGAAATACAAGCTATCATTTTAGAAAATTGTATCAAAACAGGAAACTTGGCCCTAAAATAATAAAATTTTTATTTTGTAAAATGTTATGAAGAAATATTTAATGTATGTTGTAATATTTAACCCAACCTAACAAATATATCAATTTCTACACCATCACAAGACACTTCTTTTAGGACAACTTTCGTATCAATAGATGAATTAATGATAGACATGTCTACTTCTATAAAACTTTTGGACATTTTAATATCATATGTTTTCCATAAATTTAGAGCAGTATTTATTTCTTCTTCATTTAGCCCATTTTCAGGTTCTGGTATACGCTTCTAAAGTCAATAAATATAGTTTGTTACATTTAATAATAAATATAATTGCCTAAAAAATTTTTATTTCAAAAGCTATATTAACCTGTATTATTGTTGTAATATTGTACAGAGCTTTCTGTAAATAGTTATCATTAATAAACAGTAATGCTTCCAAATTTAGTTCAATATAGTCTTGGACACTTGCTATAATATAAGCACATTTGAGACATTTTTTCACAAGTTCATGAGCAATTGCTTCCCAACCTTCATCGCGATAATCTCTTAACATATGACTCCACAATCTGTAAAAAGGATAATTTTTATGTTGAAAATACTAAATAACATTTCACAGGTATTTTCAATTAAAACTCATGCATTAAACTTGAAAAATTAATAAATAAACTAAAATGTAAGGAAATCATAAAAAAAATATGAACAGTAAAATTTTTTGTCTCAATATTATTCAAAGACCCTTAATTTTTTTAATTATTTTTAATACATAAAAGTCATGGATAAACATGTACTTATCTCAATTTTTGAATTAATTTACAAAATAAAACAATAAACAAACATTTTCAATATTAATTCAAGATTACTGAACTTGATTAATAACTATTTACTTATATATCAAAATGTTTAAATACCAAACATGGAAAAATATTATTTTAGTCAAAAAAGTAAAATACAATTTATTTTATTGAATTATAAATTATTTAAATTTAAATTAAAAATATTGAAAAAAAATTAATTATATGAACAAATTTAAAAGTTACACTTACGTTAAAGCTTTACTATATTCTTTTGCATTATAATACTCATTGGCCATTTGTACAGCTAAAATTTGAAATGATAATTTGTTATATATAAAATTATAATGTTTGAATTGTACAATTACCCAAAAAGTTTCGCATTCTTGGACATTTGTAGCTTTTGAACTGTTTCATTGCATTTCCCAAAAAACTTATGATGGATTTCTACATATTTTTAAGTAATAATAATAATAAAAATATAAGAAAGTAGTAATAATAAAAAAAACTCACTGAGTGATCTACTTTAGTATTTTCATAATATTGCAAAGCTTGAATACCATCTCTTTCAAGGGCATCAAAGTCTGTGTTACTAATTGTTTTGATTAGGCGCCATGGTCTTTGACCATAAAAGTCTATGTTATTCCAACCAATTAATGGATTACTTGAAGGATATTCCATTATTTCCTATAAATATTATAAAAAAGTTATCATTTTACATTACTATTATAATAATATAAAAGGTTGTCGAGTGGTAAATAAATTTGCAGAGATTTATTTAGATTCCTCTATGTCTAAAATCATAAAGGCCAACAGTTATTTTTCTGTAAACAATGTTTAGAAGAATTCTATATGGAAATTCATACTGATTTTGTATCTGGCAACAGAATTTTTTTCAATCCCTTTTAGTTTTTTAGATAATTACTAATTAAATCATTGAATTATTCAAAAAAGTTTTTTTTTTAAATTCTTTTATATAATATGGTTTTGTAATAAAATTTATAAATTTTGAAACTCATCTTTTAAGTTTATCCATTTCTATAGACCTTTAAATTTGAGTTTTATGAGTATTTTTCAAAAAAGCTGAACTTACCAGTATAATTATTTTTTGGTTAATATTATAATCATGAAATTTCTAGTAATAGATAGATAATTTTACGAGGAATTCAAAAGTATGTTTTTATTTTTAATATGAAAAATAATATGCAAATGTGCAATTATAAAAAAAGAAAGATAATGCTCAAAAATTAAAAAAATTAAAATGTTATTTTTATAAATTGTTTTTGAGTAGTTTTTTGTGACTTGAAAAAAAATGTAGTAGCCTAATGTGTTTCTTGACTCTTGCGATTATGATGTAATAAACCACCAATTTATTAAAATCTATCTACAGATTTGCATCTAAACATTCCTTATGATAGTGATTTAAATTACCATCAGATATTATCTATACTTATTCCAACTATGCCAAGTGTACACTGTGGCATGACCCCTCTGTGCTACCGTTGGTTTTATTTTTTATTTTCCTAAATTTTTTTTAATTTAAAATTTTATAATAAGTACATTTGAAGAGAATTAAGTTACCTTACATATTTCAATGGCACTAAATTTTCTTTTTTTTGCATATTCAGCAGCTTCTTTAAAAAAAAATCCTGGGTTTAAGGTAAGTGTAGCACTAAAATTTTCAGCAGTAGTTTCATCAAATAATGAAGCAAACATAAAATACCTAGGATAAACAATTTTAATAACAAATATTATATTTTTCTATAATAATTTATAGAGATGTATCACTATGTAAGAAAGTCTTACTGTTTTGACAACCATGAATAATGTTCAAACATCAGTTCTGGCGGTCCTATCATGGATTTAAAAACATTTATATGAGAGTTAAATTGGGTTAAAGCATCTCGAGATCTCTTCATTAAAAATAGTAATCTAGTTATTTTGTAAATAATGTAAGCTGCTACAACTTTTATTTCATACATATTTGAGTCAAATGTTCTAATTTCTAATAATGACATATAGCATTGATGGTAATGTCTAAAGAAAAAAAAAAATAATAATTTTACTAAATGTAAGTATTACTTAATATGATAAATTTCCTTTTTAGCTACGATGCAAAGCTGAGAAAGTACTTAAAAATAAATTATTAATGAATATTTATCAAATAAATTAATTTGAATTTAAAAAATTTGAATATAGAACATCAAAGGTTTATTACCATTTAATATAGCATTAAGTGTTGAAAATTATGATTTATGTTACACTAACAAATTATTATTTTTTACTTGTGTGCATTATGATGGTCTTGACGCAGTTCATTGTAAAAACCAATTTTAAATGAATAACGAACAAGCAAATATTGGTGGCTAGTTTTACTTAAACTTTCCAATTTTGATTTAACTGCTCTAATTTGTTGTTGATAATAATTTTGAGCTAAATCGTAAAAGGCATTTTCTAGTCTATAAAATATAGTGAAGCATCAAATATGTTTTAATAACATATAGGTATTATTTTTAATCAAAACTCTCTCAATTATTCAGAGAATAAAAACAGTTTTTTCAAAAATATTATGTTATAAATATAAAATATACTATAAATATTATATTTAAAATTTTATTTTTGAGTTAATATCCATCTGTAGTATACAGGAAAAACAAATACAGGTAGCTAATTGCTTTTTTACAATGTCAATATTCATAGATAAGCAGTGTTTATTTTCAATTATGACTTTATAAGTAGTTATGCTTTCTGTATTGCCAGCTAGTGTATTTATAAATATTAACTCATAACATTATGCCTTAAATACTTTATATTTATGTCTACCATACTTTAAGTATATCTATTTATAAAGTCATAATTGATAATAAACGCTGTTTATCTGTGAAAAGTGATGTAATAAAAACAAGCTACCTTAACTACCTGTACTTGTAATCCCACACATATATATATATATACATGTATAGTAACTCAAAAATTTGAAATTTTTAAGTTTTATAATTCATAAACAGATGAAATTATGTTAAAAATTCAAATATCATTTACTACTAATAAGAACATCAAACAATTTATTAAATTAATAATGTGTGTTACCATTTGAAAAAACAAAGTTAACACCCTTACAGGCATAAGGGATGATCTTAAAAAGTATTATAAAGCTAATAATTCAAGAATAATAGAAAAGATAACCAAAAAAAATGTCATAATTATTTTTATTCTGCGCAAGTAATTGAGTAGATTATGATAAAAAATATCACCCTCTATAAACAAGACTTTCATACAAAATAATAGTATTTAATACATTTTTTGTGATCTTTAAATAAGTAAATAATTATTTTATTGTATTAATAAATAAATAATTTATAAATAATAATAACCTTATAGCATATCCATGAATATTATCAGCAACAGGAAGTATAAATAAGGCTTTTGGATTAAGATTACATGTTTCGCACAATGATGCAGCTCTTTCAGTAGTAATTGTATCATCTACAGATGTTACTGTTACTGGTACACGTTTTTGAATTAAAACAACAACAATTCTAGATTTTCGGCCTTCTAATGATACTCTTAAAAATTAAAAGTAATTTATTGTAAATTTAGTGAATGTAATGTGACACAGTAGATTATTCAGTCACTGTTTTTTGACAGTTCTTAGTTAGGTGACCATATGGGAACTTTTAAAGTGACACATTGCCCCTAATAAGTTCCCACAGCCATTATGAGGTTGCATCAAGTCAACACCAGGTGTAATAATCCTATCAAATTAATATGTTAGAGCTGATTACAAATAGTTGGAATAGAATTTAAGGGGATGATAATATGTATTTTAAATTAAATAATTTATTTTAGTTGACTGTAGCCAGTGGCACAGATTACCTATTTTAATTGTTTGACAATATAAAATAAAGATATTGTTAAACAATAAATTTAATAATATATATGATATTCTTACCAAAACCATAAAATTTTGAACTAAATGAAGATAAAATATAAATGTTTTAATAAAAGTTGTTATATGATTACAATAAATAATAAGAAAACCATAAACATTTGCCACAGATTTAACTATATCTAATATAGTGCTTCAATAACTTTTTCAATTCTTAGACATAAAGTTAGGAAAATAGAATGGTTTAAAAATGGACTGTTAGGAGGATAGAAGTTCAGATACATGAAGATATACTGTATTTCTTCCATCAAATAATTCATTTTTTATCATCATATTTTTAGAAAAAGATGAAATTTAATTTTTCTACAATTTTTTTTTTTTTTACTTCACCTATGAATTTGAGATCATTTAAGTTAATTATATATAGTTTTAAAAAATAAATAAACACTTGATATTCTTCTTCTTCTTTTACCTCGCCTTAATCCCAACTACTTGGGGTCGGCCACCCTTATCTTAAACTTCCAATTGATATAATCTCCCACATCATTTACGCTCATATTAGCCGTTCTCATATCGAATTCAATTACAATCTTCCTTCTCTTTTTTGGTCTTCCTCTACCTCTTCTTCCTTCAACATTCATTTCTATAACTGTTCTTACAGCTTTCGTTTCCTCTCTCCTCATAACATGACTATACCATTTAAGTCTATTTTCTCTCATCTTATCTAAAATTGACGTTACACCTACGTTTCCCTCTTATATGTTCGTTCCTTATCTTATCTTCTCTAGTAACTCCACTCATCCATCTAAGCTACACTCATCCTCTGCTCTATTTTCTTGTCAAGCGCTCAATACTCTGAACTATATATCATAGCTGGTCTAACTACAGTCATGTATAATTTACCTTTCAGCCTCATTCCCTTGATATTATTTTTAATTTATATTATTAAACTTGTTAGTTACTGCTATAGCTCTAGAATATATTTTTTTTTTTTACCAAAAGAATAAAACAAAATATTAACTTATCTTCAAAGTAATGTATCTAAAAATACTATATGTACTGTCTAGAAGAAAAAATATATATAAATAATTTCTTTTTTTTAATAATGATAAAGCCATTTAAGCTTATTAGTAAAAAAAAAAACAAAATAAGGAAATAATATTATTTGAGGATATAATCTTAAACACATGTATAATTTTAATGTAGATTATTGAGATATCTAACTTAAACTAATTTAATTTACTTATTATATTAATTAATAATAAAGAAAAAGAAAATTTAATTTCTGATTTCATTTCAATTAAGGATATTTTGTACTATAAAATATTTAATATATAATTAGTTTTAAACATCTAAACAATTTTAAGGACAAATAAAATCTAATTGAACCTTATTGACTGAACTCTAGCAGAACATTCACTGATTTTTTCATTCCAAGATTCATCATCCCAATCACAATCATAAAATATTACAACAACAGCTGGATCAAACCGGATATGTTTTTCTAGCCAATTTTTTCTAAGTATACCTTTTGGGATGTAAGGCATAACACGCTGAAAAATTTTATTAAAATTATTATTGTTTAGTCAAAAAATTAATAAAATAACTAAAAAAAAAATTACCTTTTCACTCAAGGGTGGGAATTTGAATTCTGATGTTAAATGGAAAAAGTTTAGAATTGCACGACTTTCACGGCCTACTGAACTATGGAATGCATCCCAAATAGATCTATGTGTAGCATTGTTGGCTGTGTCTAATCCAGCAATAGCAATTAATGGACTAGGTGAACAACAAAGTTCTGGAGGAAAATCAAATTCTTGGAAATTGCTCATTTTTAATTTTGAAATATGTTCTTTTATTAACAGGGCACAATTATAAAAAAATAATAATTTATAACAATTACTAATAGTGTAAACAAAATCACAGCATATCTATCACAATTTATATAAACTAATAAATTGAACACTAAACAACATTTATATAATAATTTATATTAATTTAATTTTTAACGTTTAAAAAATTCTTGTGCTTCAAGTTTATAGAAATGAAATGTTTTACGTTTATCTAGCATTAAAGATATTAAATATTAATAACAATAATAAAAAAAAATTATATACATTTTCAACAATATTTTCTTGAACTTTCAAATTATATGTTATATTTTATAATACTCTACAGTAATCAATAATAATAGTAAATTTGATAAAAAAAATTATCAATCATGATATCAATATGCACTACCAACAAAATATTTCTTGTCAAAATAACAACAGTATTTAAACAAGTTGTATATCTGAGGAGGGGTCATAATTATTTTATTGAGTTAACGAAATTTTTGCATTAAAGATTACACTATTTCTTAATTATTGATTAAAGTTAATTAAAAAGGTTTTTGTTAATATTCCTTAATAATAATAATACAATTGTTAGCTTTCTAATTTTAAAATTATATTTATTGCATTTCTTCTACACGATGTGATGAACAGAAAAAAAGGTCATCAGCAGATCAAAATATGACAATTTATTACACTACCAAGAATCAGTGACGTTAACAGGATTTCTTCATGACGGAGTCCTGAATAGCCAATTAAAAAATGTTTATATTAATCAGATCTGAATATAAGAAGTTTTTTTTTAAAGAGTCCATTAGGTCTATTATTTTAGAAAATAATGCTTATTTGTTTAGCGGAGGCATTGCTCTTAATTTCTCATACTCTATCCGCGTTTAATATTAATTTACATTGAGAATTTGTTTGTAACAAATACTCAAGTATTTACTAATTGTACATAAATGTGTATGCATAGATTGGTTTAAAGACTCAAAATTAAAAAAAAAAATGTTGGAAAGGTTAATCTCCTCTAATAGTACCCAATTTGAGTTTATGCATTAGTTATTAATAAATCAATAAATAATAGATCTCAATAGCAGTAGGTAATTTTAACTATATAATGTGTTAGTTGTTCTGTGGTAGGTTTAATACATAATATTTTAGCATAATTATTTTTCAACGAAAACTAAATGTATAAGCGTAAGATGGTAACATTGTTTAAATATAATTTTTTTGTTTTTTATATCATGTATGATTTTTCATCTTCTTGGGGGGAGTTAATTTTAAACTAGGGATTAAGCTCCCAAAGTTCACTCGCCCTATACCTATAACTATATTCCTCTATACTATAGAGTCTATAGTCATCTATATTTAACACATAAAAGTAAAACAATAATGTAATACAAAATCTAAAAATTAAACGTTTAAAAAATTATAAATTAAATCGGGTCATAATAGCTGGATACCGTTATTCGTTATCCGGTGGTAATTATCAGCTGTCCATCATTAAGACTGATAGTCTTACACTATCAATAATATTACTACATTGATTCACTGTCGCACGTATAACACTATGTTTATCTTATCCGGCGGTCGGTAGATAGGACAGGTCAGGAGGTCAACACGCGAGACACGTCGGCGATTATATAAACCAGTTCACCTGTGACTAACATCCGCCCCGGTGGCGGATATTTTATTATCTAAGATTAATAATAATAATATAATAATTATAGGTATTTAGAGTTTCAGCACCTAGTCAGAGTTTGTATTTTTTATATAAAATTTTTTTGTTGAGCAAAAAAAAATGTTTTCAGCTTATTTTGAAAAAAATTTCTGACTACCCCACTTCTTATTTGATCTTTAGTTATCTTGCTTATTAAAAAACTTAGAATGTGTATGAACACAAGAATATAAATTATGAATATCATTATATACATTTTGATTGGAGTTTTATCGAGTTCATCGACTAAGAGAAATATTTACACAATTATTACAATGTCCATCGTTCACTACATCATTTTGTGTTTATTACAAATCCATTATTGGTTGTTAAAATAAAATAATATTTTTTTTAATTCATCTTCAAAATACATTTTTATCATAAATTTATTTTCATCATGGGGGAGTTTTTTAAAATTATAGATGAAAATAGAATTTTAGCTTCGATGCGAAGCTGAGAAGGTATTAATTTTACTATGATGTGTTTTTTTTTTGTGTGTGTCTGTTACCACTTTTTCTCAGAACTCACCGAACTGATTTCTTTCAACGATACGACGTCAAAAGATCACAAATCGTATCTTATCGAAGACATTACCCTCAAAAATTGAAAAAATTTCCCTCGTTCTCCGTAAATGGGGAAATCTCCAAAAATTTTAAAATCACAAATTTTCAATTTTTTTTACTTAAAACTGTCATATCTTTTTTAAAAATGATCAAATCAATGTAATTTTTTTTTATATGGATACATAAGGTACTTACTTATCATTTTGTATATTTTTTTTTATAAATCTAACCCTTTACCTGCCCACAAGTGGGGATAAAAAGTGAAAACTTTTTCACAAAAAATTTACTTTTTTAACTTAACTTTTGAAAGTGTTTCGGAAATACCGACACTTTTATATATATCTTGAATTAAAAGTTATGTAATATACCTTCATATGAAAAAAAAATAAATTAGGATTTTATTTTGTTTTTATGGTGAAAACTGACATCAAAATTAATAAACAAAATACGATTTTTGTAAAAAAATTATTTTTTATATTTTAACTTTATAAAGGTATAACTTTTTAAAAAATATATGGATCATTATATTTTTTTTAAGGTATGTACTATTTATATTTATATATTATTAATATATATTTATTTATTTATTCATATATTACACTTATAAAACTAGTAATCAGAATATTAATAAGGAAATAGGGGATCATGCATCGATATAGATTTGCATCGAAGCGTTTTTTATGATAGTGATTTTAATTACTGTCAGATATCATCTATACTGGACCCAACTATGCCACGTCCCCACTGTGCTTGGTTTTATTTTAAGTACATCCAACATGTTTTAACGAAACCCGAGTTTTTCAAAAACTATTTTGTTTTATATTATAATCAGAGATTAAAAACTTGAATTACGCAATGAAGTCAAATTTAATAGTCTAATATATATTATATATTTTTTAAATACTATTTTAAAAATACAAAAAATATATATTTAAACAGCAACAAATTATTAAACTGTGTTTAAAAATTAAAAATCGATGTTTTCTGTACGATGATATTGTTGAAGCCTGTAAGAAGATAAAAAGTAATAATACTCTCAAAGAATGCTAAATTACTATTTCTGTTTTTCACATTACTGAATAATGTTTTATTAAAAATACATTTTAAAACTAAAAGAAAATATTTTTAGTTATGTTTAGTTGTTTTACTGAGTAAAGTATTAAACTTTTATAGATTTTAAACAAAATATATAGGCACTTAATTTTATTTCATTATAAATATTTTAAATCCAAGCTTAAAATAGTGACAATAATGTATTTAATTATAATAATTAATTGAATTATTAGCAGCAAATTAAGACAAATGACAACACACATACAAAAAAAATTACAATTTGTTACCTTTTGATGAGATAACGATAATCGCTTTATTCAGTGAAGAGGTGTATGTTGATATCTTAAAAATGTTAAGCATAGTTCTTAAATTGCTATTTAAAAATGATAACAATAATAATGTGAGCCTTCATAAAAGGGAAGCATAACACCATAAAGCAAGTATTAGTGAAGATAAAGTTATTGAAGCTGATCCAGCAGATGATAACACCGATTGCGGTTCCACATCATCGGTATAATCATCTTCACCAAAATCACTAATATCTGAACCCAGTTCATAAATGTTAACCGTGGAATGTTCCATTTTCGGATTTGTTAATCTAAGAACATCGGTTAGTTCGCTGTGTCCTCTAGACACCACATAATACAAGTTTGTGTTTCTTACTGTGCTAGGTTCAGGTTGATAAGGTTCCAACATTATGTTTAACGTTAATGGCTTATCGACTTTATGTGGATCCATAGAGCCAGGTACTTTTAAATGGATCGTTTTACTTTCATAACCGCGAGCGTCCACCTTAAAATAATTTTTATTTAGTTATAATATTATTAGTCATGGTGTCAAGGTAAAAATGATTAAAAATAAAAGAACTTTTTAGGATAAATCTCGTAATGAACGATAAATTAATCACTCTGTATTACTAATATTCATTTCAATTATAAACTTATTAATACATTTATCAGGGAAACGGTTTCAATTCAAGTATGAACTTTGAAAAATTCTCGCGGACCATATACTAGAGAAGAGTATGATCCCTTCTAATGTCCTTCTGATTAATTTACTTTTAGTTTGTGTCGCATAAAATTTGTTTAAGGGCAGCGTAGTGGGAAATCGCTAAATTAAGATATAATAATTATAAAGGCTTAAGTATAGCAATAATTTTGGTAACTAGTGCTGCACAATAAAAAATCTCTGCGTGTGTAATAGAATTCCTAGAATCTCTTTTCCGCGCATTCCAGCCTACGCGTCTTTTAAAAAATGTTCATTAACTCACATGTAATTTATATGGTCCCGGAAGTAATACTTTCCAATATTCTCCGTTTTCAGTGGTATTAAACGTTTTATCTCTACCTAGAATCATTAATTTCGCGTTTGATATAGGAGCTCCAGTTTGTCTATCCATAACAATTCCTTTGATTCCCCTTTGAACTTGTTTTGTCCAAAGTAAAAGAGGCTGTAAAATAATGAAATATTCAAACATTTTTAATGAAAAATAATTTTGCTGAGTATTAGTAAGTTGTTATGTGTACCTCTAAATTCTCATACCAATAAGTAATAATATCTGATGCTGGGGGATATTTACAACAAGATAATTCCAAAGTAATCTCTACACAGTCATGCATCTCATAGTTGTAATCTTGCATACTTCCTGCAAATTAAACAATTATAATTCTTATAAAAAATTTTTAAAAATCACTTTTTTAGCTTCAACGCCAAGTTTAAAAAATATTAACTATATATTATTATAAAATATTTACTTTAATGTGTTTTAAAATTTATTTATTTTTTGTGTCTGTCGCCACTTTTTATCAGCTCTCACTGGACAGATTTTACTTATAAGGATACACTATATCCATAGATCTAAAGATAACAAATTGTATCTAGATGAAAAAGATATCCTTAAAATTTGAAAAATTATCCCTCGTTCTCCATAAATAAAGAAATCACTCAAAAAATTAAGATTTTTAAATCCGTAAATTTCAATATTTTTTAAAAAATGTTTCCTTAAAACTACCATAACTTATTGAAAAATGTATGAATATATATGTTTTTTAAATATTCTATATACGTCCTTTAAATTAGGCACGAAAAATTAAAGATGTTTCGAAAATATAACGTCCTTTAAACTTATCTTAACTTAAAACTTATGTTATATACTATAAGCTAGAAAAAACAAATTGTCCAGACACCTTATCTTCTATTAATATGCTATTTTGGTTTTAAAATTCTCAATTTTAATTTTTTTTTATATTATCAACTTTATATTGCTATATACCTTCTGAAAAATATATGGATCAATACAATTTCTTTTTTATAAGTTCATTATACACGTCTTATTCACTCGTTTCTTTTTATCTGACCATTGTTCCTTATACAGACAGAGATTAAAATCTTGAAACATACCTATAAAATGTTGAACTTTTTCAACATTGGAAAATATTTAGCAAATCCTACACCCTTTATATATATATATATTAAATAAAAAGTTATATTATATCCTACAAGCTAAAACAAGTTGTCAAATCGACTTGTCTTTTGTAAAAGGCTCCCGAAATAAAATAAAAAATGTTATTTTTGTATAAAAAGTAATTGTTTTTTGTGTTATAATTTTCTATTTCAATTTTTTTTCAATTATTAATGTTTATACTTTAGTTTAAAAAATATTGGAACACCTTTTAAATACCATTCTTTTAACAAAAAAAATGAGTTCATTTTGTATTTGCAATAATCAGAAAATATAATAAAATCTACAGATTTTTGAAGCTTTGATTATAAGTTTAATCACTGGAAGGTTTCGATATTTTACTGTTTTGCTTACTATTTATGAATGTATGAAATAATTTTCTTTTCTCTCTCACCTGAAGTTTCGTACCATGCAGCTCCGTTTGTTATACCTCCTTTAAATTCCACTGATTCTTTACAGCCATAGCCTTTATGCATTGTTGGATGTGCATTGGCATAAGCACTAGCCAAATATCGAAACACGTCATCGTCAGGTGTCAGACTTTCATAAAAGACATTATCGTTTACTGATGGATCTTTAATAAAATTATAATAATTAATATATTTTGTTTTGTTTATACAAATTGAATATTCAATTTTGGCTTGTAAAATGAAATTTTTTTTTATTATATAATTAAATAGGAAAAAGCGCTGAATTTTGTTAACAATAAAAGCAAATAAATTTTTAAAATGAAAATAATACATTAAGCAACAAGTTCTAAACTAAAATATTTTTATTTTGTAACGATAATAAATGTTGTATTTTGTACATCTTATATTACAGTACTATATGATGTCTAAAAACTAAAATAAATTTTTTAAAATTGCAGTTAAATAAATAACCATGGTTATTTAGTGCGGTTATATAACTTTAAACAATCATGTAAATAGTTTTACCGATAGATGATAATTTTGAAAATAGCAGATCAAAGTTATTGAGTTGTAATGTTTCATTTAATTTCTTCATTTTGTACTGAGCTGCTTAAAAAAATAAAATTTAATGTATGCTATATATACAAAGCAAAATATTAATTATTAAAAGCAAAATCATGGTGCTCCATTTATTATGACCCTTTCAAAATAAAATTAATTTCTGGAATATTTTGTTTTTTATTTTAAAAATTTTCTTAAATTTTATATTTGGGAGGGGTAAAGAGAGGACAAAGAAATGTACAGGAGAAAACCCCCTTTAGTCGACTTTTAAATTAATGAAAAAAATTAATATGTTAAACTTTGAAAGTAATTAACATTAAATTTCTTTATACTGTAATTACTTAAAATTTTGTTCTCAAGCAACTATGAAAATGTAACATACGAAGAGGAGAGTTTGTGTGTTTAAGTATTAATTTCTCCATCGGAATCATATCGTCGATTTTGTGTAGAAACCTATTAACGATTACTTTTGTAATTTTTTCTTTTAATTTTGTTAACATCGTCATTTAATGTATGATTACAGGATAGTTTTAAATAAAAATGGTGTTAAAGTTGAAAATACTATGTTTCACATAACTAAAAAAAATTGTGATATATGTTTGTACAACATCCAGTGGTAAAAACAAATTAAAAAAAAAAGTTATCACACCAAGCCGATACATTCAAATTACACTATAATAGCCTTAATAGAATTTTAAAAAGAGTGGAGTAAAATTAGTTTTTGCGGCATCTCTATATATTTGCTTACAATCAAATGTTTAGCACCCGCATATTTAAAACTTAAACAATATTAAAAATGATTATTTTATGTAATCTTTATTAAATTAATTTTCAATTTACGTACTTGAATTAGATGAACTATCATACGGATAATTGGCAACTAAAGAACCACCATGTAAGCTAAGTGACATGACAAATGGTACAGATTTCAACCAATTCACTACTGCTTTTGTTTCGGGTTGATAAGATCTTTCTTTGTAATAGAATATATCAGGAAAGTCGCGGTTTAAATCTGCCATACGAGCATTACCTCTGCAATTTAAAATATTGAAAGTATGGTTTGAGATATGTACCTATTTGATTAGTTAAAATACGCGTATAGTAACAAAATTATGCCTATTTTAAATAAATCAAATATTACCTATTACCCACACTATTTGTTCTATGATCATGAATACATGTTTTTGGTCGAGACATTTCAAAGCCATCAGGGTTCATGCTAGGAAATAAATGGATCACTGTTGTTTGCAACAAAGATTGTATTGTAGAATTTTTAACGCTTTCTTTTAACAAGTACTGAAAAATAAAATTAGTTTTTAAATGTTGTTATACTATTCCAACACGGATTCAACCGTTTTAAAATAATTTTGATTTTATAAATAAAAATTAATAATTATTCAATTTTTTGATTTAAAAACAAATATTTTTGTTTAAGTAATAGCATTTCAGAGTAAAAAATTATGGTGGAAAAAAAGTTATTGCCTTAGGTATCAAAACCCAAGTTCTTTAATCTTATTGTATAATAAAATAGTGAAAAACTAGATAATGCTGGAAAAATGACTTAACAATGTCTAATTTTTATTATTATTATTTTTTAAAGTGCTTGACGCCATTATTCTAGGACAATAATTTACGAATATGAGAACATTTTTTTAGCACATCGTGAGCGTTTGAACATTTTATTAAAAACGACCATTGTCGTTAGCGCTTTTCAATTGAAAATCTGAAACTTTTACTGGACCTACACAGAGACATTTCAAAGATACCCTGAACATTTCGTTGAAATGTGTTGTTGATTTTTGACCAAGTTATGAGCTTTCCTTTTTTTTTAAAAGTCCACCGGCGTAAATTTTAGTAAGATGATTTTGCTTTAACATTATATTAGTTTATGTAGCTTATAATAGTAATACGGTATTTAAAGATTATTATGTTTTCTATCGTCTATCTGTTGTTTTGAATAATAATTAGTAGGGTATTATTAAATACAATTGTCAATACACCTAAGTATTTTATAGTCATATTATTATTTAATTAACAAGTGGGATTAATTTTTTGGTAAACTTTTACAGTTATACTTTTTTTGCACAACACATATCTTACTCCTACCGGAATCAGTGGTATAATTGTAAGGAGAGCCTGAAGGGTCACAGGCAAGACTCGTAGGGCATTGGTGATGGGGCAGAGTTCCTGATAGGAAAAGTCTAGTATTTAAAAAAAATATTAAATCTAGAAAATAAAAATTGAAATATATTTTTTTTTAAAACAATCAATACAATTTACCTCTATTAAATGAATTATAAGTTCTCTTCCAATGGGCTCATTTCCATGAATATTTCCCACTATTTTAATGTTGGGAACGGTCAATAAATCAATCACACTAGTTATCTTAACAACCCAAAGTTCTCGGCCTTTACAACAATTAAAAAGTACAATAAAAAGAATTGATTATCGCTAAATGGGCCAACTTGGTGGTGTATTATACGCAAGGCAAGTAAATATATATTACTATTTTAGTCATATCAATCTATAGCACTAGTAAAATGTTTACTAGTATTATTAAGAAACACAAAATTTTTATTCACAAAAATTATGTGAAGAAATATATAAAAAATCCGAGCACGCTAAGTAATTTTCCCAGAAAAGCGTTTTTTTCCTTGTTCTATTATATAATAAGATACTGAACGGCCCCAAGTTGGCTTATTTAATTGAATCAGTAATATAATTAATAAGATACAAGAATAAATATTTTTTTTAACTTTATACTTAAATTAATTACCAAGATTAAATATTTCTTAGAACTTATGTTCTGAGAAAAATTTTATGGCATTAATTTATGTATGCAATTAAAAACATAGTTAATTAATAATAAAAATTTTTTTTCATACCTTGCACTGATTTTCCAATTGAGTATAATGAAGTAATATTAGAATACTCTTCTGTGATTTTTTTTACGAATTTTGTTAAATCATCATAATTATGGTATGTATCAAAACTTAGTTTGTCTGATTGTACCCTTGGATAATAAGTTGTCGTTATCATGAACAATAATGTTGTAACTATTCTAACTTCCATGATGACTCTCTTTTAACGACTCCAATGAACTACTATATTGTTACATTTTTAAAACAAAGTACTGTTGTTATATGATTTACGGTTTTATTCTATATTGAATGTAATATATTATATGATACAAAAAAAAAATTTAAAAAATGATTACATTACAATGAATGTAGTTAAATAAATCGTGTCACGTCGTTGAAAAGTTTGAAACCGGATCGATCGTTTACTATTTTATAATATGAAGTTTGTTTGTTAAGTTTATTTTAAAAATTTTATTTAAATTATGCTACTGGACTTTTTCAGTGAAATATTCCACATCTACACTAGACTATAATCAATGGTTTACTGAAACATAAGGATGCCCTATAAAAAACATTTTAAAAGAGATACAGATTTGATTTTACTTCCACATCCTGTTGATGAGCAAATGGCGACCAATATCATGTGGTAGGGAATATCGATTGTATTTTGTAACTCAGTATATCAATTGAAAATTAGTATTATAAACTACATAAATATGAAGTAATCCAACGATCATTAATTCTATGCAATTTAAATTAATGAAACTATAAATTACTATGTATTTACTTTAAAGAAATAGTCTGCATTAAGATGAAGTGTTTTTTCTGTGATATCGTCGATTGAAATGGACACGTGCCGGAGACTACATTTGACACCAAACAATGATTGTGTAAAGGTCGCACTTAATTATAGTTATTGCTATGCCCCACTTGAAAATTTTCTAATAAATTTGTCAAATTTTATTGGCAAAAAGATTGACGTGCATAATAAAAGCGTTGTAAAAGGATGCAAGTATTTCAGGCCAACAAATTGGCTTGACACGAATGCCCACTTCACGGCTGTGACTAAATGCGTTTGATGCGTTATTTGAAAGATAAAATTAAATGACATTTAAAAATATAAGCAATAAAAAAACAGAGATCTACGATCATTTAACTGACTTATATAATTGTTTTTTAACGTCATAGCTGTAATTGTCATGTACGTGCAAAGCGTGTGTAGGTACCTACCTATTTATAGTTAATAACAATAAATAATAATAAAAAAATGTTCAGTAAACTTCCGTGTGAAGTAAGTTCATTAAGCGTAGGTTGAGTTACCACGACATAATAAAACGATAAAGAATTATTTTTCATTAAATGATTCTTTAATTAATGAAATAATTTATTCTAAAACAGTAAAATATAAAATAAAATAGAAGGTGTACTTTAACAAAAAAAATAAGTATACATCGTAAGCTTCATTAATTTTATTTTTCATATTTATTTTCATATTTTTGTTTTTAACTTAATGAAATTTATCATTAGCTCATGGATATTTTTAAATAGAAAATTTTGCTCATATAAGGATTTTGGATTTATCTTCTAGTATGAATATTTTAAAATTTAGTCCAATTTTATTTTAAAATGTCCATTAAAATTTATGTATGAATAAAATTAATTGATAATCATATTAATTTTGAACATCTAATCACCTTCTTACCCTTACTTTATTACCGCATAATTAGAGGTTATAGAGGAGAGTACTGATGCACGTACCAATTTATATTAAAGTATTCACAAAAGGGATAGTATCTAGAATATTTTTTCGTGAAAGATCCAAAATATGTATACATATAGAAAGCGATAAGTTGGTAAAAACATGCATATTTTGTATAATAAAAATGATATAATTATATATTATATATGATATGATATAATGATATATATATATATAAATATTTTTTTTGAACAAAATTCGGGGAGGAGGGAGAATTGAGCTCTATATATTTGTACCAAATATTCTTCTATAGTTATGACACTCGATTTTAAGTATATTATTTAAATAGCTTAAGTGCAGTTTATTCATTACAATTAATTATAAAAATTATCCCTAGTCCTTTTAGTTATGCTACTCAAATTTAATGATTTTAATTTTTTTTGTCTTATACAAATTTGTTTTAGTTGTGTAATCGTACTCATTAGTTTAATTAGTATTTATAGAAATTTATTTTTAGTTTACAATTTCAAAAATTGCTGTTAGCTGCAAAATCTTATGTCAGCATGGCTAATAATAGAAAAATTATTTCTATATTTTAGTATCCAGCTATTATTTATTTATTTTTACAATAAAATTGTAAAATAATAATATAAGAATTATAATTATAAGAACATATAATGTTTTAAATAAATATTATTATATGATTTCTGTTATTAATAAGAATTAAACATAAATTCTATTTCATTTTGTTTTATGGTTTTTTTAGAATCAACGTTTTGAAATCTCAAATTCTAGGGTAATATGCCCTCTTTACATCTGAAGAGGGTAAAAAAATGTTATGAATAACGAAATATTTTGTTAAAACGTAATAAAAAACAAATATGTGTCATATCAACAAACGTAAAAATTTGTCATAAAAAAATATTATTAAAACAAAAATAAACGTCATAGGTTCAAAAAATTAGTCACTTGTCCTTATTTAATCTGCATATAGCAGTCGATTTTTTAAAACCACTTTTAACGTTGAACGTAAAAAAAATTGCATGATTTAATGTTTAATAACAATGAACTTAATTTCTATATATTTTAATACATTTAAACAATAAACGAACATTATTTTTTAATTGCCCCCCGTTCCAAAGTATTATTGATCCAGTATTATACTACTTTCAAAATGATATCTTTAAAATATTTTTATTGGTTACTTTAAACTTATTAAATACCCGATCATAAATTTATTAAATAAGTTGTTATACATAAAATATAACATATAAGATCTTAATATATTCATTTTTAAATGAATATTAATGTTGAATCTTTTTTGGTTGTCTAATTTAAAATAGATTGAGTAAAATAAAACAATTTTAATAGAAACATAGTTTTTCAAATATTTAAGATAGCTACATTTTAAGGGAGCATAAACACTGGAGAAAATATTAGTCGTATTAATAGTGTTAAGACATGTTAATTCCATGCACAAAAGATTTATTTTTGCTTATCAATTTAATATAATAGAGCAAAAAAAATTTTGGATTTTCCAATGAGTGGTAGAATATTGTATAATCCCTAAATTCAGCTCTATTTTATGAATAAAGGATAAATTTATTCTTATTAATGAAAACATATTGATAATATTGAATTCTGTATACTGCATAATATTTATCATAAGTTGATATTTGGCGCATACAATACAATGTATAATACAATCCAAACATAAAATAACATTAGGGCAATTTTTTTTTTTTTATCAAAATTAACAGTTCATATTTAGTTATTAACAAAACAATAAAATAACAAAATTAATATGAATAAAATAACTGATATATAAAACAAAATTAAATAAAAATGGTTTAACATAAGTAAACATTAACAAAAGAAATAGGGTAGATAGATTACCACAAGAAGTTTCATATAGATAACAATTTTTTACAAATTAAATTAGGTGATTTACATAATTTGAAAAACATTTATACACTTAGTAATAAATATTAGATTACGTAAAAAATGTCTATTTTCAATTATTTTAAAATACTGAAATATATATCTGTACAATATACACGAAAAAGAATCCAATGACATACAGGAATTTTAAATTGAATATTACTAATTAAGCCTATAAAATCAATATATTAATAATTAATAAAATTAATATTATGTACTTTATGTAAATGCCTACTGAATTTGGGTCATTGAATTCCAAATGTAAAATTGTTATTACAATTATAAAGTGTTTATACTACTATTGTACAATTAAATATAATATATTTAGAAAATTTTACAATATAGACTATAATATTTTTTGATCATCTACCAAGTATTACATAGATAGATCGTTTAGGTTTGTAATACTTAATTCTATATAGCAGTTGGTGGTAAAATATTATAATCCTGTATTGCCGATTTTACAGTTTCATACAGGGGACGGTTATTATCTGTTATAGTTGTAGTCAAATTATTGTAAGATATATAATTAGTTTTAGGATTAGTACACAAATTTTGCAACATATAACAATTATCAATATTATGCTGAGTTTTATCACATGGTTGTTTGTCAGGATAATGCACTTGTTCTAAAAATGACATCATATTGCTTCTTAGATTTTCATAGTACCCATTCAAATGGGAATTTCGTTGCTGAGATAAGATTTGTGTTTCCTACAATAGTTTAAGAATATAAAATTATAAGTAATACTTAATATTAATTGGTAAAATTGTGGAATATTGTTCATTACTAAATTATTATGAATCTTTGCTTTTGAGAAATTTGAAATTGATTGACACTACCTTGATCCTACCTTATCCCCATGTCGAAGGTGGGCTTCCATAGCATTGATGTCTGTCTTCAATTTTAACATTTGATACTCGACACGTGCATTTTCTCGTTGTAACTCTGTTATTTCAGCATCCAAAGAAAACAGTTCTTCACCACCGTTCCCCATATTACAATCTAAAACCCACAACTTTTTAAAAAACTTTTCTCTTCCTCGCCAGTTTCTCTTTTGTAGTAATATTAAGAATCCCACAATTTTACCATGAAAACTTATAAAATCTATTCTTACCATTATGTAACTGTTTTGAACCATACATATGATGATACAACGAATCAGCTGCATTTGAAGGTAATGTTTTCTTACTAGATCCTAAGTTAGGGGCAGCTGGATGGCAAACACTAAGAGCAGGAGTACCTCTATGGAGGAATGGACTAGAATTTATATGTGATGTCTCACAAGTAGTTGGGTCTGACTGTTGTTGATGTTGCTGTTGTTGTAATTTAGCTATATTTGCTTTATGCTGTTCTACAGTTCCTCCACTTTCAAGAACACGCATTTTATTACGATTTGCTATAGGACAACCAGATGCACTAAAATCATACACAAGATTAAGAATATATTTTAATTCATAAATATAACATTTTAAATTTCACATTACCTTCTATGTGATAAAAATTTACCAGTTGCATGACCGGATCCATCACAACCAGGTATAGGACATCTATCAAATATAATAACAGTTAATATTTGATATGTACTATAAACTTAAACTAAAATACCTACCTCAAAGGTTCAGAATCTTGACCATCCCTTGGTTTACTCTTTGGTTTATTTGCACGAGGACAGCCAGATAATGACCGATGTGAAGAGTAATTTCCTGTCACATGTCCAGAACCATCACAACCTGGAGTTGGGCACTTCAGTTCTTGAGAATGGGTTGATGATATTCCTGGCTGTGAAGAAGATCGATCACTTCGAGCACAAACAGAAATGCTGAGAGAAATTGAACATATTAAGTATATATATAAAAAACCAACAATTAAAAAAAAGAAAATTATTTAATATTCTTATATCAGGAACTTTCAATGATTTTTATAAAAAAATAATTATTAACTGCTATCAGAACTATATTCAGAATCAAAAAATACTTCTTCTTCTTCATTATCTTTTGATTCAGTATAGTCAGAATCTTTTCCTGAGTTGACTTTTAGTCGAAAACAGTGTTCAAGGTAATCTATTTTTCTTGATTCATCATTGATGTTTAAACAAGAAGACATAAAATTATCCAAGATGCCAGGTGAACGATTAGGATGGTTTAATAATAATACAAAACAAGATCTAATTAAAAACATGATATGCTTATTGGATACATTTTGTGATCTAAATAACATTAATAGTAACTGTTTATATCCATCCCAATCATCAGCCAAAAGACATAATCGCATTTCTGACATAAGTGGACTTAAACTATTTCCTAATTTTAATCTGTTTGTAGAGCCAACAAGTAGTGCTGAATGATCAAAACATTGTGCTTCCATTTCTGTCTCTACTTTATGACAATAATTTTTTTGACTTTTATATGATTTTTCATCATGTTTATCTTGTAATATAGTATCAATTCCTTTCATTAAACACCATGTAGGTAATACTATTTCGTCAACCGGAATTGGATCATCTGAATCAGTACTGATAGTGCTGGACATTTTATTAAATAGCAAATATTTTAAAGAGAATTTAACAAGCAAATAAGTAAAAAATAAAAAAATGACATTTGTAAGAACTACATGTGGTTTGGTTGTAACACTATCAAATTAATATTGTTAGCAAGATAAGAGAAAACATTACTTCTGAAGAATCAGTGTGGCCATTTAATGAGAAATCGCAAAAAAATAAATATTTGATTATACGGAAAATTAATTTCACGTGAGAGAAATGTAAATAAGAAAGAAATTGACTTCAGGGAAAACAGTAAAATTAAATATATACTCTGGGGGAGGCTAGAGGTGGCAATTGTCACCGGCAGGATTAGATTTTTACAAAGTAATGATTGAATTCTTTTAGTGGCTTTTAAAAAAAATGTGTGGGGAGAAACCCATTAGTAACCGGCTGCTAAATTTCTGAATACGTCTCTGCCAAGTCTCATATCTTTGGAAAATGAGGTGATATTATTTTTGATATGCTTATTTAATGGTCATTCCAAATGCATTTTCGACTAATTACCAAAAAAATATTACTATTAACCTTAGTGTAAAGATTTAACAATTAGGTTGCTATCTTATTATCATTATGTAACGAGTACTGGTTGCCAACAATGCTATTTGAACTATTAGTCAATGTTTCGTTATTATTTACACAATTGTTCGAGTTATGTGGAATGGATAACAGATAGTTTATCAGATTATAGATATTACTGTTATCAATTATTCACAATAGTTTTAAAAACACATTAAAAGTTTTGAAATATTAACATTAAAAAAATTGAAAAATTATATACTTGGTATCAAATTTAATTTTTATAATGTATGTATATCGTAGCATCGTTTGTATTTAAAAAAAAATTGTGCAAATGCACATTTTGCCTCTCTACAAAATGACGTTCTTGGTCTAAAGAAATATTTGACTGGTCAATAATCCGATTTATAATATTTTTAGCTAGTATAATTTTTATTAATAAGCAAGAGAGGTACGTAACGTAGAAGAATTTTTATTTGTTTGTCACGGTAAAAATAAAACGTTGCTAAACACTACCCTGCTCCATAACTGTTCTAATATCTCAAATACAGTAATAATACAAAACTAGATATCAATTAGACAACATTTTATTAAGACCATTTTTATTTAATTAAAAAATAACATAAGTTATCCATTTAACTTTGAAGATATTAGAATTTGAAAATATAGAATAAGTGAGAAACGCGGTTTGTTCAACGACGTTCTATTTTTACCATGCAAAAAAATAAGAATTTTACGTTGTCTACCTCTCTCGCTTATAACAAAAATTCTAAATCTCAAAAAGTATTAATACAAAACTAGTTATTGACCAGTCAAAATGTTATTTAGTACATTTTCTATTTAATAATAATAATAATAATAACAACAATAATTATAATAATAAAAAAGGTTCTTATTTAACTTAAGATGGTTCCTCTTAAAATATTCTTTACGGAATTATATTTTTATATAATAAAATTAATATTTACCATGGATTCATAAAAAGAAGTCAAATTTTGATTTGTTAATTTTTTTAATAAAATCATTATTTAACGAAAAAATGGCTAGTATTGTTCTATTATTATTACTATTATTATTATTATTATTATTATTATTATTCGTATTAATAAATAAATGGCCTGGTTTATGATATTTAATGGTCTGCCAAACTTTTCACACCAACAAAAAAACACTGAAATTATGCCCCTGTACAAATTAATCAATGCCTATAAATAAGTTTAAAAATGCTGCATTTAATTTATTGAATAATTTATATTTTAGTGAAAGCTTAAAACTTATAGATTAAAATAAATTCGTAAAAATTTATGTAACTGTCAAGGAAAAATGTATAATAATAGAAATATACAAACTAACAATTAGCTTACTGTCCTCTAAATGTTAATAATTTTTTTACTTAAATATTATTTGAAAAAATTAACACTCATGATTGAATTTAACAAATTCAATCTAAAATATGCTTTATTATACATCTGAAATTGTGACATTATAATGATTATTTATTTTATAATGAAATTTTTATATGGAACTTAATTAATTTATAATTATAATAAAAAAAGTAGAGTTTTATAAAAATATATATAATTACCTGTCATCTTTGGAGGAAACTGAAAGCTTGTCTTGTTGAGGTGGTGGCATACTGTAACATGAATTTTGTGAGAAACCATTTGGTGGTCCGCCTTGTTGATAAGCTCCTGTGGAATAACCACAAGTGTATGCTGACGTACTGTATGGTGTTGAATATCCGTTAGCATATTCCGGCATTGGGTATCCTGGATGAGGACTCAAAGATGTGTAACCTACAGTTAGGTCATCATTAAAATTTCGGTCGAATGCGGTAGTTGAATTATAACAATGATCATTACCATTAACATCTCTATAATGGTCCATATAGTGCGATCCTCCACTTTCAGGCGTTGACTCTCTACTATATCCATTAGGTGCTCCACTTGAAAACACTAATCTTCCGGGTGCCCTGTAATCATTACATATTTATTTAAAGTTTCTTATCAATTTCTTTGAAATTTTTTAAGTTTTTACCGGCTAACACTAAGATCTAAAGTTTGGCCTTGAGGACTTGGGGCTTGTGTTACTTGAGGACTTGCAGTTGTTGTGTTTGGACTAGTACGATGTCCAGTAGTTCCTCCGTAATGGTGAGGACTTAGGCTATTTGAATATGTGATTGCCTGTGAAAAATAAATTGGGCTGTAGAAATAATGATTTAAGTGCAGTTAGGGTAGAGTACATGTATGTTTGTTATTTATTTTTTGTACCTGTGGACTCGTTGAAGTTACGCTAGACGTAGAAAGATCCATTACCGAAACTGTACCAGGAGAACGGGTTAGAGGTAGTGGTAGCGGAAACGGCAGTGGTTTCATTCCACTACTTGCAGCAGCGATACATTTTACAGACAAATTAATCGCTGCTGTTGTTGGAAAACCTGTTTGAACTGATGGTCCAGAGGATGTGGGTGGATTTGCACCCTCATATTGATAGAGAGGCCTATGAATTTATTTTACGAATTAAAAGTTTGATATGTGTTTGAATAATAATAATAAAGTTAATTATTATTTAATTTTTTGAAAAAATGATTAAAGTAAAAATTCTTATATAGATTTTTAAAAGTTATTTTATAATTTACAACACAATATTAGCTACCTGGGATACAATGGTGGTTCAATGGAATCATCCATTGGAACTGATTGTTCTGGTTTCATTATTATCTGATGAGGTTGATACATAGTTGATGCATCTCCATATTCTGAAGAATAGCGTTGACACTGTTGTTCAGAACCATAGCGATCTCCATACGAAGAGGAAGCTACAGTGGCAGCCGAAGAGTTTAGTGAGTTAGGGTAAGAGGGTGGTCTAACTTCATAGGAACGCGTGGCTGCTATTTCGGTTGAGTAAGACGGTGAAGGTCTGTTAATATTTGTTAATGTATAACTTCGATCTGCTCGGTTGTACATATCTTGTTGGCTTGGGCCATTGATTTGTTGTTGTTGGGTCTCATAAGGTCTGTGCTGTAATCTAGAATTTGTATCCATCATCATATAAGCTGATGATGATGATGTCGTATTTTGTTGTTGGGAATGAAGAGGTGATGATGTTGTCATAGTGTTGTGTTGTTGGATTTGTTGATGATGATTTATAGTTTCCATACTACCCGATAGAGAAGATGAGTTTGAGTCATGGCAATGATCATAAGACATAGCTATTGGCGTACGTCGGTTGCAAGGAGGTGTTACTGAGCGGCAAGAGCTTACTGAATGCATTTCTGATTTAATATTCATTGTGTCATCTTGTGTTGGAGTGGATATCGTACCGTCACAACACCCAACTTCAGACTTTAACTGTAATTGTTTTGTGTCTGGTTTTTCTTCTGCATCATCATCTTTGTGCAATGTTTTTGTCTTAATGATTGATTTTGTATTTACTGATGTTGGTGATCCATAATACGAAGAAGTAGTCAAGTAGTCGGCACTAGGTGATCTACTGACTGATCCACAGTTGTCACCATATATTTGGTATGTTTCTTTAATATTGTTAATATGTTTGTAAGGTTCAAGACTGTTATTGCATACTAAAAATTAAAAAAATACTGTCTAAGTAGGATATATTGACTAATTGATATGTTTATACCATTGTATTATAAAACAATTTAGAGAAATTTTAATAATAGTATTCCGATTGTGATTAAGTTTTGCTGAGAGTAGATTGCCGGTATATACTTAGGGGATACCTGTAAGGGTAGCGATGTGTTGTAATGATATTTTTTTCAGACGTTCTCGCTGTGCCTGTTTAGTAGCCGCTGCTTTTGGACACCCTGATAGGCTCCTGTGTGAATTTCGGTTTGAACTGACATGTCCCCGTCCATTACATCCCGGAGTAGGACACTTCAGAATGATTTCATGCATGGCCAAAACTGGTCATTATAATTATAAATAGGAATAAGTTAATTGGTATTAAAATTGCACGCAAACTTTTCGAAAAGAGATAAAAATATCGCCATTGACTTTTTTTAAAGAGAAATGTAATTGATAAACAATGATATACATAACGAAATGGTTAGGTAAAGAAAAATATGAATAGATAGTAAGAGAATACATAATAAAAAAAAGTGATTTTTAAATACTGTTTGTACTAGTATATACTATTTTATGGAAAACGTTATGGCAACTTCATATTATGAACTGGAGGAATCTACCGTATTTGTAATATCAGCTTTCTACCCCCAGCTAATTCAGATTTTTCACTGCTTAATATTATTGTTCATATTTGTAAATGGTAAAAATTATTACTTGATAAACTAAAATAGAAAATAACTATGAGTTTAACGCTTACTTTCTGATGCACCTTTATCCTTTCGGGGACATCCCGATAAGCTGCATGTACGAGCAGAAATAAAAATTTATATCTTATATATTATTTGAAATTTCTAATAAAATTACCTTCTATGATGTGAGTATAGTCCAGTAATATGACCTTGACCAATACATCCAGGCGTTGGACATTTATTTCCGTCTGAAATAAATTAAATTTTTTACATATTTTTTTAATACGTTTTAATTAATTTTTTTAGAATCGTAATTTTCATTATTCTATCGTATAAGAGTCTTCATTTTTATTACTTTTATTTAAAACATAAGTAAAAAAGAGATAAGTTTAATTTTTTTCCAACGTCAGCAATCACAAAGGCGCCGATTATACTAAATGGGTAGATAAGAAATAATGATTCTCAATTGTAATATGAAGTGTGTTTAGATAAAATTTATTATTTTGAAATTTTAGTTATACATTCTATTTTTAATTTAAAACTCAAAGCTCTGGCATAATTTAGGAATTTTAATTAAAAAAACCAAGCACAGGGGGGTCGTGGCACAGTGGTGACGTGGCATAGTTGGGTCAAGTATAATGATATCTGACAGTGATTAAAAACATTATTATAAAAAACGCTTCGATGCAAATCTGTAGATAGTGTTTAATTTTTAAAAAATGATGGATTATTCCAAAAGCTACATGATCTCTTATTTCATTATTTATATTCTGATTACAAGTTTTATAATTTATAAGTGTAATATATGAATAAATAAATAAATATATAAAGGGAAATGGTTTTATTTAAAAAAAAAGTATGTCGAATGAAAGAGGTATATAAATATTCTTTCTTATAAAAAAATTGTATTGATCCATACATTTTTCAAAAAGTTATAGCATTATAAAGTTAAAAATTTTAAATATAAAATCGAGAATTTTAACACAAAAATAGCATACGGTAACTATTTTCACCTTGAAGATAAAATAAAGTCCGAAATTTTTTTTTTCTATAATAAAATATATTACATAAGTTTTAATTTAAGGTATATATAAAAGTGTCAGTACTTCCGGAACACTTTCAAAAGTTAAGTTGAAAGTGTTAATTTTTTATAAAAAAGTTGTCATTTTGAATTCCCCTTTGTGGGAAGGTAAAAGGTCAAATTTATAAAAAAAAAAATATCAAATAATAGGTAAATACTTCATGTATCTATATAAAAAAAAAATTATATTCATTTTCTCATTTTTAAATAAATTATAGCGATTTTAATTTTAAAAAATTGAAAAAATGTTAAAAATTTGCGATTTTTTAATTTTTGGAGATTTCCCCCATTTACGGGGGACGAGGGAAATTTTTTCAATTTTCGAGGGTAATAACTTCGACTAGATACGATTTGTGATCTTTTTTCGTATCGTTGAAAGAAATCGATTTGGTGAATGCTAAGAAAAAGTGGTAACGGACACACACACAAAAAAAAACACATCATAGTAAAATTAATACCTTCTCAGCTTCGCATTGAAGCTAATATTAATGTTAAAATATAAATAAGAAAAATTAGTATCAAAAAGAATTAAAAGATCAAAAGGTTAAATACAATACTCTACTCTATGTATAGGGATACAAGGTGCCTTGTAAGTGTTAGTGTGGGTGTGTTTGTATATTGGTCTATACATGTTAAATATTTGAAATTTAATATCGATCTTATACCAAAGTGAAACACGATAAATTTACATGCAATTCTAGTTGGTTTAACATAAAACTTTATAACCATCTATAATATTCCCTCCACTGAGTCTCGTAAATTATTAAGTATTATAATGTTACGATACCTTATAAAGTATTCTTTTTGATAAAAAAATTCTAATGACGTTTTAACTGTTAAAATTGAATAATCATTTAAAAGGTAAAAGTTATGTTGTTACATATACTAAGTATTATTTAATAATTAAATTAATATTTTATGATTGATGTACGTATTTATCAAATCATAAATAATTTAACTTTTAAATAACTTAAAAATTCCCTTCCAATTTCAATCATTTAATGCTTCTTGTTTTTGAGTCTAAAATTCTTATCGAAATGTTGTCTTAAAATATATACTGATTTTATGACAGTAAAAGGATGGCGAATGTTTATAGTAACGAGTAAAATATTTGTACATGGATAGGTTGGTATAATAAATTCTAAGAATCAGCAAGTTGACTTAGAGAAAAGAGGAAGTCGATGAAATGGAAACCATCTATAGTTTAGAAGGGGTCTGTTATATAATAAAGAGAGGGTAAGAGTGTTAACAACTTGTACCCATTGCTCGTGTTTGGGGTTAAGTCGGCACGTGATCGGCGTGGAGATGTCCTCTTAAGCACAGGCTACTCTACCACCAACTTCTTACCCTTTCCTTCACTGCCACACAATCACTACACAATACTTTGTCAACAACAGTCCTTGAATGTTAATTAGCGCTAAATTTTGTTGATTCGCTAGACAATGAATACGCTCATAAGATTACCGAGATAATACGACTGTCGAGAATATCATAATGTTAATAAAAAATGTACCTTTAATCATACATCCCGGCATCATGTTATCAACGTGGTTAAGTTTGGGTGTGCCAACAGATGTTCTAGGAGATAAGCTGCCTGTTGCGCTGACCACAGAAGCTCCCAAAACACCTTCGCGGGCCACTTCTTGTAGAGCTGTGGCTGCTCTTGAGTCAGCACCTGCTGGTTGTAATATCGTATATTGTTTGGACAATGGACTCGGAGAATCCATTTTATTTACTCCACAAGATATATCAGGTTTATCTGAAGCGTTGTCATCCTCGAGCTTCACACTAACAGGCCTTACTGGTGCAACTGGTATTGTATCTCCGACTGTCAAATTTCCGTCTTGTAAGCTTTTTGTTGGTGAAATTTGACCGGTCATATTAGCTGTAGTAGGGCCTGTATATCCGACTACAAAAGTAGCGCCGGCTGGTGGATACGGACCTAGAGGAGACATGGCTACGCTGACCGCAGAAGGCAAGTCTAGTCGATCTTTTGCATCTCCACCTGTAACAGGACGGAATGCTGAAAATGCCGTCTTGTCTATCATGTATGTATCATACGCATTACTAGACTCAGTTTTTAACGACATTTCGTCAGCTCGTAAATGGCTATTGTTGTTGCGTCTGTCAACGTCTAACTTGCGTCGAAGTCGATCGCCGGCTGAGTCTTCATCATCTTTGTCACCAGTTCCCGTAGCAGACATATCTATTTCCAATTCGTCTGAAGAATCATCAACCAGTTCATTAAAATCTGGTTCATATTTGGACGGTGCATACTTTTCTGATTTGTGTGATTTACAGTGATCACCGTTATTGTCCTTGTCTATTTTAATGATGTCATTTTGAGTATTTCGATGGGGAGAGCCTGATAATTTTAATTCAGATGCTGAATCACATGTGTTTTTATTTTCATCAACATTTGATGCTGTGTGAACGGTTTTCTTTTCATCAAATAAGTTTACAAATGCAGGTGACTCGTATCGGTCGTCGTCGTGTGCGTTTCTGTAAAATGAAGAGTGTCGTGATCCGGGCCAACCGCCGGATAGACTTTTTAATGCAGCTTCGGTCTCTCTGATAAGTGTTTCGTCATCAACTGCATCGTCTCCACTGGCTTTTGCTTGTTTTTTTGGTATAGAAGTCGTGGTCGTACCCGATGAGCTAGTATTTCCATTACTAGCAATTGGCCTCTTTTTGGGTAATACCATAGATTTTTGTATAGTGCTAGTGCTAATAGACCCTTCGCCAGTCAAAGTTTTATCTTTCTCCATTACTTCTTGTACTTGTTTAAGTGCACGGCGCCTTTTTTTATATGAAAAAGTTTCGTCTGAGGTTGTTGTAGATTGTGCTTTTGCCTTTACTTGGCTATCATAGGTGGATTTCCTTTTAGATGGCTGTAATAACCTAAAAAAATATAAATGTTTAGATATTTAGAATATAACTTTTTATCTCTCCTAATTTTTTCATATAATAATATAATATTTTAATTCTTCATAGAGTAATATAATATTAATTGACTAGAAATAATTATATAATTCATGAATGTACGTTAAAAATAAATAATAAATTTAATGAAATCAAGTTTTTGTTTTTACTATTAATTATTTTCACTATTTATTAATATTTTTACTCTGCTATTAAAAAAGGGGAGAATACCAATAACTTGTTTTTTTCAGGCCGTCTCAATTGGTTATTTAATTTGTTGAAGATCAGTTTTACCAGGGTCGTTTAGTATTTTTTTAATTAAAACCGTTCCTTGATTTTTATAATGAAAGGGAAACAGGGTTACTTAATAATAACGCTGCAATATATACACCAGAAGACATCAATAAAGATGATGATTGAAGGGTAGAATTATTATACTGGAATAATAGCTGTTGTAAAGGGTAGTTTGGGTGTATAAAATATATTGTTGTTTGAAAAAAAAAAATTAAATATCTAATCTTAACGTAGAAAAATGTTGAAATGATCAAATTGCTTGTAAGATTTTGTAAATATCTGAGAATATTGACTATAATTGTAACCCTAAAATAATAAATAATTATTTGAATTTTTTTCTATTTATTTTTCAAGTTACAGCTTGCTATATTTTTTTTTATATTTGTGGCCATTTTTTAAAAAGATTTTTCTTTAATATTTTTATTTTAACGACGATAGATAATTACTGTAAAATGTTAAAGGATCAAAGGATAAACGGTTGTTTAAGTATGAGCTAACACACTGACAAATTACTCCTGTTTCTCTCATTTTCCACTGCTATTTACTGTGGGAAATTATACTTTATCCATTCAAACGCAGTATTTTAGGGTAAAAACGAAGGGCAAACCCTACGACAAGGTCTGCAGTCGTGCTTTTGCTATGGTTGAGGCAAGTTCATTGCTGACTGTTCTTCATAATTTTGCGTATTCTATGAATCTAAACGATTTAAGTACAGAATTAAGATATGGTGTCTCAATTTAATTAAATAATACTAATAAGAGCTAAACTTTCATTGAATTATTGTCCTATTTTTCAATACATGTTATAAAAATTATTATTTACTAAAATGTACTTTTTGTGTTTCAAACCTAATAAAGCTTTAAATAAATTTATGTATGATTCAAAATAAATTAATATTTTTACTGTAAATTTTTTATTTTTTTCCAAATAATATAAAAATATATTTCTAATTGATTATAAATATTTTAAAATCATATAATCTTAATGTTGATGATTAATTATGATTAATATGATTGATATAATATATATTTTATTTAATGACAACTTTTAACTAAATAGTGAAAGTCTTTGTATTTTAAAATTATAAATATGAATGGATTACGTACTATATATTTCGTAAAATTTATTTATAGTGAAGAATCAAGTATTTCGTTTTAAAAGCATAATGAAAATTTATTTAAATTATTTATTTAATCAAAATCAACCAATATTTTATCTTTGATTTTTTTTGTTTATCTATTTTCTTTTTTTATCCGATGGATTAATTAAGTGCTAAAGGCGTGTAAAGTAATCATCAGATATGATTAGTGATACTTGTTAGTTGTTCAATTAATTAAAGTAGTTGTTTAAATTTAATTAATTTCCAGATAATAGATATTCAAAAATAATCTGATAAAATCGAGGAGTCTTTTTTAAAATTAATTCTATCATTATTTTTAATAAGATACACTAAAGAAAATAAATAAAAAAAGTAACTAAAATTGACAATTATTTATTCGATTTTATAGACGTTGTCCTAAAAAAACGCTTAACGTGTATTTTATTTCAGGAGTTTATTTTTGTCGTTTGATATGTCTTTTTTCAGCTTATAGTGTGCTGTTTTATAGTTTTTATTGTCTCTGTCTATTCGACGTGGGAAAGGTTGACTTTATAAATGGTATAACGCATTGAATCGGGGCAATGTCACGCTAGAAAAATATTTATACTATTATATTGTTCTGGTAACATTCTGCGCTCATTGAGGTGTGTTCCGCCAACATGTGCATGTCAGCATTACATTAAGATTTCGACAATGATCGTTCAAAACATAGTCATCCACCAAAAATGATATTTTATGTCCTGTTATTAACATATTACCTTCTTGACATTTTAATTCTGAAGTCACGTAAGTTTATCTATAATTGTAATATCCGAATCAAGCAGCTTTTATTTGAAAAAAATATAAATACAAATCCATAATAATGGATGTTTAAAAGGTTGGACACTTATTTCGTTGCAGTTAATAAAAAATAAAACAATATAACTACTCAACAAGTTTTTACGTGGTCAAATAAATTTGAGTTGGTCCTTTTTTTCTATTGATCCATCATATTGTTACTGCTGCTTCAAAACGCTTTTAAGAGTCATTATCGTATATTTAAAGCAATTTTCTAGGGACTATTATTAAATTAGTTATATTTAGAAATTCTTATTGGGGATGGGGGAGTTGAGGTAATTTTTAGAACATAGATTAATAGGGAGATTCAATCTTTCACTACCTTTGCTACTAAGATTTTATGTTCATGGAGTTGGCCTAAACTTAATGGACTCTTCCTGTAAATATGCCATTGGTTAAGAAGTTTACAGTAAATACTAGAAATTGAATAATAATGATCAACAAAAATAAAAAAATAAAAAAAATAGTAAAGGGACTTTTTAATGTAAAATCAACATATTTAAAAATTTCAATTATAACCCTAATGAGTTGTTTGAAACATTAGTTTCAAAATTAATCAAAATTATTTTAATTTAGATTTTAAAATTAATTCTTGTACTATAGAATTGTCGACAAATTTAGTTTTTTTAATTTAATTTTTTTATGATACGCTTATATTTTAATCATTCAATGAAAGGTATTCGATGGTAATATAAAAAATTTACAAATATTTTATTATTTTGTCTATAAATTATGTTTTCTTTGACAAACGGTTTGTGGAAAATTTTAAATAAGAAAAACATCACCTCTTCCCATCGTCAAGGAGAGAGGGTTATAAAAAGATTGTACATGAACATTTTTTCAGATATACTGCTGAAATAGTCTAAGCAAGGGACATTTAATCTACAGCCTCTTCGCATTGGTCTGATTTATGACCATAGCGGCCGCTACCACCGCCGGCGAAAAGGACCGCTACTCAGATGTTGCCGCGGCGGTGTCTTGATTTATATACCCCTGGTGGAGGGTGACAAAGAAAACATTTGGGGTAGCGATGGTTTAATCTCGATTCGGGATTTGGACACGGGACTTGAACGTCTCTCCACGACTTCGCCAGATGGAGTCGCACAAAGTTATTTCGTTTGCGATACTTCAGGTATATATGAAGGATTTATGGGTGGACGCGGCGATCGTATCGACAGTGGTACGTGGGCTCAGTCGACAAGGAAGCGGTAGTCAAAAGTAAAGAGGAGGAGGTAAGCTTTATTAGTTTTGTACCGATCGGAATCGTCGCCACACGCGCCTAAACTTTAGAGTATTCGTGTGAACTTTGGCGGCGAGACACCCGATGGCTAAGACGGATAAAATGCAATACCGGACGAGAACTGTGCGAACCGCTTCCAGCGAATTGACTTTATCGTGACAACCTGTGACCGGAACATGACCGGATTTCCCTTATCGTTAAGATAACCGCATTCTCTAATATATACTTATGTTTTCCTTTTTCTCTTTTGACAACATCAAAAACAGTGTTCTTATACATTATACTGTTAGACAAGCATATATTTATCTAAATATTTCACGACTACTGTGACACCGTAGTGTCACAGATTTTACTGATAGGAAATTTTCAAAATATCTTTTTATAAAAAACAATGTTACATTAATTTTTAATAAAAATTTTCTATTAAAAGTAAGCTTCAAGTTGCTCAAATAAAAATAAAAACATAAAAGAGTTTAAAATTAATCAATGAAGCTTTGTTTTGTGTACGCATAAAAATTTATTTTGTTTAACACGGCAGGTATGCGTAAAAAAACTGAGTATGATTTTTTTAATAACAAAAATTGTGCTTTAGATTTTTAAACAAAAATGCGTCATTTAAACAGTAATAATAAAAGGCAGCAGGTAAATTGTTTGTCAAAGTCATAAAAAAAGTTAGTAGGGTGAAAAAACAGGAATTCGTTTGAAGTACTACTAGATTAGCTGGTCGAATAACGACAAGCTTGCCAATTCGTGAATACCCCTGTACATGAAAATAGCTTTCTATACTTTCACCATACCATTCCCCTACCTTTTCATTATGTTTTTCTCTGTATTGCTGAATTAAACTTTTAATTTTCATTCTTAATCCGGAACGTAAAGAACCGACGTCGCAGGTTGTATTTCGAATGAATATTATACTTTTTTTTTATTGTTATTCCAACAAAAATCTAAAGGAAACGGATGTTTTTTTTCATCTCCTTAAAACTCCAACACTACATTTGTTTCCGTCTTCAATGCTATCATACGACCCGTAATGAAAGTATGATTATATTTTTTTATACACTTTGGTTAAGTAATTTCTAAAATGGTTACTTTGACGAAAAATAAACGAGTACCATGACGGAAATCGTTAAAGTATATAAGACTCAGGTGTTGTTATTTTATTTTGAATTTTGCAACTCTCAAACAATTACTCCTAAAAAAAAAATAAGCCATTACGGATTTGAAATAATTCATTTGAAAATATTGCCACTCTTATTAAAATATATTTTTTTCCGTGAAAAGTATTAACAAAAATACTTTGAAAAATATTTGTGGCGTTCCATTAGTAACGGGTCGTACGTTAGTTATTTATGAGTTCAAGTATCACAACTCGTTTATTGTATATAATACTACGACGCCCCCATCTCTCGAAAACCAACACCCGCCAATAGGGGAATTGGCCAGGATACAATCCCAACACGGTATTCCAATTTTGTTTCCGAAAAGTAATTAACGCATTAATTTTTAGTCACTGCGGTCGTCGTCGTTGTTTTTTAAAACCCTTTCTCTACCCACCGTCTTTCCCGTCCCTGACATCATTTTATTATTATTTTTTCCTCTCCATCTGTATATCAAATCGTGTCTAACCCTTTTTCTTTCTCGTGGCGCCCGTTTTCCGTCGGAAAATATGTATAAATTTAGGGACGTGAGGGATGGCTAAAAACACGTAGCGCCAAGTCACAAACCCTAATTTCATGATTTTTTTTACAATTATTTTTTAATATATTAATTTGGCAAGACGGGTGTTGTTTTTCATTAAAAAAAGTGTAACAGGGTAATGAAAAATGTAAAAGGATCTGGGGTGTTATGAATAGGTCATGGTGTGAGAATATGATTGGTGTATTTTGGTAGAAAAAAACCTCGTGATGACTAGTACTCTTTTCGACGGTGCACTTCTATTAAAGCTGTAAGGCATTTTTGGAAGTTTAATTGTTGTACGTAGAAAAATGGATAATTTAATGTGGGCTCAAAAAATATAAGTTTTTTCGTCAATTAAGTAATAAATAAACAATAATATTTAAGAAATAGTATTTATTGGACAATATTTCATACAGAATTTGTGAATCAATAATGAAATAATGTTCCAAATAATATGTTTGCAAGTAATTGAAATGTAAATGAGAAACAATTTTCTAATTTGAACTTCATACCTAAACTTTATGATCCTGCTCTACTTAAGAAGTTTATGAAAGCTCCAAGAGTATAATAGTATAATTGATTTTAACTTTTTATTTCGTGATATATAATAAAAAGTAAAATTAAGAAACAGACATTTTTAATGGAATTTTCATTAAATTATTATTAAAATTAAAATAATACAGATCGTTTATTTGTTCAGTATAGGTTCTAAGGTTGACCGAACTATTGCAAGTTTCTTGATATCTGTGATTCCAATTTATTTCAAACATAATTTAATAGAAATTGGATATATAAGCTTGAATTTTGTAAATGTATTGGCATTTTGATGTATTTAGCGTGTAGTATAAACACGTGACATTATCAATAGCGTAATCACACGGTTTGCGTTAGGGTTTTTTTTTTTACTAAGCAAAAACTAAATAATGAGAATGAAAAAAAACCCTTGACAAGATGGTTATTGTGGTTTCAGCTGTGGAAATACGTTTTGTGGTCAGATTTACGAACAAGACAGCAAAACACAATAATAATAATGTAATACAAGATTCTTCCCTCCAGACAAAATAATTCCAACGGTCCAGAAAGCCATAAATTTGTTTAGGGCTGGCCGGCTGTCCCTCGTGTTTTCCTTATCATTTCGCAGGCATTAAAGTTTACAATAACCCTCCGGCCATGTAATTTTTTTTTTTATTAATAGCTGATATACGATTGTCATGGAACTGATCAAAAGTATGATTAGTAATTTTTAAAATAGACATATAGTTTAAACATTTAAATGATTCTTCTTTATAAGACTTTACCTGGAGTGTACGTTTAATTTGGAAAGAAAAAAGGGCAAAACAAATAAAAAAGATTGCCATGGGTGTTTTTGTTTTCTTTTTACTTGTGGTAATAAAGCTCGAGACTGAGACTAAAAGTGCCGTAAAGTTTATTAATGTCCCCCACCGGTTGTCTCGTATTTTTTTTAAGTCTCTTTTCCTTGGTGTCTTATGTGTCTCCAAGGAGCCACGGGAGCCTTCATTTACCACCCTCTCTTATGCGAGGGCAACACGTGTGCTTAATCGGCTTCTGTGTAGAATTATGATTAAAAAAATCGATGTTAACCTCGGGGACTGAGTTTGTAAAACAAAAAATGAAATAAAAATATGAACGGTAAAATACTATAGAGGCTTAAAACGAAACCGTAAATCTTACGGTGAATTTTCCCAATAATTTTCCCCTCTAGTAAAACGCGCTTGAAAAAATAATAACTTAAAAAAAACATTTAGGTACTCACATTTGTCCATCGGTATGATGAGCCGCATATCCAGCGACATTGCTATTAGTTTGAAGTTTTTCTTCCTGTAAAAATGAACAAGAATTTTACTAACTAAACAGTTAATGACTTTCATGTTTAAAAATTACAATTTAAATTTGGTAAACGTCTAGTGTGATTGATGATGCAAAACTTTATTTGAAGAATGACTATATGTGTACTGTGTGACTGTTTTGCTTTGGTCTAATTTTATGCTCTAAACTTAAAATAATATTGGTAAAACCCTTTTTATCTACAGTCTGATTACTAAAAAGAGTTTAAGACTATTTGTCAAATAGTTTTTATTTTACTACTAATATTTTAAATATTAGTAATGAAAATTATATGAACTAATAGAGTTGTTAATTTAACCTTGTAAAATTGCCACTGCCATTTTATGTATAATCAAAAATTACATATGTATATTTAAAATTTAATGCTGTACAATTTTTACTACAACATGGACTAAAACCTAGAGACTAAAAATATTTAAACATCATAATAATAATAATAATAAAAAAGGACACTTTTTTCATTGTTTTTTATGTAATAAAAAATACCACGAAATGTCACTGAAAAATAGGGAGAGAAAGAATCTGAACAACAAAACTGGTACAGTTCAAAATCCGGACGTGACCAACTTTTCACTTTTTTTAATTCGAGTTAAAAATGACGTGACGTCGTGTTGGCGGCTGTAACATAGAATATTATTGTTCCCTTTATTCCGGAAACGACATGGTAAAACTTAAAACTTGATGACCTCGGAAGTTGGTAAAAACTACTGCTTGTGTCCCCTTACGAGGTTAAAAAAATTATATTTCATACAAAACACAATGTCAATTTTTGATGTTTTTTGTACCATTGACATTTATTTTAGAAGTCTACCAACCACAAAAAAGCATAATAATAATGCACAATGTCAAAATATTCAATTTTTGAGTAATACCCTTATGGATCCAAAACTTAGTAGGGACTTGCTTTTTTTATTTTAAATAAATAATATTTTTTTTGTTTAATGATACATTTTATTTTATCTAATTATTTAATATTTGTTAACAATTAAAATCGACGCCTTATTTGAAATCATGTTTATATGTATTTCCTAATATAAAGTCTTATAAATAAATATTTAGTTAAGGTCTAATTAAGCACACATCCTTACTAATGTTAATACATCCTTGACCTTGATATAGAGTGTACATGCGGGAGTAGTACACGTATTTTCTATTTTCCTTGAAGAATTTCTAAGAAAAACAAGGGGGTGCCCGGTTGTATTTTACAGTCAAGAGTATATATAAACGAGAACATAGTGGGTTCCTTAGCTCTAACGGGATGTTAACGTGATTATGTGGGCGTAACGACAGTGAAACAGAAAAACAAATAATCTAGCGCTGGTATAACGATCCCGTTGGGACTAGGGTCCAGTACTCCTTACATGACCATTGTCCACCAGTAAACAGCATTTTAAAACGTGTTGTTTTGGATTTCCTTTTTCTACCTTAGACGTATTAACCGATCTTTACGACTTTTTGAACGGATCGGCCAACGACGACAACAATGGTTTTTATAAACTCCATCAGGCAACTGGGGTCTTTGGGCAAATTTTATGTGTTCATAAAAGCTTGTCCAATTGGGACCAACGATAATGTAGAAAATGAGAAATACTTGTTAACCATAAATTATTATTCTTATAATGCAAAGACTTTCATTATACGGTTTTCTTTTATCCAATATTCTATACATTATTTATATATTAGGTCGGTAAAGTACTTTATAATTAAAAAAAAAGTTGTCTTATATCATACGCCGTATAGGCGGTTGTGCTGGTGGGTATAATGTAAACGTATGTGTCGAAGGATTATAAGAATCATTTTTCTAGGATATTTTACATTTGTAAAAATTGATTTCATGTACATTTTGAAGTTTGGTACCTAGGGAATTTGAAACGCTACAGTAAGGGGGGCGGGTGTTAAGAAATTGATGGATGATCGGTAGATGAAGAATCGACGGTTTTCCACGTGACCCAACACGACCGACCTTCTCTGACGATACATCATTTTGTTCAGCCACCGTAGACTAAGTGAATTCCACTTGCCAAAAGTTGTACTTTCCTCCTTCCTATAACATTCTAATGGGACCGATACGTCTTTGGGCGTCTTTAATGACCAACTGTTTTCCGGAACGCGGTCGTCGCGGTAACCGTCAACCGACCGTGTAAACCACACCGTTTCCTTTTCTCCTACGTCATTTCTCTCATCCGTCTTACGCCGCGTACTTATTTAACGCAAAGTAATACTTTTAGAAAGTTAGTCAAGCCCTTGGTGGATATATGTTTTTTCGTGCAAATAATAATTTTATCCTAAATAAATACATTTCCGTGATTGTAGCAAACAATATTCATGTTTACAAATGTATACTCGATATTATCACTAATGTTAATGCATTGGCTTTCTTAAATATTTTTGAAGAAAATATAACACAACCCTCCGATAAAATTACCCCGTAAATTCGTGTGAATTGATTACGTTAACGAGATAATACTCACATGGCATATGCAAGTGACAAAAAAAGTATATACATCAGAGGGGAACACTTTGGTTTCACGCACCTGACGCCCTTATGTAAATCTTAAAGTTCCATCATGTATATTATGACAATAATTTAATCTTTCAAAAGAGATTTTCTTTGCTGGATGACTGATTTTACGATGGCACCCCGAGGATTGAATGCAAATTATGTGTTATTATTACTACCGTCGTATACGTTTGTCATTACGTTTCTTTAAGATATCTGTGAGATACGATTATACGGTTCAACTGTTTCTTCAACACACATCCTCGTAAAAGAAATGAATACCAATTTGAATAATATTAATCACCCCGTTTTCCTTTTATCGTTTGCACGTAAATTCAATTTTTAATAAGATTGGCTAAGTTTCTTTGAAATAAAGCCAACCTCGTTGTAACTGTGTGAGTTGCACGTATTTTTCTGATTAAACAACAACATGAGTTTATAAAATACTGTAGTTTCGATTGAAAAGTTGTATAAATATGATATCTCTATTTGTTTTAGCTTAAAGTTAATTACACGGAAAAACAAATGGTTACAGATTTCATGTCAGCGTATACTAATTACAAATTACTTAGAAAAAAAAAAAATGAATAATAATAAATACGTATTCGTTAATCTAAGTATAAAGATAATCATATTACATAGAAAATTATTTTTATGAAAACTTTCTTGTTAGTTTTAGTTTCTGAAAGTGCTCGTGGTACTCTTATAAAATTACGTATACTAATGAACGTTGTCTGGTGACGTCATCAGGAAATTGAAAAATGTTTCAACATTCTCATACTTATTACCGACCTGCCAAAAACTACTGACATTCGTTTATAACGGTATACATTTTAATAACATCGACCCGCTACCATCGGGACAGGTCCTTGATGAGTATACCAAATCTCCGACATCTCGTAGGGCGGATATGTTTCTGTCCTTCATAAGCGTAGGGAATGAGAAAATTATACATCCTTCAAATAAACTCTTATGTTCGTGCTGTGTTTTTTATCAGGAACTGCGTCACTGATGTTTACATAAGTTAAAATAAAACATTTGACATACATAAACTTCTAGTGATTATTGCCTGCTAAGTGAAAATGTTTGTTTAACAGATTTCATTTTGAATAGATTTTTAGTGAAATATATACTTAATGTAAAGTAGCATTTTCTAATTAATTACAAGCTTAAATTTGTTCTGTGGATAAATATAAAATTAGTATAATTTTGTAGTTTTAATGAAGTATGATGAATGGTGAAAATTGTGATGTATATCAAATAATATTTCTTATGGGTTAATAGTCTTATACTATATTTGTAATTCATTTCGCAGGATGATAATGGATATCGACGGTCAAATAATGTGCTGGATATGTAAAATAAATGGCAGACCTTAATAATAATCAGCATGTTTTGAAATAGGGTTCAGAAAGCCATATTAATTATCTTCTCCACAGTTAACTTATGGAGATCTTGTATAATCTTCTGTCTCTCTCTCATCGTGTTATCCGTTATCTCGACTACAACGAATTGGGGTGTGAATACTAGGACACGTTGTCCGACAGAAATATTATTATACAAATCTAAATCACGTACCGAATTTATTATTATGCACACGATTGTCGCGGTTGACTTTTACTGGCAATTTTGTGAACTTGGCTGAACAACGACTGTTTCTATAGGATTTATTTCTCTCTCATTATACGCAATAATAACATAATCAGCGCGGGAAATCATTCTTCGGCAACACATGTCACACACCTTCTGTAATGTAAAGAAGAAGAAGGAGGAAGTATGATGATAAGAGTAGTGGTGATGTGCAGCGTAGACGGGGTGGGATATTTTTGTCAGCGTCGTCAACGTAGGTAACGTGTGCTCTTGCTTATTACAAATGCAAAACTCGCCCATTCATATTCAAAATTTTATAATACGACAACGGTACCCGTCGACCGATTTGTATGCGCCGTCTTTCGCACCGAGGAAGTCGGATCGGAGGAGACGATAAAGGAAGCAGGGGTAATAATTACTTCATACAACCGTAGGAATTTCTGGTAAATGTGTGTGTATGTTCGAGGTTCCGAGGGTAGTTTTAGAGCTTTACCATACTTATTCGGTCTTAACCGCTAATTTATTCACCCAAGACCGCCGGTCGCGTTCGAATAGATTTGATTTCGTTTTATAATAATAATAACTTGCGTGGCTGTCAAGCAAGGACACACCGCAACTCCACAGATCGACTATCTCAGAATCACTTACAAGACGCACATTTTACTTATAATACCAGATGTGCAAAATTGAACGCATCTAAAGATATTTGCATTCTTCGTAACTGTTTATCCGGTGCGAGACAACTGTGCATTTTATTTTCGCTCGCGGTTATATCCGTCACTGGGACTAGCGAGTGGGTTCAATAGGGAAAACAACAATATAAGACTCGAAGCGCTTTTCAATTAACACAAAATTATAAATACTTGAAATGTTAATTGCAATAGCGTGGTTGTCGCAAGTATAGCGTTGTAAACGTATAAATAAATGTATAAATGTGAAAAATGCATAAATAAATATAATGTACTTGGTGGTAAAACATATGTAAAAAAAATATCGGTAAAATAATCCAACTAATCATAAGCAACAAGTTTGTACTTTTGTCTTACAAGTAGTCATGTAGGGTAAATTGTTCAAGTATTTAATTTCCCATTAGGCTAAGCACCTTTTAGTGACTTTGTGGTGTCTTTGAGAGAAAAGTCCCCTCTCGGTATTACGTAAACGATCAAAATGTTCATAATCGACTGCAGTTTAAACAAAAGTACGCTCATTGAAGGCGTCAAAATGTATAGTAATAATATTTGTAAAAACTAACGTAATTTGTAAAGTAAAAAAAAAAAAATGAGTTGAATATTTTTTAATCTTTATTCATTTGCGTATTAATTATTTCTATATTTTATATAAAGGTGATTGAATGTAATATTATTAAATAATAATAAATAATATACACTTTATGCAGTGAATATAAATTAGACATTTGGTATAAATGATTCGAATTTTAATATTTTATTACAAATCAGCTCCGCGAGTAATCGCGAGTCAGTATAATCAAAGACTTTCTAAAGAATCGAATACAACTTTTTATTTAATATATCTTTGATACAAATAGAATCGACTTGTTCAGTCTGAGAATTTAATTAATATATACAAATAATTCCTTCGCGGCACTGTATTCCATATGCACGTTTAAAGGAAAGAAGGCACCGGAAGAAGTAGAAACTTTGTGTATTGGCGTTCCAGATAAATTAAAATACTTGGCCGATTCTGTCCCGTTTGTGTTTGTTCACAGGACCGTCGGTATATTAATGCATTTCGGTTGACAGCCGAACGAGCGGCACAAAGAAGTCGAAGACGAGAAAGAGATGGATGAGTAAGTGAGGTATCTGTATACACTTGAGCGAAATGTCTTTTTGATAAATTAGAAAGTCGACCGTCGAGTAAATAACCCTTGCCTCGTGCATATTTCATTAAAACTTTTCCCGTAGTAGTGTTGTTTGTTTTTATATGCCGATGAGTATATGCTTGTTTTTCTCCTACTTTGCCAACTTTGAAAATTATTAGTATTCAGGTTTTTTTCTTGAGCGCTTACCTCCGACATATGTTAATAAAAACACATAATAATCATAAAGTCAACCATACTATAATATATATTTTTTATATTATGTTACTTTTTCACGAGAAAATATGAAATTACATCATATTTTTACTTATTTAAATGTATTTTGATTTATTTCAGCGAAAATATATCACGAAGAACATTTTTTAATTGTAAACAGTATTACTTACCTTATTCATTATAATAGCTGATTTGACTCGCCGAACTGACAGGTCTGGAAAAAAAATATATGTATTAACAATGTGTAAACGGAAATTTGTAAAATTTATCTAAATATTATCATTGAAAGTGACCATATCGTTATATGGTATATATACAAATACAATAAAAAAGATACCGAGTGTATTACTGTGCATATAAGGACCTCTGTAATAGACTACCTGTTGAATGTATTTGCAACAATGGGGTATTTAAAGACCTTGCATGTGTGTTAGGTGGTGGTCTGAAGGTATGTATGATAATACATAGGTAAATTTTTATTTCCATCGTGTTTGGTAGTGTATTATTTAACAAAAGATGTCACCCTAACACAGTTTTCTTTTTTCGGACCCCTATTTTTGCGTAAAACATTTCTTACTAAGGTTTAAGTTTATCACCCTACGACTGAAAATTCGGTGCCACGTGAGAAGTACTATAGAAAAACGGCACGCAAGGGATTTATGTGTTTTCAACCCCTTATTGTAGTGATTCTATATTTTCTATGCCGTTTTCAAAGAATAGTTTTTTGGAAAAATAGTTTTAGAAGTAACCTAGGTACTATTACTCCGTCACAATTTAGTATACAAACTATTGTATAAATGTTCTTAAAACTAGTTGAAACAGATACCTATGTTACATTTTACATTTTATAGTATTCCACAGATGGCACCAAAACTAAATTTTGTGGAGTTATTTATTTAGGTTGAAAATTGAAATTTTTCATTTATTTTCCATAAAATATTAAAGTTAGTTATACCAATGAATTTCTTGCACATTTTTATTACATGTCTTTTATAAGAAAAAATTTAAATAAAACATTTCAAAATAGCCGATTTTTGTATTGTTTTCTTACAAAATAAATTAACGAATGGATAACAATTTTAGGATAAGTACTAAGTAAGGATTTAGTAAGGAAAATTTTAGGATAAGAAGTAGATGCATTTTAATACATTGGGTGGGTTTAATACGCGGGTGGTTGCAGCTCGTACTGATGTTTATTTACAACGCATACTTTATCCGTCTTACATAATCATTATAAGTATTAAAATGCTTGAAGTTCAATAATTCCACGTTCAAAAACTATTATCACCAATTAATAATTTTTATAGGAAAATTTAACAAAAAGTATCTATTTTGAATTTTGAAAAAAATTTTAATTAAAGATATACCATTATTTTTTCATTATTAAAAAGAAATAATAAAAATGTTATCCTAATGTAGTCTAAGAATAGATAAATTATTAAAAAAAAAAAATGACAATGAAATGTTTGATTATATCAAAAGTTTTAAGAATGTTCTATATATATAAAAATGTTCTATAGATATATATATATTTATAAGATTGAAGAAGTTTTACCTGAAAATGTATTGTTTTCAAGGTGTGGTTATTTTTATTAAAATTTTGTTTTTGTTCTTTCTAACATATAAAATTTCAAGTACGCGAATTATTTTTCAAAATGACGTTGAAAGAACTTATCCATAACTTATAAGAGATTTGATCGGACGACAGAGCATTCTCGATTGTGTTTACTGTTGGGGGTCTTATTGTGAATAAGCGGTGGAGGGTGGAAGAGTGTTTCATTGTAAGGATGGTAGTAGGCGATGTTATTGTCGAGCAAGTAGTCTGAAATGGGAGTAGAAGAGAGAGAAAATGTGGAATGAAACGACCGTTTGATCAATATGCGACCCTTTAATGTCTTCATTACGATTTCGTTATGCACATAATCTGACTATCGGCCGTAACAAAGCCACCGATATGCACGAAAGAGACCGTAATATTTGAGGGGATATGCGACGCCGCAAAAACTCAACCCAGTTGAGGAGGATCTTTATAAAACGCGTAGTCGAAGGTTTTACCGGGTGGAATCACTGGACCGGAACCACGGAGATACCTCATCCGCCAGAAATTGTTTAGACTTTATACTCTTGGCAAAGAACTCTACAGCATTTCTTCCGAGTAAAAAAAACTATAAGTAGTGACTTTAAATTACTCGTTAATGCGATGGGTAATTTTATATGGACATACTTAATGACTTATAAGTTTAAAAGATGAAATTTACCGTCAATTTTAATAAAATAGTTAGTATTACAAAAAAAAAAAAATAGGATTTTTTACAGTGTAATATATTATGAATACTACGTCTCGTCAAATTTGTTTGTGATATAATAATATTTTCATATAAATGTACAGGTTAAAATTTGATTTATTTTTATGAACCAAACAAATATTAAATTTATTGTAGGGAAAAAATTATTATAAACAGATTTTTGAGGTAACCTATGAAAGTTAAATGGAACCTAATATTATTTTTTTATTATTAAATAAAATGTTCACTGATCGATAACTCGTTTTGTATTATTAATTTTTTTGAGATATTAGAATTTGAACATTTAGAAAAGTTGAGAAGTTTAGCGACGTTTTATTTTTACCGTGACAAACAAATGAGAATTCTTTTACGTTGCATACCTCTCTCGTTTATAATTAAAAATTGCATAAACTCAAAAAATGAATATTACAAATCTGGTTATCGACCACTAAAAACTTTATTTAGACTATTATCTACTTATTAGTAAAAAAAAACTAACAAAAAATTTTTTTTTTCAATTTGATTTTTTTTTTAAATAAATTTTTAAACAATTTTGCTAGAAATTTTTTTGAAGTGTACACAGTGTCCAGTATGTGAGGAAACAGGTCAGTTGTGACAAACAATGAGAACAGTAAAAACCTTACTGATCACTCTATATATTTTAACTTTATTAAGGGTTATTTATAAATAACATTAGAAAAAACAGTTTATTATTGCATGACCTTTTTTTCTCCCTCATTATTGTTTTTGCACATAAAAACTGTTTGTAAACACATCCGAGGGCTCTAGTGACAATGTTGAAGAGTCTTTAATATGCTCGCGCGGTGATTGTAATTTCAGAATTAAGTGCACCGTTTTTTTCAGCCTTTGATTTTTTTATTGCGTGTTTCCTCAGCAATGAGTGATAACGAAGGGATTCCTAACGATACCACCATCGCGAGGCCAAGTGCCGCCAGCGTGCTCGATAGTAAATACTTGCTTTTACGCTAAAGAAAAACCTTTTCAGTGACACCCTTTTTATTCGCTGTACTTTTTTTTGCGCCCTCTTTTTATACTCAGATTACAACCCTTTCTCTGATTTTTAACCCTATTGTCATGCACTTAGTGGATTTTTTTTTTTATTTTAAGTAATCTACTGTCTGGTCACTTTACTTTTGAGTATTATGAGATAAAAGTTTCTGCAATATATATATTTTTTTATTGAAAGATAAAAAAAAACCTTAAAGTAAAATTTCCTAAAAATTAATATATTAAGTATTTAAAAGCGGCTTACAACTTTTTCTTTCCATTTCAAAGTTAAAAAAAATTCTGCTTGTTAAAGAATTAAAATTATTTTACCACGTTAATTAGCGTTTGATAATTATTTTAGTAAATTAGACAGAATTAAAATTTTTTATAAACCGACGCAAAGAAAATATTTGGCAGTGTTAGTTGTATATGTTTTTATTACATTTTTGATTTTATCGTTTGACCAATCTTAAATTGGCATTCTAATAATAAACTTACAATCATTATTAATAGAATCCCATTTTAGAGATTCCGAGTTGTCGTAAAATCTTCTTTCTCCCTTTTAGAAAAGCTTATCCTAATCGTCAGATAGTGATGGCCATTTGTTGAAGAATTCGCCTTAACGATAGTTATTATTAGGTTTACTCTTTTTCTGTACTTCCGTCGTATCTTTTACAACTGAAATCTCATATTATATTCTAAGGAGATAGAGTACCAAAAGTACAGACATAGATAAAAGAATTTTTATTTTTTTCCAAAGATATGACACTTACCCAGCCAATGAAATAAAAATCATTCCTTCGGATATCGGCGTTTAATCACATTTCGGAAGGAAGTAAATTTTACCGTTGCAAGACTAACGTTCGGAACAACTGACTGAGTCAATAGTGTAAGGGGTTCTCGGCATCACGTCGGAGGTCCCGTGATTACCACCGAGCGAGGAAACAGTACGGCGGTAGAGGGCAACGTCTTAACGTTAGTTCAATATTTGCTGTGCGAGCCTGAGGTCTAATCCAAAAGCAAGGGATCAGAACGACGTGCGTGTTTGATGAGAAATGTCGAGGGAGGCGAATACGCCGCTACTATTTTACGACGGTAATTAAAAGTCAGCAAAGGTTTGCTAAAGTTAGGAAATTTTTTTTTTTTTTTTTTTACAAGTTCAGTTAATACTAAACATACACATTCAGTTGCTCGTAATTAAACTTGTGGTCTCTGAAGTGGGTGTAAAATGGAAAAGTATATAGAACCGTTTGACATGGGACACTGTCTCAATCTAAAACCAATTCAGCGTATTCAAGGTTTTACGACCACAATGCTATTCCCAGGGATATTGTAAACCACAATAACCCAGAGAAAGGAAAAATATCAACGAGGGTTAAAACTAGGATTATTGGCTATAAAAATACCCGTCGAATAGGTCTGTTCCGCGTGTACAAAATATAACTACAGCACAAGTATAGTGTTGTTATTATTATTTTATTTTTCTGTTGATGGCGTTCTAATTTGTCGGATTTAACGCAATAGCTTATTTATACACCCCGAGGGACTGAAATTAATTTTTCACAACCCAATGACGGCGCTGGTTGAAAACCTTTTTCCAGATAGTCTGTACGTAAATAATAAGGTAATGGCGATGACCGAGCCCTGCCCGACAACGCGCTGTCTCAGCCTGTCTGACTGTTAATTACCCAGCTGTCAGAAAATTCGCTGATGCAGATTTAAGTCTCTACGGCTTTGTACGTCTCAGTAAATATATTTGTGGATAGACGGACACGGCACCCATTTTTGTACGAATGATAGGCAAAAACAAAAGTTTGAAAATTGCGGACAACAGCCAAAAGGATCTGCTGTCATAATCACTACATCCAGCGTTTGTTTCCTTGGCAAATGCACGATATTACTCATTTCAAAAGCACTTGGC